AACATATGGATGTGAATCCTGGACAATCGGTAGACGGGCCAAACAATTTTTAGAGGCCTCAGAGATGTGGTTTTACAGAAGAATGCTTAGAATACCTTGGACAGCCAAAAAGAGCAACCAAGAGGTTTTGAAAGAGGCGGGAGCCCGAAGACAACTTGTCACAGACATCAGAAGGAGACAGTCATCATTTTTCGGCCATGTTATGAGAAGAGGGAAAAAAGAACATGTTGTGACCACTGGAAAGATGTGTGTAAGGAGGGATTGAGGAAGACAACGAAAGAAGAAGCTTGACAGTCTTGTTGCATGGCATGGAGGTGTGTCGGCACACGAACTGATACATGCTGCAGAAGATCGCAGATTATCTAGAGGCATGATCGCCCACACCAGTCAGCAAGGCACCTGATGATGATGTTCATCATCCTGCTGTGGGAACCCATCCCTTTTTTTCTTATACCATGCCCTCCACAGTGACGTATGAAATTATTAAAGTATTTCAGTTTCCGAGCCTAGATGTTGCTTGTGAGGCAGTTTTCTTTAGATTTAGTGCAATTTACATTTCTTGCCAACATTATTTGCACACAAAAACTAGACCACAATTATAACCGGTACTGCTCGCAGTAGGATGAACGTGGTCGAGTTATGTGTTTTGTTTAACATAAATGGACAATTGACAATGGCCCCACCCCCAAGCATTTGTCCTCGGTATTGTAAAAATATTTCAATACAATTTAAGCTACAAGCCCACATTTTCTTCCTAAATGATTGTGAAAGTTCAAGAATCACACCCGTGTGTTGCTAAAGGAAAGATGCATGTGCTCAAAATGTGAACTTTGATTTGCATGGTCGTGCGTAGCCATAAACTTTTAATGCTAGAAGCGACACCTGTCCATGCGATTTCGGCAAGTGCAGATCCCGACGATCATGTCGTTATAATCGTCTGCTGTTGCTAAGTGACAAGGTGACCTGCTGTCCAGTTTGGGTTCCATCATCATCAGTTCTTTTTATGCCTAGTGGCACATGAGGCTACGGAGAGGACTTTCCGTGCTTTCCTATCCTGTGCAATCTTCAGTGCAGTTTTTCATGTCAGAGATGCAGCATTCAGTTCACTTTCGATCGTTCGTGTCCATGTTGTTTTTAGGCGCCCCTTGTTTCATTCCCTCTGGTGTCCAAGTTAGAGCTGTTTTGGCAGGTATATGAGGATTCATCCTCCGAACGTGGCCAAGCGATTTCCTTCTTCTCTTGGTTATCATACTGTCTAGAGTTTCTTGGTTTGTGACTTGAAGTAGTTTAGTGTTTGCGATTTTATCTGGCAAGAACATTTTTATAACTCTACGCAGACATGTGTGGTGGAAGGTGGATATCTTGTGTGCATCCTTTTTGGTCATTCTCCAGAATTCTGCTCCATAAAGAAAATGATGGTATGGCACAAACAAAACAAAACAAGAATAAAAGAAAAAGAAACAAAACAACAAAAAAAAAGAAAAAAACATGCCAACTCAGCTCTTTTAATGTCAGCTTTTCTTTCAATGTTGGCAACGGTGGCTTATGCACTGTTACCACACTTTGCAATGCTGGGTTCGATCCCAGGTGCAGGTTGGCAGCAGACTGTTTGCATTGGACTAAACAGTAGTTTTGAGAGCCGATCATTCAGTAGCAATGGCAAACTATTGAATGTAAACTTGCCGAGTAAAATCACAGTAAAAGACACCCAAAAAATTGCTGCCGCAGGTTTTGCAACGTCTTGTAAAGGATACACAACTAACTTTCTTCTTTCTTTCAATTCTGTATCAGTTAGGCATGAGAGAGTGGCTAGATGTGCCCCAAGTTTCTGAGCAGGAATCTGAATTGAGATGGGTTTTTCACAAATGACATAGGCACCCTGATTAACCCAGCCTAAAATGAGTACCAGGAAATGTTACTGGAAGTCAATGGTGCCGGCATGGCTAACTTCATCTCCCATCAAGTTCTGGTTGGTCTATAAAACAATATGGTCTTGCATCAAAACAAAAACTTCTTATTGGTTTTCAGATCACATAGCATATTAAGATATAATTGCATTTAGTTTGAGGTTAGTCTCCCCAAACAAAGTAGGTCAGTTTTAAGTGACGACTTTGGCTGGTCCACTTTTCTGGAAGTTACGGGTGTGTCCTGCATTCTTGTTTGGTTTCTGCGATGTCTTGCATTGACGTTTTCATTCAGAGAAAGAGAATGCCTGTGACACAGGTTGTAGCTCCGGAGTGCAATGAGGATAACCCAACTAACTAACTAACTAACTAACTAACTAACTAACTAACTAACTAACAGGTTGTAGCACTCTATAGAGGAGTTGTGTTAAACCCAGTTTGTCCATGTTTTTATAGTGTTAAAAGTGCTGGCTTACTGAAATATACAACATGCGATATCAACAGCATTGTGGAACATCCCCGTAGCAGTGTGCGAAGGTCGTGCAGCTCAGAAACTACTAGTCAGAAGTAAGCTAGCGTCTGGGGGGACACATAAAACTAACCATAATTGCATACATACTTACATACAGTCAGCACACACACAAATGAACTAAAAGATTCACATTTATAAGCAGCAAATATCTAACATAAAGATGTCATCCACTTGCACCTGAATAACAGACATCATGAAAAGTTATCAAACCAAATGAAAAAAAAAGGGGGGGGGGGGGGGGGGAATGGACAGTGGAAGCAAAGATGTCCTCCAAAAGAAAGATTATAATGAATGATGAAGATGAGAGAGGCTAAATGTGCTGCACTGGAGGGGCTAGAGTATAAGATAGGAACTGGAGATGAATGTAACTAGTCAACTTTACATTTTGACAAATGGCAAGCAACCAGAAAGCCTAGACAACAAATCTGTTGTAGAGGATGAGAACTGCTGCCTGTGACAAGAGAAGGAAGAGTGACAATTGTCTGGGGAAATAGCATAAAAAGTGACAACTGTCTGGGAGAAAAGCAGGAGGAGTGACATTTGTCTGGGAGAAAAGCATAAAGAGTGACAATTGTCTGGGAGAAAAGAATAAAAAGTGACAACTGTCTGGGAGAAAAGCATGAAGAGTGACAACTGTCTAGGAGAAAAGCATGAAGAGTGACATTTGTCTGGGAGAAAAGCAGGAAGAGTGACATTTGTCTGGGAGAAAAGCAGGAAGAGTGACAATTGTCAGGGAGAAAAGCAGGAAGAGTGACATTTGTCTGGGAGAAAAGCATAAAAAGTGACAACTGTCTGGGAGAAAAGCATGAAGAGTGACAATTGTCTGGGAGAAAAGCAGGAAGAGTGACATTTGTCTGGGAGAAATGCAGGAAGAGTTACAACTGTCTGGGAGAAAAGCACAAGGAGTGACAACTGTCTGGGATAAAAGTAGGAAGAGTGACAATTGTCTGGGAGAAAAGCAGGAAGACTGACATTTGTCTTGGAGAAAAGTAGGAAGAGTGACAACTGTCTGGGAGAAAAGCAGGAAGAGTGACATCTGTCTGGGAGAAAAGCAGGAAGAGTGACAATTGTCTGGGAGAAAAGAAGGATGTGTAACAACTGTCTGGCAGTAGAAGGTATGAGTGATGACTGTCTGGGAGAAAAAGAGGATGAGTGACACCTGTTTATGAGAAAAAGGTGATGAGTGACAACTGTCTGGGAGAAAAGTAGAAAGAGTGACAACTGTCTGGAAGAAAAGCATTAAGAGTGACATTTGTCAGGGAGAAAAGTAGGAAGAGTGACATTTGTCTGGCAGAAAAGCAGGAAGAGTGACATTTGTCTGGGAGAAAAGTAGGATGTGTAACAACTGTCTGGGAGAAAAGAAAGATGTGTAACAACTGTCTGGCAGTAGAAGGTATGAGTGATGACTGTCTGGGAGAAAAAGAGGATGAGTGACACCTGTTTATGAGAAAAGGGTGATGAGTGACAACTGTCAAGGGGAAAAGGAGGATGAGTGACATGTGGGGATACAAGAAGGATGTTACAACTCTCTTGGGTAAAAGGATGAGGGACAACTGTCTGGATGAGTGACAACTGTCTAGATAAAGTTAAAAACCATCTGCTACAAACAGAGGATGAATAACAACTTTGGGAGAGAAGGATTTAAACAATGTATTATTAAAAACGGTCAGGTGACATGACATACTAGGACAGGCAGACATTAACACTTGGTTAAAAAACGTACAGCCTGTAATCCTCCCATTGTCTGGTACTCTAAAACAGCAGAGCTGGCGGTCTGCAATCCTCCCATTGTCAGGTGCTTTAAAACACAAGATCTGGCGGTCTGTAATCCTCCCACTGTCTGGTGCTCTAAAACACAAGGTCTGGCGGTCTGTAATCCTCCCATTGTCTGGTGCTTTAAAACACCAGATCTGGCGGTCTGCAATCCTACCATTGTCAGATGCTCTAAAACACCAGATTTGGTGGTCGGCAGAAACGTTTAAGTGCTCCGCAAAACACTTCTGCCTGCATTTCTATTACACTGGATTTAACAAATAAATTCCTAACTTTATCTGTTATTTTTGGTTTTTGTAGTTTGGTTAGCTGTCAAGGTGGTCTGCAAAAAAAATCCCCCCCCCCCCCCCCCCCCCTTTTTTTTTTCCTGGCCCATGAGTGTAAAAACGTTTGAAGAACACTGCCCTAAAATGTTCAATTGTTGTTGGTGCTTTATTGATCTACCCCAAATGACGTCACAGGACAGTCCAACATTCAGAGGGTGTTAAGATTGGGTTTCCCGGCTTTCTGATGCTTTCAACGACCCCAAAACATTTCAAACTGGTCCTAACCCCAACCCACCCATGCAGCCTACCTACCACCCTCAGAATTATTAGACTGTCCCGTGACCTGAGGAATTACCCTGTTTGGGGTATGATATTAATAAAGCACCTTCTTGTTTTCATTTCTGCTCTGTAAGGCTACCATAACCATAACATTTCTTTACACAAGCCCGGAGGCAGTCAGTAGCTGTTGTAATCTGTAACCCGATCAATAACTTCAGTTTAGCAGCTAAAAGCTGTTGGTGGGAGCTAAACTCGTGGCTTGTTGTACTGCTCTTGACTGAATGCTTCGTAAACATTGGCTGCAAGCTGCTTCAGCTCCTCCATCAACAGAAGTTCCTGCATGAAAAAAATACAAAGTGGGACAGTTTCAGTATTCGATGATACATACATAATGCATTTCAGAAACACTGAACAGTACTTCACACGGAGCGAACAGAGGGCCCGTTCCAGAGAGCTCTTCCTGCCCTGACGCAACGAGAAATTCCAGGAGCAGAAAAGAATAAGGAGAAGAATGTATGTAAATGTATCATTGTAGGTGTCGCACAGTTTTATCACATAGGTACACATCCCAGAAACCCTGTTCAACTGTACAAACAGTTATGCTGCAGTACAGTACAAGGAAACCTGCAGCCCAGTGTACAGCAGACGTCAAGTTAAGTTAAGCTCTAATCTTCAGTTTCTTTCTACTTTTTTTTTTTGGCTTTTTTTTTTTTAATTGGTTTCTGAGGCAAATGTTACAAATACCTTGGATGGCCAGAGTAACTAACAATGACAACGATTGTTTGAAAGAAGCTAATGAAAGTAAATCTCCATAATCAACAATAAGAAAAAGACAAACACTGTTCTTTAGCCACTTAATGAGAAGAGAGGCATTGGAAAACATTGTGACAACTGGAAAGCTCAGTGGAAAGAGGGGTAGAGGCAGACCAAAAGAGATGATGCTGGGTGGGCTGAAACAATGGCATGGAGGGATATCATCTAGAGAGCTGTTCCAGGCAACCAGGGATCGTGATCTGTGGAAATGCATGAGCGCCTATGCCAACTGGCAGGGCACATGGTGTTTTATTTTGTTATTCTTGTAAGTGATCCATATACATACAGTAGTATGTATAATATGAAAAATGCAGGTTAAGTAGGTAATGAACAGGCGGACAGATTGGCTGGATCTGCACCACTGGGTGGTGAATTGATACATGACAAGGCAGATGTGGTCAAGTCCTTTTGGGAACAAGCAGCAACAGAATCAGTAGAGAAACAAGATTACAATGGCCTGGAGATAATTAGGCACCTGTGTGTAACTAGAGGGTCTGGCCAACTCACTACACTCAGGAAAGGCAAGACTGACATATAACCAGATTGTGACCGGTACCATCAGTATTGCAACTCTACGCTGGCTGCTGAAGATAAGGATGGAGCACACATGGGAATGCCCCGAGTGCTGTGATGTTAATTCTTGACTGAACTCAAGTTTGCATAATATATACTTAATTTCTATCTTCCATAGACAACTGTCTCTAAGTGTGAAGATTATAACTTACCACAAACCACAAGACACAATAAGTGTCACAGAAATGCTTAGTTAACACTTTACCAGATGGTCTCATAAGTCCACTAACAATAGTCTGACTAACCTGAACAAACTGGTTAGGTGCATCGGCACAAATTTTCAGCATGATTGAGTTGATAACGGGTATCAGCTTTGCCACAGCGATCGACACATCGTGAATCCTGGCAACAACAACATAAAATACAATTTGTGTATGCTGGAAATATATAAAACCAAACGAGAAGTAGATCAGCGAGTGTCATAATATAACAAACTCAAACAAAAAGTGAACGATGCGCCTACAGAGCCTTATCAACACACATACATAAAGCAACAAAATCACTTAACTGACGTATGCCGAAGCAGCCAGAAAACTGGAAACTTTAGAATACAAAGTACTTTACCACACAATTTGGGTTTTTTCGGGGAGGGTGGGGGCGGTCGGAAACCTAGACTGTGGACGCAAAGATGAAAGATGTCCATAAGAGAGCTTTCAATGAGAGGCCAGGTGTGCAGGACTGGGGGGGGGGGGGGGGGGGGCGGGGGGGGGGGGGGGGGGGGGGGGGGGGGGGGGGGGGGGGCGGGGGCTAGAGTATGATAGAGGAACTAGAGATTAATATAATTCATCATCGTCATGTGCCATGATGGTAAGCCTGGGCTGTCATGTTTGGCCATCTCACACGATCACCAGAATACCCGATCAAATCAATATTTTTTTTTTTTGGGGGGGGGGGGGGGTCTCGCCCGGTCCATCTGGTCAGGCCAGGTATGTTTCTCTTTGTCCTCGGCATGCTCTCTTTCCATCGATCTGGCCAGCTGTTACCAAGGTCTCAAGTCCATTACAAAACATAAAATGTGCAAAACATACTGGCTATCTACGTCTGATTGTTCTAATAAGTTTCTGACTATCATCCGTCCTGAAGAGGACTGCTTCGTTTGTTTTTCTATCCCACTCATGATACATGATATTTTTTGCATTATCCTCAGAAACCAAATCTCTGCCATAAGTAAATGTTTTTCAGCTGGCCTGAAAATTGTCCATGTACCTGCAGAATTAATCAAATAACAGCTAAACATTTGCTGCGGGGTGTGCACAACATATTCTTCATCTTCTTCTACAGCACTCATCTGCTGCAAACATCACCCGTCTCCATTTATCTCTGACTGTAACTGACCTTGTCGTTCCAATTCATGACTCCAAGTGTTTGCAGGTCTACCTGTAGAGACCATCTGTTGCCCATGCAGGATTGACCCCTCTCTTGCCTGCTCTGTTTACTCCAAAGGAATGATAACACCAATACTTTTCATCAGCTACCAGGTCGCTCACTGGCTGGCCAGCAGACGACTTGGTCGCCGGTCGGGACAGAGTTTTGGTCTGTCTCCTTTGATCACATCGCCACTGCAGGAATCCTTTTCATGGGTGTTGGTGGCATGCAATATTAGGCCATTTTATTTGGCGCACATAACCTAGTCACAATTATAACCTAAAGCTCCTCCTTCAGGGATGGTTGAATGTGACGATTTTATTATTATTTTTTTTTTTAGCAAAGTACCTACCTACCAATACTTATGGGGGGGAAAAAACATGCTGTAGAAGTATTTGGACTGAAAGTACTACACGTGATAAAAGAGAAAAGTCTGTTGGTCTGGTTCTCATAAGTCTGAATCTCCTTTAAAGTAAAGGACCCTTTTCCACGCCTTCAAGCGTATAGGGCATATAGGGCTAGACTTATATTTTATAGACCGATCAGCACAAGATTGGTGATGTGGTCAGCATCAGGCCGGCCAACTCTACTTCCTGGGTCTGCACCCGGTACCCACTCAAGGTTGGATTGACCTAGGTGCCAAGATCATTTTTTTTTAAACCGGCTTCGCCAGGGATGGAACCCACGACCTTTCAATCCGCGGAGAGCGTCTAGCCAATGGCAGCATCTGGCCGCTCTGCCACGGCGACTCCCTGAATCCCTTTCAAGCGCAGGATAAAAGTGTACAGGCTCTACTAATTGGCTACTGAAGGAAAGGTCATAGCACTTGTGGCAATGTCCCAAGATCAGTGATGTCCATTTTTATATAAAATACTCATTCAGTCAGACTGTTCGTGTTCTGTGCTGTCACCAGTTGTAAACTCTGGTGGAAAGTTCTTGTTAATCATCCACTTCTGGACTTGAGTCTTAACCCAGAACTTGAGTTTTGAGTGCACATCCATTTTATAGATATGGTTTATTTGTGCGCAGACTGTTGGTTCCTTTCCTCTCAGGCCATGCAGTTCAACTTTGATGGAAACACCCTGAATTAAATTGCTTTCTACAACAAGCTTGTTAGGGGCGCAGTGAGTCTCTTCTCCCCTGAATCCCCCCCCCCCCCCCTTTCTCCTTCCATAGGGCCCTGGAAACTACATGAGGATTTCAGACTGTGAGAGTGGGTTATATTCCAATTATTTGCAGCAGAAAGAGTTAATCCTAGTTTCCCTCCACTCATCGACTCTCAGACTCCCTACCTTGAATTACTGTCCTCAGGTGATAGCTGCTCTTTGTAGTGCTCAGCGACAGTGTCCAGCACACAATGGTATCCCCTGTCTACACTCTCCTTCAGCACGGTATGGAAGTCTGCACTGCAAAAACACACATCATGTCACAGAGACACTTGATTACAAGAGGGCTTCAAATGTAAACTTCAACAGTGTCACAGAAATTACAATAACCATGCCACTGTTTTATAACCTGCCAATATTAAGAATATAAAGAGTGTTGAGTATGTGAATCATCATGCAGATGAAGACAGTAACATCATAATGACAGCTGAAAGATGGCCACCCCACTTTTGACATGCACCAAAGAGAAGCAGCATTCTGTTAGAATCTGGGTTTTCTTTAAATCAGTGAAGGAGTGAAACCTATAGAAATTCATCGGCGAATGAAGGTCCAGTATGCTGATGCATGCCTGTCAGCTCAGCAAGCTTATGAGTGGAGTCAGAACTTTCAAAAGGGCGTAACTTCTGTGACAGACTGTACACGACCCGGTCAGGCCCACAATGTGTGAATGCAAAGAAATCACGCCCGTTTTGAAACTTCCATGCTGACTGACCCACACTAGTATGGTGATGCATGTCCATCAGTCCAGCAAAAGTATGAGTGGAGCAGGAAGTTTCAAAATGTGCGACTTCTGTAACAGAATGTTGACAAACCAGGTCAGGCACTCCATGGAAGTCACGCCATCTTGGAACGTCCACGCTGATCAACCCAAGTCTTTTCATCGAGGAACTATGAATTCCAATACTGTTCGTTCTAAAGCACTTCAGTATTTACTTACTTACTTAGTCAATCCTCTTCTATCCTGGGATGCAGAGGTTTGCCAGAGAGAGATCACCAGATTTATCTATCAGCAGTTTTTTTCTTTGGCTTTGTTCAATTCCAGTCATGCACCTGGGTGTGACTTAGAGGTTAGTGAATGCAATTCACAATTTTGTGATCCTAGACTACTTGCCGCTGAGGGGGGAAAAATAAGGGCTTTTGGGCCCAAATGCTACGAAAAGATTCTCAGAATACCAACCTAACAGATCTGAACATCAAGGAAGATTAGCCAGTAAACATAATCTTGTCTGGGAAGCTGGGATATTTTGGAAATTTCAAGCACCACGGCAGATCAGGAAAAAAAAAATAACAGCAGAAGGAATGGAACCAGGAAAGAGTGGCAGAGGCCGACCAGCAAGCAGATGGGCATAGGATATAAGTGATACCTTAGGTAGGAAAGTACAGGAAGTGGGAGATCTGGCGAGAGGCTAGTTTCTTTAAGGCAGACCAAGAAGAGGGTGATAGTCTGCAAAGGACCTCCTACATGATGATGAGACTAAGAAAGTACAGGAAGTGGGAGATCTGGCGAGAGGCTAGTTTCTTTAAGGCAGACCAAGAAGAGGGTGATAGTCTGCAAAGGACCTCCTACATGATGATGAGACTAAGAAAGTACAGGAAGTGGGAGATCTGGCGAGAGGCTAGTTTCTTTAAGGCAGACCAAGAAGAGAGTGATAGTCTGCAAAGGACCTCCTACATGATGATGAGACTAAGAAAGTACAGGAAGTGGGAGATCTGGCGAGAGGCTAGTTTCTTTAAGGCAGACCAAGAAGAGAGTGATAGTCTGCAAAGGACCTCCTACATGATGATGAGACTACCAAGGTTATTTTTTATTTGTTTAAAAAAATGCTTGTGGTTTTTAAAAAGTATTATGAAGGTCACATCAGCAGATTGGCAAAAATACCAGCAGAAGAGATGGAACCAGAAAAGAGTGGCAGAGGCCGACCAACATGCAGATGGGCATAGGATATAAGTGATACCTTAGGTAGGAAAGTACAGGAAGTGGGAGAACTGGCAAGAGGCTAGTTTCTTTCAGGCAGACCAAGAAGAGAGTGATGGTTTGCAAAAGACCAGCTACATGATGATGAAACTACTAGAGTAATTTTTTTTTTTTTAAACATTCTTGTGGTTTTTGGATAGTTTTATGAAGGCTGCACCATGGATTAGACTGGGGTCTCACTACATAATATTCACAAAGAAAGCACACTGCAGCAAACCTTACTTACAGAATCAGAACAGAATTTTTCTGACATTCAGATCTTGTCAAATATCAGCATTTTTTTTATCTTCTCTTAGCCAGGTTTATGTAGCATTTAAGTTCAAAAGCCCTAAAAATGTACTTACCTTTCTAAAATGTCTCTTGTTTCACCGACAAGTCTTTCTAGTAATGCATCCTCTGGACTCGGTACAGACTGCAAAATAAGTTCTGGACAATTTACTAAATTATATTTAAAAAATTTCAAATACTTCTCTTTTATTTCTTTAAGACTGATTGACTTTGAATCAAGACTACTTCTTAATTCGCCTTTAAAAAAGGTAGGTAGCATGTTGTGTTATGGTTTACAGCTAGGCTGGGATATCCGCACCTTTCGACCAAATGCATCTGATTTCAGCGTCCTTAATTAGTCGCCTTTTACAGCTTTTACAGCACAGTAAGGTGAAAAGGTAAAGCTAAAAGTGAGAGTAATTACTTCATTGCACCAGGTTTTATCCCATGTGTCTCAGTCTCTCTCCGCGGAACAGCTAGCTGCCTGTCGAGAGCATCACACAGAACCAGACCTCCATAGCTCTGGCGACAATTGCCAGAGATCTCAGTAAAAATGCATTCATTTAATGAACGGCAACACCATGAAATGAACCCACGAGGCAAACAGCTTGACCACTTTGCCAGGGCCCACCCCCCCCCCCCCCCCCCCCCCCCCCCCCCCCCCCCATCTCCTATTCTTCCTGGGACTCAAAAACCCACCAGGTGAGATGCTATACAATATTCATAAACAAACTAAATATTGAGCAGAGGGAACTAAATGGCATGATTGAATCACTAATGTAGAGCTTTGGGAACGAATTAGGCAAGTTCCAGTGGTCCAAGAGGTGAAGAAAAGAAGCTGGCATTGGAAAGGACACACGATGAGAAAACTGGAGAACAAATTAACTAGAATGTCTTTGCATTGGAACCCACAGGGGCATAGGAATAAAGGAGAACTGGGAAAAAAAAACATGGAGAAGGGAGCTAGAGAGTGAAGTTAAAAAGATAAGGAGTACATGGGGAGAGATGCATGCGATAGCAAAGTGTAATAAAGTGAATTCCCGGGGAAATCTCTGAGTTCCCGATTGGGGGGAACAAGGTCAGAGGGCCAGTGAAACAAGACGCAAGTGAGGAAAGCATGTCTCGAGTATCCCGTGTAGGGTGAATTGAGGTACATGGAAAGCGTGAGACTTGAGTGGAAGGTTTGAACCGAGAGACGAGAAGAAGTCAGTTAAGTTTGGACCTAGATGTGTGCGGTCGAATGCAGTGGAGTAGCTGAGAAGAATGCGGACTGTCTGACTATGTGTATTGTTCAAGATGCGGAATGAATGTCTACTGACTGTGAGCTTCGGCTGTGTACAGGTACCAGGAACAAGATGTTAGCCTGATCCAGATGTATTATCCGAAAGGTAACTGCAGAGAGAATCAGAGTATGAGATAGTTGGAACTGTGGTTATAAATGAGCCATGTGTAGCAGCCACAAGAACACAGAACAACGGCTGGACAGTGCAGCTGTTGGAACAGCCAATAAAGATCAATCACTGCCGAGGGGCGTGTATGTTGTCTGGTGTATTTGTAGTAACTTTATATAACTAAGAACGCCAGTACAGCAATGTGATGAGTTCAATCAAACCCTAGATAGAGCCACATTGCACAAAGGATAGAATGACTTGCCATGAGTTGGTTGATGGCCTATGCTCCATTGGGGGTTAAAAAGGCAGAAGAAGAAGAAAAGGAAGAAGAAAAAGAAACTGAATACACAACAACAAAACAAGCCAGAAAGCAAGGATAGTACATAATTAATGTTGAATTAAGAATTGACATCACAGCACTTGGGACACTCCCATAAGTGCTCAGTCCCCATCTTCAGCAGCAAGCAAAGAGTTCCGATTCCGATGGCTAGCACATAATTAGATAAATTTAACATATCAAACAACATAAAGTACAGGGATTCTTTTTCTTGGCATTCACCAGCAAAAAGTTGGAGGTTTGTCCACTCCTGGATTTTAGTCTTGCTCCAGAACTTGAATTTTGCATGCACATCCATTTTACAGATCTGGCTTAAGTGTGTGCAGACTGTTTATTCCTCACCGCTAAGGCAGATGCTTTGAACTTTGGAGGACAAATCCCTAATTAGTGGGTCTATTTTCTTTGTTTCCCAACATGGAATCCTGTAACCCACAAAGGGAGGACAGGCATTCAAAACGTTTTCCCAGTGTCAATTTTAATAAAGAAGAGCACATACTAATACACAACTGAATGCCTGACATATTTTGAAGTATTTTGTCAGGAGTATTACTAGGGAATGATAGTGTCTCTGCCTTCCAGGTTTCTACTGAATGAAGAGTTATCACCATCATCATCAATGTCAAGTCTTGTGGGGAGGAACTGTGCGATCCATTACTCGATGGGTAGCAATGGCTCATGTCACTCTATAAAGCAGGTTTCTGAATACTGTGGATGCAAATCTACATTTTAACAGATTCCACAATAGATTTCAAGATTCCTCACTGAAGATCTTGGATTCAAATTTGTATCGAAGTGTATTTTTATACTGGATATAGGGCTCCCTGATCAGCCCAACCTAACATGGATACCAGAAAAAGTTCCTCAGAAATAAAGGCTGCCGCTGTGACACTGATCACACCATCGGTCAAATCACAAATGGTCTTTAACAAATTTGAATCTATTCAATCAATCAATCAGGTGCCGTCTCCACAATGAAGGTTGGCTGTAATGGATCTCCAACAAGCCCTGTCTCTTGCCCTTTATGTACACTCACTCATACTGCTGTTCGTCCATCTTTTGATGTTATCCTCCCACTTGTAACGCTGTCTGCCTTTTGCTCGACTACCTTGAACCTTTCCCTCTAGGATGATCTTTACAATACTGTTATGTCTTTTAATGTGACCAAAATATTTCACTTGTCTCTTTTTTATTTCCCCTAGCAACTCTCTTTCCATTCCCAATTTCCTCAGTACCTCTGTATTTGATAGCTTTTGTTTCCATGAAACACGACCTAATCTTCTGTATATCCACATCTCCAAAGAATTTATACGATTTTCCAGTTGTTTGTTTATTGTCCATGTCTCTGTGCCATACAGTAAGGTTGAGAATACATAACATTTGACAATTCTCATTTTTAATGTATTGCTTATTTCTCTTGATGTCAGTAACTTTTGCATGTTGTTAGAAATGTTTTTGGCCATCCATATTCTTTTCTTGACTTCTGTTTCACTTCTGCCATCACAAGTTATTATTGTCCAAGATATAAGAAATTTTTAACTTGTTCTAATTGCACCCCGTTCACTGTGATATTCATTGTTAGCTGATTATTTTCTTTGCTAAATATCATGGTTTTTGTCTTTTTCAAATTTATATCTAATCCAAATTCTGCACTCCTTCTGTTTACTTGCTCCACTAGGTCTTGCAACTCCTGCTCACTCTCTGCTAGCAACACTGTGTCGTCAGCATATCTCAGATTGTTTATTATTCTACCATTGATGTGCAGTCCTGGTAATTCTACAATTTCTTTAAAAATGGTTTCTGTACATAAGTTGAAAAGGCTAGGTGACAGCACACATCCTTGTCTTACTCCTCTCTTGATCTCTATCTGGGGTGAGCAGATGTTGTCATATCTTACTGTTGCTTCTTGCTCCCAGTATAAGTTTCTAATAAGTCTGATATCCTTTCCATCTAGTCCTATGTTTTGAAGAGCTGCAATTAGTTGTTCATGTTGCACTCTGTCGAAAGCTTTTTTGTAATCTATAAAACATGCATAAATATTTTTCTGAACTTCTATATGCTTTTCAGTCAGCATCTTTAGACAAATTATGGCCTCTCGAGTACCACTGTTTTTACGGAATCCAAATTGCTCTTCAGAAACTTCTTTCTCTATTTTATCTTGAATTCTTGTTTGTATTATCTTCAAGAGTAACTTAGTTACGTGGCTCATTAGGCTAATAGTTCTGAAAGGACACTTCTTTGACGATACTGATGACATCCAAAACATCGACTTTAAGGGCCATAACATCGACTTTAAGGGCCATAATATCGACAAAACTACAGAGGTTGTTCCAGTGTTGGTTAGATCGTGTCACTCGCTGTATCAATACACAGGGCTTACTTTGAATCAAATACTGGTTATATCTTCAACTGTTGATTACTTTAATTTCTATTGAATCAGTCTCTTTACTTAACTGTCGGACCTTGTACAAATGACTAAAAATTTCTCTATATGCCAATGAACGAATTAATAAAAAACTTTATTTTTAAAAGGCTGCAAACTGAGCCCTTTCAAGGATCGTCTCTCTCACAACAGAATTGTGTTCCATTTAGAAACATATGTTAACACAGCAGTACATATAATATTTTAAGAGCAATTAAAAACACAAAACCTGTATTTGATCTGAGACACTCACAGAAATGTCAGGAACTTGCTCACTTGTCAGAAGATACGGGTACAAAGACTGTGTTGGCTTGTCAACTCCACACTCCACCCTCTCCCGAATGTGATCAAGAATTGAGGTTAAATTGTCCAGTGAAATAAGTTCCTTGAGTGATAAACTGAAGAATGAAGTGAAAAAAGAGAAATATAAGGAGAATACTTATAAATATTAGAATAGCAAAAAAAAGTATTGCATCCTAATGTTTATTTATTTTTTTTCATTATGTTCCATGGACCCCCGGGGTTTACAGTGCACCAAATGGGAAAGAATCTTCTAGAGTGAAAGAAAGAAACTACAGATGAATGTAACTGCAGAATTAATAAAATTACAGCTAAACATCTTCTGTGGTAGTGTGCAACATTCTTATCTTAATCTTATTAACTGAAGAATAAAATTAAACAAGGAAAAATGATGAGAATACGATAAAATTATAGTAGTAATAAATGAAGGATCTGTAGTGGCATAGCTGTCAGACTCTCACCTGCAAGCCTGAAGGGCTAGGGTTTGAATCTGAATAGAGTTATAAAACGAGAGAGGTTTCCAATTCAAACTCAGCCTAAATTGGCTACCAGGTAAATTCTCTAGAAGTAAAGGCGGCTGGCATAATGCTCACCACAATGTTCATCAAGTGTCAAGTGATCTGTACAAATTTGAATCTAGCAACGTATATCAGATGCAAAAGTGACATGAAATTGGTCCTTCAATTATTAAACTGAGTTGAGTTAAGTCAAGAATTGACATCACAGCATTCTGGGCATTCCCATGCATGCTCTGTCCTCATCTTCAGCAGCCAGCACAGAGTTCCAATACTGATGGTACCAGTCACAATCTGGTTATATGTCCGTCTTGAATTTCCTCTGATTGTAGTGAGCCGGCCAGACCCTCTGGTTACACCCAGATGCCTCATTCTCTCCAGGCCATAATCCTTCAATTATTAATGAATAATAAAATTGTATTTAACAAGTTCCAACACATTTCTCTTTACAATAAGTCGCCATCATCATCATCCTCATCAGTTTCCACTTTTGCCGTTAAAAGCATTGGGGGAAGTAACAGTTTGCGATCCATTGCTAAATGGGCAGCAATTGCTATTGCCACTCCATGTCGATGTAGAAGTTCTTTAATTTCATCAATCCATCTTCTCCTAGGACGGCCTCTTGCTTTTACTTCAGATCCTTTATGTGTAGCGCCTGAACTGGTAGTTGTTCTGGCTGCATTCTTACTAAATGACCAAACCATTCAATCTTCTGTTTCTTAATCAATTTGCTGCATGGTGTTTTTCCTACAGTCTGATAATATCACTTCTAACTTTGACTTCCGGTTAAAATGGACGCTAGACAGCTGCGCTGTTCGAAGCAGAGGCAAATTTTTTGCTTCTATTAGACGGTGGCCGAAGTATTTTTGCTCCATTTGTAGACTGGATATAGTTTCGTCGCCCAGCTTCTGAGTTAAATGCATGGCGTGACCCTGTGAGCTGCGGATTGCATTTGGAATGTATTTTCGACTGTGACCAACGTGGTGGTGTGAATTGTAGATTCAGAAAATGCCGTGATGCCTGTCGTGAAATGTTGGCGGTGCCTGTATCTGGTTAAAATTGATCGCGTGGACAACTGCTGAACTGTTGGCGACAAGTTCTGCTATCATCAATGATGAACTGCATTTCTAATGTTGGACTGTTTGTGTTAGCACTTCGGATGGCTACCGTATGCTTTAATGCGAGTGTATGCTAGATATGCTGAGACAGCAGTCTGTCAATCTTTCCACAAGGGACTGTGATAAACATTCTGGGTGTTTTTCGTTGGCACAGGAGTGGAGCAAAGATGGGGCGACCCGTTGCTATGAAGCTGAAACTAAGACTACCAGACTTCTAACTTTGTCTCGGAGGTTAAATTGGCGGTTTTTCTCAGGCATCTCATTTCACAGGTGTTAATTTTACATAGGGTAGCCTTTGATAATGTCCAAGTCTGGCACTGGTAGCACAGGGTTGGTATGAATATCCTGTTTTTAATCTGTTTCTTGGTGCTCATACATATGTTTGGATACCTAATAATGGTGTCAGTTAGTATATAAGTGCACTGGCTCACTGGCATCTTGTTTCTTTTTCCTGATATATTCTTCCATCTTCCGAGAATATACTTCCTAGATATTTAAAATCTTTAACTTGCTTCAGACAGGTACCATTCAATACAATATGTAGCGGACTAGGAATTCTGCTGATCATCATTACTTCAGTTTTGGTAGTGTTTATTTTCATGTTACAGTAAGTAAGCTGTTTAAAGTATATCTCAAAAGACAGAACTGCTCTGCTTTTCCAAAATCCTGTCCAAGTTTTTTTTTCAGGATGGCCCCCCATTTCATTCTTGGAGCTATCAGGCAAACTGGCTTCACTCAATTCTCAAAACATGACCAGAATATGATTGGCTTGATACACGTAACAACCTGGCAGTCAATTTGCCTCCTGTTGTACACGGAAAAGAGCTGTGGCAGCACTCGTCCAGTCCAGCATGGCAGACTGGGGGAATGGTCCATTAATGCCTTGAAATGTTCCTAGCTTCAATCAATTTTTGTGACGCATTTCCATCATATCTGGGCTTGGAAGTTGAGTTGAGTCAAGAATTTACATCACAGCACTCTGGGAATTCCAGTGCATGCTCCGTCCTCATCTTCAGCAGCCAGCACAGAGTTCCAATACTGATGGTACCAGTCACAATCTGGTTAAAAGTCCATCTTGCCTTTCTTCTTGAGTTTAGTGAGCTGGCCAGACCCTCTGGTTACACCCAGGTGCCTCATTCTCTCCAGGCCATAATAATCTTGTTTCTCTACTGATTCCGTTGTTTGTTCCCAAAGGGCCTTGACCACATCTGCCTTGTCATGTATCAATTCACCACCCAGTGGTGTGGATTCAGCCAATCTGTCTGCCTGTTCATTACCCACCACGCCGGCATGGCCTGGAGAAAAGATTCAAAGTAAACTTTGGGCTTGGAAGTATATGGTTCGATTGCTCATATTACAATGAATGATCAAATACCAAGAAATCACAACCAAAGATTATATTCCAAGATATTACACTGATTGTCTACACTACATACCACTGACCACTTCTCACAAATGACCCTAATAAACACTTAACAACATATCACATCAAATCAATTACCAACCTTCCGCAATCAATGATCACTTACCAACCAATCTCCTTTGTCACAGCTAACCTTAGGAAGTGGATAAAATCTACTAAACCTGATGGAATAAAAATTGCATATTTTTTTATGAGAAGATGGTAACTATATGTTTCTGTATATCTAACAATCTTACATCTTCTTCAGACAAATTACAAAGGATATTCAAGCTAAATCATGTAGCAGATCTTTTACTTCTTCTTCTTAAGTTTTCATTAACTGTAAACTATGGCAAAAGTTCTGGTTGTTCATCCACTTCTGGACTTTGGTCTTGTTCCAGAACTGGAGTTTTGAGTGCATATCCATTTTAAAGATTTGACTGTTGGTTCCTCACTTCTCAGGCAGATGCAATCCAACTGCGAAGGAATACCCCCAATTAGTGGCTTTTTACGACATGCTTATTCAGGGATGGGAGGAGTGGGTCTTTTCTTTTGTAACCCCATAATGGGACCTCTTACCCACATTGGGACTTTAAAAGAATTGCAAAAGATATTTAATATAAATCCTGTAGTAGGTCCTTTACAAAATGTCCATAATTCAAACTAACTTTTAAAACTGTGACAAATGACAGCTGTTAAAGTGTGTCAGCATTCATGACTTAGGGGTTATCAATGCAGTTTCATAATTTCAGAACACCAGGCTCGATTCAGTTCCCATCGATTATCACTAGTGTATGTCCTTTGAAACCGGAGTGCATCCGCCAAAGAGGCAAGGAACCAACAGTCGGTATACAAATAAGCCAGATCTGTGAAAATGATGTGCATGCAAAACTCAAGTTCTGGAATAAGACCAAAATCCAAAAGTGGATGAACAACCAGATCTTTTCGCTGGAGTTTATTGTTGGTGAATATGAAGAAGAGGAAGAAGAAGAAAAAGAAAACTGTATGAACCACATTAAATCAATCAGGTGCCGTCTCCACAATGAAGGTTGGCTGCAATGGATCTCCAACAAGCCCTGTCTCTTGCCCTTGATGTACACTCACTCATACTGCTGTTCGTCCATCTCTTGGTGTTATCCTCCCACTTGTAACGCTGTCTGCCTCTTGCTCGCCTACCTTGAACCTTTCCCTCTAGGATGATCTTTACAATACTGTTATGTCTTTTAATGTGACCAAAATATTTCACTTGTCTCTTTTTAATTTCACCTAGCAACTCTCTTTTCATTCCCAATTTCCTCAGTACCTCTGTATTTTATAGCTTTTGTTTCCATGAAATACGACCTAATCTTCTGTATATCCACATCTCCAAAGAATTGATACGATTTTCCAGTTGTTTCTTCATTGTCCATGTCTCTGTGCCATACAGTAAGGTTGAGAATACATAACATTTGACAATTCACATTTTTAATGTATTGCTTATTTCTTGTGATGTCAGTAACTTTTGCATGATGTTGAAAATGTTTTCGGCCATCCCTATTCTTTTCTTGACTTCTGTTTCACTTCTGCCGTCACATGTTATTACTTATCCAAGATATAGGAAATTTTTCACTTGTTCTAATTTCAACCCGTTCACTGTGATATTCATACGCCACATTAAAACCACATTAAAAGCAATTACAAAATTCTAAGGTAATATTATTGCCCAGTGAAACCAAACAGCCAAGATATGCTGGGGTTGGTTTCTAATGCCCTGTAAAGAAAATGCAACTGACTTTTAAATTAAAACAGTGTGTACATGTTGTTTTTTTGCGCTGCCTGTATATTGTTGATGTGATCAGCTTTAACATGCAAAACATGAACCCTAATTTCTTGTGATCAGCTTTAACATGCAAAACATGAGTCTTAATTTCTCAACATACATTAAAATGTTAGCTGTGTATCCTTTATAGGATGTTGCAGAACCAACTCTAGCATTTGTTTGGCTGTTGTAGTTTTTCTAGGCAAATTGATGTCTAGTAGTTTGCCATCTCTTTCTGGACGATTGGCTTCTCGATACCACTGTCGAAACTAGCGCAAGGTATGCAGCTGGGATCAAACCCGGCACCCTGGCATTACAAAACACATTTGCAATGCCTAAGCCACAGACGTGACATAATACGAATTTTAATTTTTCAGTCAGATTCAAACCCACATCCTGTTGACCTAGGGAAAAACTAACCTTGGCTTCTAGGTCAACGCAGCCTAAAATGGGTATCAAGGAATGTCCCAGGAAAGAACCTTTGAAGTCGGAATGTATCTGCCTGAGAGGCAAGGAACCAACAGTCTGCATACACATAAGTCTGATCTGTAAAACGGATGTCTATGCAACACTCAAGTTCTGTAAGAGGAAGTGGACAAAAACCCAGAACTTTTCCTTGGAGTTTACAGCTGGTGAACAAGAAGAAGTTTCCCAGGTAGATTTAGGGACACCATTGTAAAAGGGGAAGGAAAAGAGATTAATAGACCCATGATCCCTCTAACAAGCATGTCCTAAAAGCTGACAAATTAGGGGAGCTTCCTTTAAAGGTGAAATGCATCTGCCTGAGAGGCGGGAAACCAACAGTCTGCAAACAAATAATCCAGATCTGTAAAATGGATGTGCATGCAAAACTCAAATCCTGGAACAAGACCAAAGTCCAGAAGTGGACAAACACCCATAACTTTCCACCAGTGTTCACAGCTGGTGAACATGAAGAAGAAGCAATGCCACTGGTATGGAAAAGAGGTCCTTTACTTATATGAATGTAAATTACTTAAAACATCAACAAAATAAACACAATACCTTGATCAATGAATTGTTTCACGAGGGACAGATAACGTTCCTGGACTTTCTGTGGGATCGTACTTTTATAGCTGCCCTCTACATTCTATTGATATTTGAAGAACACATTAATAAATGGCTGAAGGGGAGAACAAACATTTGAAACACAAGCTATTAAACAGTAGCAAGTGGAGAACAAACATTTGAAACGCAAGTTATTAAACGGTAGCAAGGGGAGAACAAATATTTGAAACACAAGTTATTAAACAGTAGCAAGGGGTGAACAAACATTTGAAACACAAGTTCTTAAACAGTAGCAAGGGGAGAACAAACATTTGAAACACAAGTTATTAAACAGTAGCAAGGGGAGAACAAACATTTGAAACACAAGTTATTAAACAGTAGCAAGGGGAGAACAAACATTTGAAACACAAGTTATTAAACAGTAGCAAGGGGAGAACAAACATTTGAAACACATATTATTATATAGTAGCAAGGGGAGAACAAACATTTGAAACACATATTATTATATAGTAGCAAGGGGAGAACAAACATTTGAAACACATATTATTATATAGTAGCAAGGGGAGAACAAACATTTGAAACACATATTATTATATAGTAGCAAGGGGAGAACAAACATTTGAAACACAAGTTACTAAACGGTAGCAAGGGGAGAACAAACATGCTTCAGAAAATCGCTTTAAGTAGTCTACGCTCCAAATTGGTAGAAAGCATTTGGAAGTTGCAGTTAACCTCCAACATCTGGATCTGGATGGCGAAGGCTATTGTCATTCTGTGTCGACGTTGAAGCTCTTTAATGTCATTAAAACATCCTGTCCTAGTCGGCCTCTTGTTTTCACTTCAGATCCTTCCGTGTGTAACACCAGTGTTGGTAGTTGTTCTGGCTGCATTCTCACTAAATGACCAAACCATTTGATCTTCTGTTTCTCAATGAATTTACTGCATTGTGCTGTACCTACAGTCTGTCTGATAATAATTCCAGGCAATAAGCTGTGCAATGTATTGTTTGTGTCCCCATGATTTAAAGACATTTGTGTTATTCCTGTCTGCATTGTTCAGAAAGAATTTAGTAATTTTCCAAAGCACTGCTGATTATGCTGTGATGCGAATCGCAAGCAATCTGAGGCAGGTTAGTAAATCTGTACTGTTGCCACCATACAGGTCCAGAACCCATTTTGAAGGAAACAAGAATAAACTCACTGCCCCCAACAAGCATGTTTTAAAAGACAACTAATTCAGGTTGTCTCCTTCAAAGTCAATCTTCCCAAGAGGTGAGAAACCAACAGTGTGCATACAAATAAGCCATATCTTTAAAACACATGTGTATGCAAAACTCAAGTTCTGAAACAAGACCAACAAACAACCTTAACTTTTCACCAGAATTTACAGCCAGTGAACATAAAAAAGAAGAAGTATTGATGTGTATTGCTAGTTCAAAAAACTGCCTCCCCAATGGCTTCATTTCCATGTTTAAAGAACAAGAAATAAATAGAAAAATATGACAAAAATGTCAATCCAGATGAGAAGTAGTTTAAGTTGACTTTACAACCCCACAATCACGAATGACAAAATTAACGCTGAGTCTAGAACAGTGTTCCTCAACTTTCTTACACCAACGGCCAACCAAAACAAGGATAATTGTCTCAAGGCAGATTTGACAGCTAACCCAGCACAGAAACCAAAACAAATGTAAATGCATTTTATTTGATACATATTTGATGTGACAATATTACAATATTCTGCTGCTCCTTAGTGGTTAGAAAATCTGATATATGTTTGATAAACGCCCAGTGACAAAAAGTGCCACCATGCGGATGAGAATCACCCATGGAGAGGTTCCAGAAACAGCATTCAACCGTCAGGCTATTCTGCAGCCCCTGGCAAAAGCCACTGTGGGGCTTCAAAATAATGAACAATCGCATCCCTCAAAGGGATTGACGAAGGTTTGAGAGTGTTATTTCTTATTGACATTCTGAGGTGTTAATCCTACAAACTACAATCTTGGATACAAATTTAAAAAACTACCTACCCTACCGCGTTATATAATTAGGCAGAGATTTTGGGCGGTCCACCAGGACATTTCCACCGCCCACCCGGACATTTCCGGGAACACTTGTCTAGAAGTCTCCATCAGCATACAATGACAATGGTACAATGCAACAAAAAAACAAAAAATATACCTAACGACATCTGGGTTTGACAATACAGCAATCAGACAAGCCCACAACAGTTCCATCTCAATCCTCAACAGCCAGTGAAGAATCTCCATACTTCTTCTTCTTCGCGTTCACCAGCTGTAAACTCTGGCGGAAGGTTCTGGTTGCTCATCCACTACTGAACTGCAGTCCTGTTCCAGAAGCTGAGTGTTGCGTGTGCATCAGTTTTACAGATCTCATTCTCTTGAATACACACTGTTGGTTCCTTGCCTCTCCGGCAGATGCACTCCGACTTCAAAGGAAGCTCCCCAATTAGTCGACTCTTACGACATGCTTTTGGGGAGGCAGTGGGTCTATTCTTGTTTTCCCCACAATGGGGCCCTGGAACCCACACGGGGGTGTCTCCATACTAATAGTACTAGTTATCCTTTGCTTAAATACTCATTTTAAATACTTGAGTGGTACCCAGAGCCCACAGACATCCCCCAATGCATCATTCTCTCCAGGTACAGGTTTTCAGTAACTTCCATTTTACTTTCTACCTCGTCCCACAGACAAGACATACCTTCTACATAAAGAAAAAGACAAGAAAAAAACAAAGAGAACAACACTACAACTTACAAGACCATTAGCAGGATGAATGCTGTCCAAGTAGAAATATCCTCCTACGATATTCAGCTGGACCCTCAACATGACAGACAGCATGCATGTTCCATACACTGCAGCTAGACTCCGCGTCACACCTGAAATAATTGGTTCTAGAACTTTCTTACCATGAATATAATGTTCTAATTGTTCAGACAGTTTTGTTTCCACTGGCAAGACATCAACGTGGCTTTTGTTAGGTGGCTTTTGTGTATTCGTGTGAGGTTTGTTTTATTTAGGTATGTGCTTTTCGTTTGTGTTTGTTACACTGTTAAGCTCGCTGATCTACTTTTTGTTCGGTTTTATGTCTTTCCATAACTAAATCTAAGATAGCAGCCTAGACCTGATGGCTCTAGAACCCTGTGCGCCCCCCCCCCCCCCCCTTTCCCAATAAACTGTATGACAGGACAAGGGGAACTGAGCTCCTCCTACCCTCCCCCCCCCCCCCCCACAAACCCAAATGTGTGTAATGGGGCTAAGTGGCCTAAATAACAATACAGAAAATCTCTGTTGAGGATTTTTTTTTAAAGTTAGCTGCTTTACAGGATGTTGTAGAACCAACACCAGGTTTTTTTTTTTAGCTGTTGTAGCTTTTCTAGGCAAATTAGTTTGCTTTTCTAGTTAGCCACTGCTTCCTGAATGGTCAGCTCTCGGAACCACTGTCTAATACAATGCAAGACAAATCGTTCGCAGCTGGGATCGAACAGGGCACCCCCCATTATGAAGCGCGTTCGCAAGACCTAAGCCACAGACGTCGGTTTAACTCTTTGGAGATGTCGCGGCCGAAATATCAGCCCAACTCAAAGTAGCCAAAAGGACAATTGAGCTGATCGGTTGGCCCTATATAATAAAAGCTTTGATATTGGCTAGCAAGTTTTTGTACCAGCTAATCAGATTGCTTCTTGCATTTCTTGCACATGTGGGTTGTTCATTTACAGCTTTTGAGAAAGTTTGATCTGTTCTGTGATTTTACATTGATTTTTTTCTGGGGTTACCAGTGACAAAAAATGGCAAAAAGGTCTGTTGCGTCATAGCAACTGAAACATAGCTGGAGGCAGGAAAATGAGTAGAACCATGTGCCAGACGTGTCTGAAGGGCCTCCAAGGGCCTTATTTTACAAAATAAAGGTGTTAGGACTTATTTTAGCTTCATTAATACAAAAATTCACCCAAATTTTTCAGGTTAGTTATTTTTGTTCCCAAGTTTTAAGAAAATTGCTTGCATAAATTATGCAAATAAGAAAAGTTAATTTAAATAAATGTTGAGATTTCAGCTTGATTCATAAATATTATGTTAGTTATTCAATTTCCTATACGAATATATATAGTTTTGTATATGTTAACTAAACACTTTTTAAAAAATAATTTTATGCCCTCCTAAAGGCTCCGTCTTCTTGGCACCGAAACTCCAAAAAGACTCCGTCTCCAAAGGGTTAAGTATCTGTCGACATAATATAATAATCCCAGTAAATGTCACCTTTCCGATTTGTTTATATCGACCTGTTTACAAGACACATAGTTAATGCTATTGGCCGTTTTCATGCTTGCACAAATGATTATGAGGTCAGCAAGTGAATATATTAACTAAGAATAGAATTTAGGGTGTATTTTTTCAAACTGAATGGATTTTTTAAACGAAATGAACATCCAAATCTCCTATAAGCCTCAGTGATATAGATCAGGGGATGAGTCCCTTTACACATATTTTTAGGACCAGGGAATATATTCCATTTAATGATTCACTCATTGGGGGATGGGTGTAAATTACAAAATGTACATAAATACACTTTTACAAAATTTATTAGTGACCTGTGTAAAATGTTTGTTTTTTTAAGGAATATTTTTCGAGAATTCCCACGAGGCCATTACCTATTTTTTTTTAGCATTGTTAGGACGAAAGAGTTATGGCCTAGTAAGTAAAGTAAACTTTTCATGCCTTTAGCAAACTGGTCATTCCTTTAGTGATAGACCTTCATTTTCATAGATCAATCAGCATTCACTGGGTGATGGGGTTAACATCAAATAAAGATACAAAAACATTTCATCTGCACTTACTCATAATTTTTAACTCCTCCCAAAGATCCAGTTTATTTGGTGGACTGGGGAAAAGAATACATATTTTCAAATGAAACACAAATTATAGAAACACCAAAAGACTTGAAATGTTATATTTTGAAACATGCTATGTGTGTTAAAGAAAATTCAGACCAGCTTGATACAAGGTGGCAGATACAAGGAAATATTTAACTGGATCACACAACAGAGCAGTTTAATTATCTGGACTTTTTGATGAAATTGTCCTCCTGTTTCACCCATTAAATTATATGTAATATAAATTAAAAATACTTGATAGGAGATAATTAGATCTAAAATTCCCATATAAAAGATAGTGATAACAAGAATAAATCAGAGAAACAATACAATCTTCCTTGGTGAAACACCAATTCAAGACATTTATCAAAGCAGCAATGTAAACAAAGATAGAGGAACAAAAAGAGGTACACAAAATTAACACAGAAGGCAAAAGGGAGCTTTCAATGCGCTTGGAAAATATGTGTAATGGGAAATGAAAAATAATACTAAACTTAGAATACTGAACTTTAATACCAGATCAATACTGTTTTGTAGAGTCGAAAAGTAACAGACTAACAGACTGCAAATAAACTATGAACATAACATTCATTACCTGTTGCCTTTACAGAACAGAGAAAATTAAATGGTAAGAAAACAAAAATCACTAATGTGAAGCTTTGAGAGAGAAAACAAATTCCAGTGAAATAAGAGATGAGGAAAAGCTTCTGTTGCTGGATTGGACACTTCTGGTGCTGGATAGAACACATTCTAGACCACACAAAGGAAAACAAACAATACTGGAAAACTCCTTTTAAAGTTATACACTAAAATGTAAAACTGTGGAAGCAGATTAACAATTAGGTTAAAGTTGAGAATTAACTGAGTATGCTTCTGTTTGTGATCAACTTTTTGAATTATGAGAAATGTATGATGTAGTTCTAATAAAACATCTAAAAGAAACACACAGTAAGCAAGAAGACGAATATTTCATTAAATTAAGAAACACTCCCCCACTGCGGGTCCCAAGCCCGGATAAGAAAGAAGAAGGGCTGTTCACGGGGCCAGCTACCCCACACTGTAAAAACAATTATGTTACAGAAACTAAATAAAATAATATAAATTTCCATCAACATTTTAAGGAATGAAAAATTGAAGAATTATAAAGAAGGTGGCAATATATTGGCACATCATGAGAAGAAGTGGACAGAAAACACTAAACAATAACTGCAATAAGAAACAAGTGGACAGAGGACACTAAACAATAACTGCAATAAGAAACAAGTGGACAGAGAAACTAAACTTCTTCTTCAGCGATCTCTGGTCATGCGCATAATCCACTGTGGGTCATAAACTGGGATGTCTTTTCAAGGTCTCTTAGGTTTCCCCAAAGCTTAGTTGTCAGTTCTACTGGGTGTTGCCATATGTTGCTCCGCAGCTCCGCCAGGAGAGGACAGTCTTGCAGGACATGTTCTGGAGTCTGTTCAGCACGAAGGCACTGGCAGAGAGCTGTCTGGCTCATACCTAATTTATATGAGTGTTTATTGAGTCTGCAGTGTCCAGTGCGTATGCAAAAAAACTGTGACTTGGTCTGTTCTGTTCAACACTAAACAATAACTGTAATAATAAACAAGTGGACAGAGGAAAGAAGAATGCCCAAGAAAACCCTCCGACCAAACGTGCTGATAAATGAGCAGGCAGATAGACCTACCGGTTCTGCACCACTTGGTGGTAAACTGATGTACGACAAGCTAGCTGTTGTGAGGGCCTTTTTTGGAACAAGTGAACAGTGAGGAGGCGCAAACAGATCATTATGGTTTGAGGAGAATGGCATTGTGAGAAGTTACCAGGGGATCTTGCTGACGCTCAACACTCAGGGGAAGGGCAAGACAGATTTACAATCAGACAGTTACTGGTACCATCCGAATTGGAACTCTTCACTTGCTGCTGAAGATGGGGACAGAGCAGGGGAGTGTCCCGAGTGCTGTGACGTCAATTCCTAGTTTAACATTCAACATCGAACAGATTGCAGAGGATAAAACAAAATGGAGGGCTAGTTTGTGAGTTCTGTGTAACGTATAACAGCACAAGTGGAGGATGATGCAAGAAACACTAACTTCGTTTTGAGCAGCTCTTTGATACTCTCAGTGTCCAAAGTCTTCACTAATGTCTCTCGAAGATTTGGTATCATGGCCAACACTGAAAGATAACAGTCAGCCAAAAAAAAAACAAATCAGCAACAATGACCATAAGGAGATCTCATTATTGTAGCGAGCATATCCCCTTTTGCCCATATTTTTTTCCTCTCTTATCCCTGTCCAGTCTTTCAGTGTCAAGTTTTGAAGTGGTATCTGGCGCAAGCCTCGTGTGCTGCATGGATGCTAGTATTCCCAGGCTCAGATATTCCACCTACCCATCGCAGGCATTGTCAATTTCTAACCCTGCTTTCCATGTCTCTGATAGGGCCACTTCTTCTTCTTCTGCCTTTCTATCCCCCAATGGAGCATAGGCCCTCAACCAACTCACGCCAAGTCGTTCTATCCTTTGCCATTGCATAGAGCTCTCCTCATGTCCTCCCAATCTTTCTAACCTCATTCTCCAGCTCTCTCCTTCATGTGTGTTTTGGTCTTCCTTTATTCCTAGGCCCCTGTGGGTTCCAATGCAAAGACATTCTAGTTATGCTGTTCTTCTGTTTTCTCAGTGTGTGTCCTATCCAACGCCAGCGTCTTTTCCTCACCTCTTGGTCCACTGGAGCCTGTTTAGTTCTCTCCCAAATAGGGATAGGGCCACTGTGGTACACTATCTTGTGGTAGTCTGGACTCATGTCTGAATCATCTGACCTGTTGTCACTAGCACTAGTCCTGCCCCCAGCTTGTTTCCTGATATCATCATTTCTGATCCTGTCTCTTTCTTGTTACATTCAGGATTGCTATGGACATTTCATTTCCATTGTTTCAATTCTTTTACTTCTGCTTTTTATTTTCCAACAGAGCAAAGGCCAACTAATGGATTCCCAATCCATAAGCCGTGACCCCAAATGGGGTCATGAAAAGTTGTCTGTGGGGTCGCTGAGCAGTGGTGAGCTAAAACATTTTTAAAAACGGAAAGTAAACAAATCACAGCACTGCATCCTGCACAGAGAAAAATTTATGTATGTATTTCTGATGTGTTTTCATTTAACCTATTAAAAAGCCTTTTTATAATGTATGGGGTCACAGGTGACTTGGCCTCTATAAAATGCCGTCGTACCTCGAAAAAGGTTGGGAACCACTGAATTAACTCAAGCCAAACTCCTAGTTAAATATTTGCAGTTTTCCTACTGCACAAGGTGGTGACCTCTAACTCTATTGACATGCATGGTAGATAGTGTTATTACTCTCTGCTTTGGTTTTGAATGCTGATAACATATCACTATCATGCAGCAGGTCCTTTGCAGAATGTGGCTCTCATCCCAGTCCACCTAAAATAAACTCTCTCTGTTTCCAGCTCTCCCGCACTTTCCTACCCAGGGCGGCACGTATTTCCTGTGCCCATCTTCATGTTGGTCAGCCCATGTCCCTCTTTCCTGGCACAACACTTTCTGCTACTATTCTTTCCAATCCACTGTGATGCTTGATATTGCCAAAATTTCAGTTTCTGAGACAAAATGCTGTTTATTAGCCAACCTTCCTTGATGCTCAGATTACATTTCCTTCATCTTTGTCCCAGAAAACACAGGTGTCACTGGCAATGAAAGAGCTGACAGACTGACCAGTTCTGCCTTCCTTGTCACTAATGGCCAGTCTATGAATCCTGCTAATAATGTTAATGCCATCAGAGGGACAGGATGATCAGAGAACTTTGGAAGCAGCTGATCCACATCACTGCTAAGAATGCAAGAACTGGGAGTTAAGATTAATGTAGCCAGGCATGAAAGGCACATAGGGCACAAGAAGTACTACAAACAGGGTAATACCAATGTTTAGGCTGTATACAGAGTGCGGTTAAAATAATTAAGATAACCCAACTCACAAATTAAGCTAACTGGCATAGCACTTAATAATGATGAACAATGCCAAGGCAAAATAGGTTACCTGTCATGTTACATGTTCTCTGGTTACTTTCAAAGTGATGCTGTCGCCTGAAGAAAATAAAATCACAAATGCAGAATAACTGAAACTACAACCTTATGTTACAGCTGCGATTCTTCTTTAGTTAATGAGTTGATAAGCACACTGATTAACTGCATAATGAACATATGTTTCTGATGCATCATTATCATTATGCCCACCATCATTATCATCGTAATCATGACCAGAGTAAAACTACCAGCAACAGCCCTATCGTCATTATCACCATGAGCATCACAATTATAATGGCCACACCTACTAACATCATCACCACCATGATTGTCATCATTAATATCGCAGCAAAACTACTACTATTATCATCCCAATTACCACCACAGTAAAACTACTACTATTATCATCCAAATTACCACCACAGTGAAACTACTACTATTATCAATCCAATTACCAGCACAATCATCATTACCTTACCGTAAACATTATCACATTATCTAGGCTCTAAAGTAAATAACAACTGAGACTATTCGACAGAAATCAAAAGTAGGATGGCCATAGCAATGCAAAGGTTAAACAGCATTAAAAGTCTATGGTTAAGCACAAGCAGGGAAATCAAAATTAAAATTTTGAGAGCATGCATCTTCCTTGCAGCAACATACGGATGCGAGTCATGGACTCCTAGTGCTTAAGAAATAAAATATGAGCCATCTGAGCTGAAAAGCTATAGAAATATTCTCAGAATACTATGGACAAAGAAGAGAAGAAATACTGACATTTCAAAAGATATGAACATCAAGAAAGATTGGCTAATAAACAGTATTTTGTCTCAGAAGCTGAAATATTTTGGCCATATCAAGCGTCATAACTAATTAGAAAAAATAATACCAGAAGGCATGGTACCAGGAAGGAGTGGCAGAGGCAAACCAAAACAAAGATGGGCCCTCGGGATATAAGTGACTCCTTGATAAGGAAAGTTCACGATGTGGGAGAGCTGACGAGAGCCTGAGTTTTTTTTTTCAGGCAGACCACAATGGCAGCGATGTTCTGCAAAGGACCTGCTGCATGATAAACCATTGTTACCAACACAGAGAACATCATTATTCCCATCTTCAGCATCATCCTTACTACTACAATCATCATTAGGCTCACCCCAGCCACAATCTCTAGCACTGTGAATATCATCATTATTCCCATCTTCATCATCATAATTACCACCACCACTACTAATCATCATCATATTTACCACAAACATCTTCACTTGCACCATCTTCATATTTTTTTGTTTCTGTTGAACCTATAGTGTTTTGTTGACCACACCAAAATGACAGGTGACTGATTACGTTCACAATGGCAAGTACTTTTGTGTGTGTGTGATACTGACTTTTGTGACTGACCGTTTGTGCCATCAGAAGCAGCAAATTATGGCATGGGACTGTTTGTGTTAGCATATCTGGCAGCTGCTTTATGCATGCTTATTTTGCAAACTTCCAAGATTTGCTGGGAGTGAACAGTTTTTCACTAGCTTTCAAAAGGGACACTGAAGGATCTTCTTATTCTTTTGTCTATTCTTCAAATGACACAAGTCGTCAGGGAAGGAATCAATCTCTGGAAAGGGCCTTTCAGTTCTCTTGGTATATAGTATTTTTCAGTGTCCCTGATACTTATGTGGTTCAGCTTCTGCGTGGTCGACCTCTGGATCTGTTACCATTGTATATACATAACACTGCTCTCTGCGGTGCCCTGACTAATGCCAATCTTGTTACATGGCCAAAGCATTTGATCTGTAGTCTACCGGTATAAAGTACAGTACTGGTTCTGTATCCACTCTCCTCCTGAAGGATATTTTGTGTAATTTTCACCGACACGAGAACGGAGCAGTTATGGGTGATTTAGGCACTTAACCATAATCATCATCACCCTTAATGCATTTATCATCCTCACCACAACAATGATCGTAATTATTTTCATTCTCATCATCACCTTTATTGACCACTACAATCATCATCATTACCACCACTAAGATCACCATTACCACCACCAAGATCACCATTACCACCACTAAAATCACCATTACCACCACTAAGATCACCATTACCACCACTAAGATCACCATTACCACCACCAAGATCACCATTACCACCACTAAGATCACCATTACCACCACTAAGATCACCATTACCACCACTAAAATCACCATTACCACCACAAAGATCACCATTACCACCACTAAAATCACCATTACCACCACTAAGATCACCATTACCACCACTAAGATCACCATTACCACCACTAAGATCACCATTACCACCACTAAGATCACCATTACCACCACTAAGATCACCATTACCACCACTAAAATCACCATTACCACCACTAAGATCACCATTACCACCACTAAGATCACCATTACCACCACCAAGATCACCATTACCACCACTAAAATCACCATTACCACCACTAAGATCACCATTACCACCACTAAGATCACCATTACCACCACCAAGATCACCATTACCACCACTAAGATCACCATTACCACCACTAAGATCACCATTACCACCACTAAGATCACCATTACCACCACTAAGATCACCATTACCACCACTAAAATCACCATTACCACCACTAAGATCACCATTACCACCACTAAAATCACCATTACCACCACTAAGATCACCATTACCACCACTAAGATCACCATTACCACCACTAAGATCACCATTATCATTACACTTACAATCATCAATTATCATTATCATATTTATCTGAAAGAAACCACAGTAGTTAGTAGCTAGTCCCTTGCCTATCAGCCTGAAGGTCTTGAATCATACACCTGATGCCACTGGCATAAAATAGGGTCCTTGACTTTTAGAAATTACTTTTTTTTCGACTAGCAACACCTTCACAAACACCATAGCTATCATCACCACAACCATCACCACCACAAACATCATCACCACACCCATCATCACCTCAACCATCATCACCACAACCATCATCACCTCAACCATCACCACAACCATCATCACCGCAACCATCATCACCACAACCATCTCGCCATAAACATCACCATCTCAATCATCATCACCTCAACCATCATCACCTCAACCATCATTACCTCAAAAATCATCACCACAACCATCATCACAACCATCATCATCTCAACCATTATCCCCACCTCAACCATCATCGCCATATACATCACCATCTCAATCATCATCACCTCAACCATCATCATCACAACCATCATCACCTCAACCATCATCACCACAACCATCATCACCTCAACCATCATCACAACCATCATCACCACCACCATCATCACAACCATCATCACCACAACCATCATCACCTCAACCATCATCACCGCAACCATCATCACCTCAACCATCATCATCACAACCATCATCACCACAACCATCATCACCTCAACCATCATCACAACCATCATCACAACCATCATCACCACAACCATCATCACAACCATCATCACCACAACCATCATCACCACAAACATAACAACAACCATCATCAGCACAACCATCATCACAACAACCATCATCACCATAAACATCACCACCTTAACCATCATCACCACAAACATCACCACCTCAACCATCATTACCTCAGCCATCATCACCACAACCATCATCACCTCAACCATCATCACCACAACCATCATCACTATAACCATTATCACCTCAACCATCATCACTATAACCATCATCACCACAACCATTATCACCTCAACCATCATCACTATAACCATCATCACCACAGCCTTCATCACCACAGCCTTCATCACTATAACCATTATCACCACAACTATCATCACTATAACCATTATCACCACATCCATCATCATCACAAATTGTCTTCACCAGTCTCAACATCAGACAGACGATACTGTTCTAGAGTTTATCTGAAGTTATTCTTAATTATAAGGATGTATTGGTTTTGGTTTTGGTTTTTTCCAGATCCCTACAGGGTAAAAGGATTAAACCTCACTGTCTTCAAAAACCTGAAAGTAAAGAGGTACTCACTTGACAAAATTCAGGTACTGTCTGTCTTCTTCCTCTCTGATTTGTCTTATTTTTCTCCAGATTAATCTATACAATATCCAACTTCCTACAAATGAAAGAAAGATTGGGAAATGAAAAAGTTCTGCATAATCTTTTTGATATTTATTGCACTGTTAATCTGTTTCAACAGGGGGGGGGGGGGGGGGGGGAAGGAACAGATATACAACATATTAAGTCAATTTACACACCATAAAAAAGTCAACAACCTCCAAAAAATCTGTAAGGATTAGTGATACACGTGTATCGTCCTCCTTCTCTTCTTCTTTTTTCATTTACCCTTAAACTGACAGTTGGCACTTTGTGTTTTGGTTTAAAGCTAGGCTGTGATATCTTTGCTTCTCGGTTCAACGTATCAGGTTTCAGACCACCCCTAATTAGTTGCTTTTTATTACATGGTTGTTGGGAGGTGGAGGAGCAGTGGATTTATCTCCCCCACCCCTCCCCCTTCCAAGAATGTATCAGTAAATGAAGTTCCAGGTTAGTTACGCATGCCTGTCAGTCCAGTAAGTGTATGAGTGGAATCATCATCATCATCATGTAGCAGGTCCTTTGCAGAATGTCGCTCTCATCGCGGTATTCCTGAAAGAAACGCGGTTTCGCCAGTTCTCCCACCTCATGCACTTTCATACTCAAGGAGTCACTTATTACCTGTGCCCATCTTGGTGTTGGTCAGCCCCTGCCCCTCCTTCCTGGTACTATGCCTTCTTCTATCATTTTTTCAAATCCGTCGTGGCGCTTGACATGACCAAAATATTTCAGCTTCCGAGAAAGGATGCTGTTTATTAGCCAGTCTTCCTTTAATGTTCAGATCTTTTAAGATGTCAGTATTTCTCCTCTTCTTTGTCCCAAGATATTCTGAGAATCTCTCTATAGCATTTCAGCTCAAAAGCCCTTTTCTCTTTCTTAAGGACTGGAAGATAGTCCACGACTCACATCCGCAATGAGTGGACTCAGAAGTTTCCAGACAGAGAGACCCCTGTGACAGACTGTTCACGACTAGGTCAGGAACACTAAGTAGTGACTCCAGTGGTGACTGCAGCCGCTGAAGGCCTCATACAGGAAAACCTCAGATGACTGTGAGTGACACTGTCGCACATCTTGACATCAGTCAAGGCTCAGCATACTTCATGATCCATGATGAGTTAGAGTGCTAGAGTCTGCAAGGTGGGTTCCGTGGCACTAGGTGAACAGCCCTGCTGTCTTACGTATTGGCACCTTTCTGTGTTTCCCGAAGATAGTGTTAAACTGTGTTATAAGAGGAGCATGGGATTCACACCCCATGGTGATCCTCTCCATAGTACAAAAACCTGGGATCTACTGAAGAGACTATATGTTGCCCGTGCATCACGACCCCTCACTTGACCTGCCTTGTTTACTCTAAGGGAAAGGTAACACCAGTATTAGCACGTTTGGAATTAAGCAAGCTGCAGAACCTGCCAAATTAGAAGAGCAGTGTTATAGCTGTCCGCCTGTTTGAGCTTCCCTCCTAGACCAGCTGTTGGCCAAGGCTAAGGGCCTGGTCTAACCTGCAATAAGTTTTCTGGTTGCATTACCTCTTCCTAGAATAGGACAGAAATCCACTAGTACTAGGCCAACACATAACCCATTTGAAAACTGTGTGGGGGGGGGGGGTGGATGTGTAGTCCGAATAACATAAGCTGTTTCTGTTAATGTTATTGGTTAATTTACCTTAATGTAATGAATACAGTAAAAATTTATTATTAATTGATGAATAAATATATATAATTATAAGTAATATAAGTTACACTACGTAGGTACTACGTTTTCTTCGATCGATCGGGCACTTCCGGAAACGGAACGGGCTGGGTTGCTACCCATAACAATGTCCGTAAGTTGTCGGTGAATTTTTTCACGATGATGATTCGTTATACACATTCGGGAAACCTCGGGGATTCCGACGAGCTATATATAGCCCAAGTCAAAGCAAATTGGTTGACTTTCACATTCCTCGTGGTCTGAAAGCATTTGATCGTGTTTTGCTACTGCCGATCGTGTTTGAATATATAGCGGTAAGTAGCCACATTATTTGATAGCGTTCAACGCATTTAAACGTAATATTCTTGTAATTATTCGATTCTCTGTCCAATTTAACTTTAGTTTGTAAAATTTTATTAGTATATTCTATGGGGGTGATTTGCAGTGGGATTTTCAAGATGCGATCCTGAAACCATCGTGGGTGAAGAAATTGGCGTCCATCTTGTTGCTTTAGAATAAGCCTTCAGCGTGTTTTAATTATCGGTAGTTATTTAATATACAGTTATTTTGTAGGCTCTTAAAACTGATTAAAACTGTGAAATGTATTTTTATCATCCATAATTAAGTCTATTTAGTCAGTTTACACCCAACGACGTGATAGGGGAGATATACAGAAATGGTTTTTAATTAAATCAGACTATCTGAGGCGAAAAAGGAAAAGGCCATTTTGTTACTTTTGTGGAAGGCGTTACTGCAGTTACCATAACAACAGCTGTCTTTTATGTGGTATTTATTTTAAGAAGTTATATTTATTCTTAATACAGATAATGCATTATCAATATTTTTATAGTTATGTTATAGTATTTAATTATTAAATTTGAAATTTTTTTTAAATAAATATTTTAAATGATACATGATATAATTATTATAATTTAATGAATTTATTATTATAATTATATATATATATATATATATATATAGTATAGTACAATAATACATACATACAATACATATATTTAATTATATATATAAAATATACTACACACTATGTGACACATACAGTTAATAGATGTAAAAACAATGTAATTACTATTACAATATTACACCACCCCCCTCCCTTTTCCCATATGATGTTGCATACGCATATAATATGCTTATATAAATATTACTTTCTTACACAGCTCACCATGGAAAATAAAACAGCTTCTGATATGAGAGCATATCTGTCATCCTTTGAGCCAGAGTACCCAGTTAAGAAAGGCTATATAGCCCGACTGATTGTAAATGAGAAATTGACAACTGTAGATATTTGCAGGATGATCAAGGGCATGGTGCAGGTAGCTGAACCAGACAAGCAGATACATGAGGGGAGAGTGAAGGCGTGTATAAATGATATTAAAAGAAATGCTGCCAAAAAAATGAATTACACCAAGCAGTGGGCTGATCTCATCAGTTTTAACCAGCAGCCATTTTTTGTATCCTTTTTGTCTGGAGAATCATTAAGTTCTTCTTCTGCAACATCTACATCAGTTGTGCAGCCTGACCATACATGTGCACCACTCATACAAACTGATCATTCATCCCCACCACTAATTCAGCCAACTGATCATTCATCCCCACCACTCACACCTGTGACACCAGCTGACCATACAACTGATCATGCGCAACACACTTCTGCAACACCAGATGCCACCTTCAAGATGACTATGACAGAATTTCTGGTAGACTTTGCCACAAAAGAACTGGCATTTTATGAAGATTAAAAATAAAACATAAGTACTTTAAAAAAGAAAACCGATTTAGAAATCATAGAATATTTTTAAAATAATCAAAACCTTATTTTTGGAACATACAAATTTATATCAGAATTGTAATTTTATTATAAAGCTGTCTCAAAGTTTTATTTTAGTTGACGCTCAGTAAAGATAAAGGCTTCTAAGAGTGCAAGTCATCATCACGCTCGCTTGTCAGCCCAATCGACAGCAGCTTTCGTCGGCAGTCAAACACAGACTAATGGACATGGTGAGTAGCTATAACGACATGTTTAATTGTTTAAACAAAATGTAATACTTTATAATAATCATTACATACCATCTGGGACGTATGAACATATATCAGCTGTGAATAGATTTCAAACCCTCTTTTTTCAGGTGTATATTTTGCAATTTTAATTGAACTATTTTCTGAAAACCCCACTTAATCATGTGCTAATAGTTACATTCCTTCTTTAAGAGCCAAGGTAAACAATGTAAACCCAGTGAAAACTTGATCATTACAGACAGACGTGTGAGTTGCTTTGTGGGCACTCCAACCAGAAAGGAATGTGGATACATGCAGGATTTGTTTGAAAAAAAAAAACATGAAATTATTGGCTTTTGACGATTGCATATCTTAGCTGTCACAACACATACACAATACTGACAATGGTAATCTTTTTTTTTCAAATCTGTTTTGCTAAGTGCATTTTTTAAATTGTCTACTATTATATGTGTATGTTAATTACTTTTTTTTTTTTTTGTGTGTTTAGATTGGCATTGGATAGCAGAAGCAAATGATGTAATCCTTATGCTGGGATATGAAATCTTTCTAAAGTACCGGAGAGTTTTGGGAAATGCCTTTATGGTCTCATAAACTCGGTGAAGGGAAAATCCCAACTGCAGTTCTGCGCGGTAGAGGATGGGCAAACACAGCTCTGGGGACCGAGTATCCACCGGAATAAGTGGACAACTCTGCACTTAAGCAGAGCAGGGCACTCACTTGTCCTGACAGTCAAAAATTGCTGTCAAAAGGTAGAGGTAAAAGAACCCCCATGTGGACGTGGAAGGCACTTTGACAGTATGCTTTATAAATAAAAATAATCAAATGTTGAAATAAACCACACAAATTGTTTGTTCATTTGTGATGACTGGATTATTCAGAGTGAGTCAAGGGGGAAAATGTCAGTGTACTTCAGATTTGTAAAGATGGTTTTCGCTTACTTAGTGACAATGGTTATTTTTTTAGTTAATATTAGTGGCCAAAATAACATAAAATAAGGGGGAGGGGAGAAGCACATGATACATCACCAGGACTAAGGGAAAAAAAATTCATCTGTTTCCGAAATTTGATGGTGATTGTGAAAAAAAAAAAAAAAAAAAATTTTTAAATTAATTAATTAATATAAATATTCAATAAGCGACCTAGTTCTAATTTGAGCTTGACATGTGCTTATGTCTTTAGCACATTTAAAGCTTTTTTTCTTTTTCCAATAAACGTACCAAGGAAAAAAAAAAATGTAAAGACCGTTATAAAGTTTATAAGAACATATTGAGTAATGATTATGATAAATGGCGGCCATTTTGAATAATTATTAGTCAATTATTAGTTGATATTACGTAACTACTAAAATTTCATCTTTATTCAGTTAGAGATTGTTGTCCCGAATCCAAAAATATATGGTTTCTAGGGTCTTTTTTAAATACTTTTTAAGTAAAAGCACTTTTTAAACACTCCTCTAAGACTTACGATTTTAAGGCGACAAGTTTTATCTCACTTTTATTTTTTCTTCTTTGTTCATTTTTTCCACAAAAACTTCAATAACTTGGCTTAGAATTGACATACAGGCATGAAAGAGGTACCGTTGGAAAGAGCTTTTCAATATGTATGCAGCTGTACTGGTTTTATAAGGAAAAAATGATTTTGAAAATTTGACTAAAGTGGCTACACTACGGACCTCCGATAAAAGTTCCAAACACGAACAACTTTCGTCTGTGCCTCTTTATGCACGCCCATAGTCGGGAAAACATGGTGCATCAAGGATTAAGTTAACACTTTCTTCTTTAATATTTTACACAATTTAAAACTAGAGGACATCGCAGTCTACATAAAGACAGATACACATTGTTCATATCAGGCCATTTTTCAGCAAAGCCGACCACCACAGTGGAACATGGTTGTCGTATGAGTTCAGAGTTCAAAGTTCACGGCTGTTTAACTGATTCCTTGACAGAAGATTTCTAGTACACACCATTATAAACATACATCTTATCCGTACAACAAACACACATCGTCGACCGGGTCGCCCATTAGCTCGCCGGTAGACGACTTCTTTGTCGGTAGGGACAATATTTGGGTCTGTTTCTTCTGATCGCATCAACACTGCAAGAGCCCTTTACAGGGCTACTTGGTGGCCAGTATTGATAAGCCATTTTAAACGGCGCACATAACTGAGTCACAATTATAACCAAAAGCTCCTCCTTTGGAGATGCTGGTTGAATGTGACGCCCCCCCCCCCCCCCCCCCAGCAAAGCACCTACCTACTTACAACAACAAATTATTCGGTCTACTTTGTAATTTTTATTTTTTAAAACGTAATGGAAATTCTTGGATTGTCAGTGAACAAATTAAGAAGAATTTGGAAGCAGCAGAGATGTGGTTTCTGAGACGAATTTTACGAATAGCTTTGCAAAGTAGCTAAAAATTATTGTCTGAAAAAAAAGCTAATGAAAGTAGATCTCTATATACAACAATAAGAAGAAGACAGACATTGTACTTTGGTCACGTAATGAGAAGAGAGTTTTTGGAAAACATCATGACAACTGGAAAGATCGAACGAACGAACTATTTTCAAAGGGTTACAAATTAGGCATGCAGGCCTGTCTTACATTCGGCCCTTCCAAACTCCCATCTTTCACACAGCAGTTGTATTTCATCAATAAAGCATGCTATGTCCATGTAATAATATGCATATTATGAATATTAAGTCAAAAACAAAGGCATGGGTGGTAAAATATGTGCGCACATATCAGTGGAAAGAGGGACAGAGGCGGACCAAGAGAGAAGATGCGGGATAGGCTGAAACGATCGCATGGAGGGGTATCATCAAGAGAGCTGTCATAGGGAACAAGGGATCGTAATATCTGGAGATGAATGAGCGCTTTCGCAAATTGTCCGGGCACATGATGATGATGAATGGAAAGTACCAGGAAATGTCATAAGAAGTAAAGACAGCAGGCGTTATTTTGCACAATAACCATGGGTTGTCAAGTGGTCTATATAAAAATGGGTCTAGTACCATATACCTGATACGCTAATAGTGGGAAAAGAGCCCTTTGCTTCTTCTTCTTCTTCTTCCTCTTCTTCTCCTGCTCCAACCGCCCCGCCATTCCCCCTCCGCAAATTATAAGGGTCTGAACAAGCCCCCCCCCCCCCCCCCTTTTTTTTTTATGTGCCCTACTTTTGTTGTTAGCGAAATTGTTCAAAGTCGTACTCCCATACATTTGAAGTATCAAGAATATCGTGCGCAAACGAGTTATTTTATATACTATGTGGCACGTATGGCTTCATAAAGTGCCGGATTTAGATATAAGCTAAACAACTACAGCTTAGGGCTTTACAATTAACAGGGGCCTTAAAATGTTCCGCTAGAAATGCAGTTGAGGCAATTGTCTATTCAAATATTTTTTTTTAATGTACCCCAGAAAACTTCTAATTTTATGAATACTATTTAGGATATATTACCTCAGCCAACTAGTTTCCTTTCTCGTGATTTCGGATGAGGGGAGCATTAAGGTGGAAACTAGCCCTACTTATCCTAGGACAAGAAATTCAGCCTGAAAATGAAAATAATGTTATTTTGGGGCAGATGCAGTCGATAGCCTTGGTCTATGATGGAGGCTCCACCTGGCGGACAGACAGTGTACTGCTTTCTGATCCAGCAGCTTCTACTGCATACTTTGTTCCAAACATACTAGTGTTATCTTTCCTGTGGAGTCAACCGGCCAGGCCGAGAAAGGGAACATGTTGCCTAGGCAATACATAGTCTCTAAATTTTTTCTCAGACTTTATGCTATGATGAGCAGACACTGTATCCCTGGCCTTAATTAGCTATTGTTTGTCTATCACAAAATGACTCTGTCATCTGGAAATACAGAACAGCATCAATGGAAATTTTAGACTCAATGCTTCGTCTAGCTCCTTGCTTTCTCCACTAAAATGAGGCTGTTGGGGTGTTTTCAATGGCATCTAAGCAAAATCATTGATTGGGCATTCGGTTCTATATAGCCCTCTTACTTATAGACTAGTGGAGATTTACTGGTGACACAGTTATGTAAAATATGAAAAGATCTGGCGTCTACGACGCTTTGAGAGGCTCACTCTCTTTGCATTTCCATCATGCAGTACTCAAGTCATATCCAATCGTTGGTACAGAAAGTCTCTTATTCATAAACTCATGTTGTAACTGTTGCTAATTTCAGCTCCGGCCTTTATTTCAGTTAATGTCGAAAGGATGGGAATACGGATGTGAAGCCCTGAGGCCCCTACACTGAGACAGACTGAGATAACTGATGTTAAACGTGCCACAATTCAGCATACGATTTGTATGCAACTGTTATTACCCGAGAATCTGGAGCAAATTAAAAAAAAAAAAAAAAAAACCTCTAGAGTGAAAATGGGAGGGAGCCGCGATGGTCTAGCTGCTAGATGCTGACCTCCAGTCCGCGGATCTAGGTTTCGAATACGTATTGAGAAGAATTTTTTTCAAAAAATCACTTTGGCTCCCAGATTGATCCAACTTTGAGTGGGTGCTAGGTGAAGTCCTGAAAAGTAAAGGCAGCCAGTGTGATTTTCCTTACTACGTTACCAACTGAGTGCTGAATTGGGAGACAATTTACATTCTTTCGAGTATGTCGTGATGGCCGGAACATTGAAGGAGAAGAGAGGGAAAGAGAGAGAGAGAGAGAGGTCATGGCAGAGGGTACCACGTGGATCAGAAAAAGCTGAAAGTACGTGGGACACAAGGCTTCTTCTTATCAATGTTCCGTTTTACAGATCTGGCTTGCTTGTGTGTAGACTGCAGGTTCCTCGCCCCTAGGCCAAATGCGTCTTGATTTATGAGGTACAATCCCTAATTAGTCGACTTTTACAACCTGCTTGTTAGGGGAGCAGTGGCTACACCCCCCTACCCCTTTTCCGAAACCCACACCAGGAAGACAGAAGGTTATGGACGAATGAACTATACAGAAGAAAAGCTACATGTCTGGAATAGTTTCAAACAGGGTTGCTGAAGTTGGAAATATTTTTAAAAAGAGACAGACTAATGAAGAGCAGACCGCTTAAGACAGCGGTTCTCAACCTGTTGGTCGCAACCCTTTTATGAGTCGAACGTCCTTTTCACAGGGTGGCCTAAGACCATGAATTAGCAATGACAAAAAATTGTACGGTTGGGGGTCACCACATGATGAGGAACTATATCTGTCTCACAACATTCTCCTGTCTTGTTTCATGTGGGTCATAACCTATGAAAATTTTCTTCATGCAGATATACTGGTCTCCTTAACGATTCATGGGCTCATAGGATACATATTCAACTTTCTTGCAGATGTAATGATGCAGCAATTAAAGTGTCAACAACAAACAAACAAAAAACACAAAGACATGGAAGAAACAAGTTTCAAATCTTTAATTTCCTATCAATCAAAACAAATACTAATTATGATTATCCTGGATGTCTCATAACTTTCTCCTCAGTCTTGTCTCGTGTGACCCCTAAAAATCGTTGTTGTTATGCCTTTGTATCGGTCACATTCTGTTTTTGTGAATTTTATTTTTGCAAATGCACTGGTCTCCTTACCCATCAATGGACTCTAAGGATATATATTTAAAATCTTTATAAAATGATGGAGCAGCTAAAGTATCAACTAAAAAGACAAGACATATGGAAGAAACAAGTTTCAAATCTGTAATATACTATTAATCAACAACAACACACACAAAACCATTATCTCTCAAATACTGATTATGAAATTACTTGTGAATCAGTGGTCCAATTCATGTTCTCAAAAATCCTAGTGAAGACAGCACATACTCGTGTGAGGAAAAAAAAACAAATAAAGGGGTAAGTTACCCAAGATAACATTTCAAAATTAACTCATTTTATTTCTTTTCTCTTGTCATAGCTGACATAATATCCACTGCATACTGAACCATTCAGTCTGTATTTAGTTAGGAGGAGAACTGACATCACAGCACTTGGGACATTCCCATAAGCACCCTGTCCCCATCTTTAACAGTCAGTGAAGAATTCCAGTTCTGATGGTACCATTAAGAGTCTGATGTAAGTCTGTCTTGCTTGCTGTCTCTTGAGTGTTGGGTATCAGTCTTGGTCACTCCAGCTGCACCACAGTCTCCAGACCATAATTATCTATTCATGCTTCCACATTTTCCACTTACTCCCAAAGGGTCTTGAAACCAATTGTGTACCTAACCCAGCCCATACTCAGATCATCTCCTCAGTAGATTCCTTACTGCACTAAAATGGTGGGCAGTCAATTAAGGTCAAAATGGCATGTACTTATGCAGTACTGTCTGTGCAGATGGCAGCTTTCATGACTGACTGCTTGCATCAACAATGAGCTGAGAATATGGTGGAAGTCAATGTTGGCACATCTAATGGCTACCTTATGCATTTACTTTGCATGTGCAAGCTTCATGATTTTACTGGAACTGACAGAATTTCACTAGCTTTTCAAATGGGTGAGTAAAGGACATTTTGTGTTATTTCCACTGGCACAGGGAATGGAGCAGTTACGGGGTGACTCATCTCAGCATATGGAAAATAATGATTAACTATTCTTCAGTCGCCCGCAAAATGCTCTTGCCTGGATTCACCCATCTTAACTTGATGTCTTGTAGCCTTGGCCACTTGAATAATAATCCCTTTGCCTTTATAAGGGCATTCACTCATCAACTTTCCAGATCAGGCCTATCAGACCATTCTTTTCCGTCAAACAAAAAAAACAAAAAAACTTATCTGGAGTGAACTCTGTGGCGTGTTAACAACATAGCACTATTTACTGCTTCAGCCAACTGATCATTTCAGGAATTATCCTCTCACTTCATTCCTGTTGTGTCAAAGTGCCATACTAGATCAATGGATGTACTCCCCTCAAGGACTGCTAGCTGAAGGTCTGACTCCACATCAACTCAGTGAGCAACATTTCTGATGCCACTCAAATAAGAATAAATCTCAGACATTCCATACAGCCATATAAAATGGTTTATGACTGTCCCAAATATCAAGGCAAACTTTTTGGCCAAGAGAAACACCGGTGCAAGTCGAACTTTACAGGTCACTAAATGAAGTACAACAGACAGTAAAGTTCATACTAGAGACAACAATGCAGATATGGATAATCTATTTCAAGCGAACAAAAGAAGAAGTTTATGGTTGGAAGAAGTTCATACTAGAGACAATGCAGATATAGATAATCTATTTCAAGCGAACAAAAGAAGAAGAAGAAGTTTATGATTGGAGGACCCTACAACTGTCTTAGACAGGCAAGAACTGTGATCATAACTGCTCCCTTACCAGGTAAGTAGAGCTCTGACTTTCACATACCTGAAGAAAACACACATATATAAATCTATACCTTCAACTCCACATGAATCTATGATCTGGGTGTGAAGCCTTACAAAGCATGTTTATGCTCTTTGAGATCAAGAACCATCTTCTCATAGAAACAGTCAGTAAAGATACCTCCCTGTGTGTGTTCCAGGGCCTCACTGTGGGGAAAATCAAGAATAGACCCAATGCCTACCCAAAAGCATGTAAGAGTCGACTCATTGGGGAGCTTCCTCTGAAGTCGGAGTGCATCTGCCTGAGAGGCAAGGAACCAACAGTCTGCATTCAAGTGAATCAGATACTGTAAAACTGATGCACAAGCAACACTCAGGTTCTGGAGCAGGACTGCAGTTCAGAACTGGATGAAAAACCAGAATTTTCTGCCAGAGTGTACAGCTGGTGAACACGAAGAAGAAGAAGAAGAAGAAGAAGAAGCAAAGATACCTTGTGTCAGGAGCTGCAATGGATGACTTGTGGGGTTGCCACAGGGGAAGTGATGTCGAATGTGATAAGATAACACAACACAATAATCTATGAAATACAATTCTATGAACAACTGTAGCCTTAGTTAATGTCACAAACACAGAAATCAGATTAAAAGCAAATGGCATTAACAATTCATTGAAAGAAAGAACAAAAAAACAAAAACAAAATTGTATTCGTTTAGTCGCTCATGTCCATGTCAACAGGCTGGTGATCGGAATCCTTATCCTCAACCTCAACATCTTCTGCCTCCAGTGGAGGTGGAGAGCCTGAGGATCTAGGCTCACTGTCTTCTCTAATCCGGTCACTGCCACTGGCAAATCCTTTCTCTTCCTCGTCATAATCACGTACCACCTGTGTACAAATACAAGACAAGAAAAATGTTAATGATGATAGGGAAGAAGGAAAATTTTTCCACTGGTGTAAGGGAATTTGATATGTTAACATAGTATGGAATTTGATATGTTAACACAGTATAAGTGGGTATTAACATAATAATGTTAAGAAGAGAGAGAGTCTCTTAAATACTTAAAAACAGAATGTCTCTGTTATTAAAACACAATCTCTCAGATACTAACCTGGAAGCTCTCAGATACCAAAACAGAATCAGTTACTAAAATATAATCTCTCAGTTACTAAAATATAATTCTTCAGTTACTAACATATTATCTCTCAGATACCATAACAGAATCAATTACTAAAATATCATCTCTCAGTTACTAACAAACATATCATCTCTCAGACACTAAAACAGAATCTCTCAGTTACAAACATATCATCTCTCAGACACTAAAACAGAATCTCTCAGTTACAAACATATCATCTCTCAGACCCTAAAACAGAATCTCTCAGGTACTAACATATCATCTCTCAGACACTAAAACAGAATCTCTCAGTTACGAACATATCATCTCTCAGACACTAAAACATAATCTCACAGTTACTAACATATCATCTCTCAAAAACTATAACAGAATCAGTTACTAAAATATAATCTCTCAGTTACTAACTTCTCACAGATAAAACAATCTCCCAGATACTAGACCAAAGTCTCCCAGATCAGAGTCTCCCTGATACCAAAACCATAATCTCCCATATACTAGACTAGAATCTTCCAGATACTAAAATAGAATTTCTCAGATACTAAAACAGAATCTCCCATAGACTAGAATCTTCCAGATACTTAAACAGAATTTCTCTGACACTGTAACAGACATTTGATTAGATGACTTTCATGACATGTTTGTTAGGAGAACAGCTGGTCTATTTTATCTCCCCCCCCCCCCTCCCCTCAAAAAAACAACAACAACTGGATCACCGGAACCCAAACTGGAGATCTCAGATGCTAAAACAGAAACCAACCTTAGAAGAACTGGACTCTTTCTTCTTCTCCTCCTTGTCTCTAACGGTTTTCTTCTTGATGTCACGCTTGCGATCTCTGCTGTGGCTTCTCTTGCTGCGGTCACGCTTGGACCTGTTGAAAGAATATTACTTGGTAACAGTCTTCAAGTTCTACTACAGGAGACTAATTTACAAAGACAGCTTTCTTTCTGCTTCAGAATAACAGCTTTTCTGTCTTATTCTTTTGTTATCTCACCGATACCAGGTTGTAGCCCAGTGTTGTAGTATCAAGTATTTATCTTGCACTTCTCAGGTGGCTTGAGTGATGGATTTGTTCATCATCTTTCTGCACTTTTCAGTTACACCAATCATCCACCTCTCTCAGTTGAACTTTAATAATCTATGAGTTAGTTTTAAAGAGGCTCCAGACACTTATGAGCAGAAAGAGTATTCAGATTCTTATTTTTATGGGTGAGCTACCATGGTGTAGTGGCTAGAGGCTCCCCTGCAGATCGGAAGGTCAGGGGTTCGGGTAAAGCCAGACGTTTTTCAAAAATGACTTGGCTCCCAGATAAACTCAGCCATGATTGGGTACCAGGTATAGTGCTAGGAAGTTAAAGTAGCTAGTATTATGTTGACCACATCACCCCTCCCCCCTTTCCTGTGGGAACTGGTCTATAACATACAGGGTTTGCCCTATTTGCCCAATAGGCCTGAAAAAGGGTCGTTTACTTTTTACTTTACTTGTTAATATTTATGAGAGAACTAAACAAGTTCCACAGGACAATGAGGTGAAGAAAAGACGCTGGCATTAAATAGGACAAACATTGAGAAAAGCTAAGATCAAAAAAGCTAGAATGTCTTTGCACTGGAACCCACAAAGGCACAGAAATAAAGGTAGACCACAAAACACATGGAGAAGGGATCTAGAGAGTGAAGTTTAAAAAAAAAAAAAGATGGGGGGGAACATGGGATGAGCTGAACGCAATAGTGAAGAATAGAACCTGGCATGAGCTGGTTGAAAGCCTTTGCTCCATTTGGGAATAGATGCAGAAAAAACATTATTCATGGTGCCGAAAGAGTATTAGCGGCATATTAACTTAAGAAAACAAAGATGCTGACCTATGCCTGGAGCCGCTGCGAGACCTAGACTTCTTCCGTGGTGATGGCGATCTCGTTCTCCTTCTCCTCTTGCGACGGCTAAATATAGAAATTATACTATATAATACATTATATCAGCAAACATAATTTTAACAAATAACATACAATTTAAAGGCAGAAAATAAAAAAAAAATTTTAAACTTCACTTTTGTAGAGAGAACTGACAGATCTTCAACTCAGTCCTCAAGAAAATTGTTTCCTAGTACTGTGTCCAGAGGAAAGTCTCGGCACTGTTCACTCGCTTCCAAAGGGCCCTCACAACATCCAGCTTGTCATACATCAGTTCACCACCAAGTGGTGCAGAACCGGTCAGTCTATCTGCCTGCTCATTTTCTAACACAACGGCATAACCTGGAGAAAATATCCAAAAGATGCTAGCTACCCGGGACCTTTGAAGTGATGCTTGCCACTCTAATAGCTAATCTATCAACATATGCTCTCTCCTCTCCTCTGGTGGAAAGTCCTATTGTTTGTTTACTTCTGGAATTTGATCCTATTCCAGGCTTCATTTTTGAGTCATCATCATCACGATCACGTGCAGTGCCGGTAAGCGCAAACTGTCAAGTTTTGACATCTCAAACAATCAGCAGAATCATAGACCCGTTCAAAGTCCCATCCATCTGGTCAGCTCATCGAGGTATTTATCTCTTTGCCCTTATCTTGCTCTCTTTCTATCAATCTTGCCAGTGGTTACCAAGTTCTCAAGTTCATTCCTTCTCATAAAATGTTTTTTTTTAAAAATACATTGACATCTAACTGTTCTGATAAGTTTACAACTTATTTCTTGATTTCTAAGTGCACATCAATTTTCCTGATCTGGTTTTTTGTGCATGCAGACTGTTGCTTACAAGGAAATGTAAATCTTACCTATGCTGGCCTCATCGGCTAGGGACCTGTTTCGAGGGTGACCACAGGGAGGTGTAGATAGGCCTTGACCAGTACAATCCCTGGTTCTAGGGTGACCAGGGGGAGGTGTAGACAGGCCTTGACCAGTACAATCCCTGTTTCTAGGGTGACCAGAGGGAGGTGTAGACAGGCCTTTACCAGTGAAATCCCTGGTTCTAGGGTGACCGGGGGGAGGTGTAGACAGGCCTTGACCAGTAAAAGCCCTGTTTCTAGGGTGACCAGGGGGAGGTGTAGATAAGCCTTGACCAGAACATGTCCTGGTTCTAGGGTGACCAGGGGGAGGTATAGATAGGCCTTGACCAGAACATGTCCTGGTTCAAGGGTGACATGTAGATAGGCCTTGACCAGAACATGTCCTGATTCTAGGGTGACCAGGGGGACATGTAGACAGGCCTTGACCAGAACATGTCCTGGTTCTAGGGTGACCAGGGAGACATGTAGATAGGCCTTGACCAGTACAAGCAATGTTTCTAGGGTGACCAGGGGGAGGTGTAGATGGGCCTTGATCAGTACAATCCCTGGTTCTAGGGTGACTGGGGGGTAGACAGGCCTTGACCAGTACAATCCCTGGTCCTAGGGCAACCAGGGGGAAGTGTAGATCGGCCTTGACCAGTATAAGCCCTGGTTGTAGGACACCGCCACATGTGGTTCAGCACCTCTACATCCCAGATTTCAGACAAACACGCAGACATTTTTAGACACAATAAATGGCTAAAACATTTTACCCTGGTGACCGAGAACGGCTACGCTTTCTTGGTGTGGGGCTCCTGCGCTTGGGTGGTTTCACAGGTGAGGGTGATCTGAAAGAGTATCAAAAATGTATAGTCATAACGTTTTGTAGTACTGATGATCTTTACCAAAAATACACTTATCTCTTAAACAGTTCTGTGTCATCCCGCAAATCTAATGACATACCCTCTAGTTATTTCCTACATTTCTTCTTCCTTCCTTCTTTTACCGCTTCAGGTATTGAGGGAGATATAAGGTTCTTTTTCTTGCTCTTTTGGCCGCCTCAACTATAGACATATAAAGTTTCTCGTATGTTAACTTTCAATCTTTTTCTTGATCTGCTTTGTGCTCTACCTACTCCTGTTTTAGTTTATGCGTTGTATGGTAAATTGCCATGAAGCATTTTCTCTAAGTGGGCAAACCATCTGATCTGCTGTCTTTGTAGGTAATTTAGAATTGGTTCTGTGCCAACTTTTTCTCTCATGACCTCATTCCTGGCTTGATCCCTTCTAGTCACTCCTGCAGCCCTTCTCAGACACCTCATTTCCGCGGTTATTAAGTTTCTTTTCTAGTCCTTTGTGAGTGACCATGTCTGGTAGCATAGGGTGGCAATAAATATGCTTTGTATGAGATTTGTTTCTTTGTGCTGATTGAGATTGTCTTATGCTTTAATAGAGGGAATAACTGTCTCAATACTTGGCCATTTGACTGCATCTGATGTTAATTTCTTCATCCATTTTCCCATCTTTAGTGAATATTGTTTCAAGATATTTAACTCAGATGCCCGTTTAATGCCTTTCATATCAGTGGTTCACAATTAGCTAAGACCTGTGGACTTTTAAACAGTCATACTGAAGAACTGATCATAATTTATAAATATAAGATTTTTTTCTAGTCTTTTCCATCCACTGCCCAATAGCAGATATTCCATGATAAAACTACAAAGCATCACCATGTAGCAGAACATCGCTCTCGTCAAAGCCTGGCTGAAAAAAAAAACATGACCTCTTGTCAGGTCTCCCACCATGTGCACTTTTCTACCCAAGGTGTCCCTTGTATCTTGTAACCATCTTCATGCTGGTCGGCCCCTGCCCCTCTTTACTGGTACCATGCCTTCTGCTACTATTCTTTCCAATCAACCATGGTGCATGATGCAGTAAACAAATTTAATGTTTCGAAGACAAGATGCTGTTTACTAGCCAATCTTCCCTGATGTTCAGATCTTTTAGGGTGTCAGTATGTCTTTTCTTCTTCTTCTTCCATTGTATTCTGAAAATCTTTGTATAGTATTTCAGTTCAGAAGCCTATATTTTCTTCCTTAAAGACTGGGAGATGGTCCATGACTCACATCCATAAGTTGCTAAAGGGAAGATGCATGCCATCAAAATATGAAATTGCTTTCCCTGCTGGTACTTAACAGTGGATCAGGAGGTGAGGAAAAGATGCTGGCGTTGGATAGGGCACACACTGAGAAAACAGGAGAACAGCATAACTAGAATGTCTTTGCATTGGAACCCACAGGGGCATAGGAATAAAGGAAGGCCAAAAAACACATGGAGAAGAGAGCTGGAGAATGAGGTTAGAAAGATTGGGAGGACATGGAGAGAGCTCCATGCAATGGCGAAGGATAGAACGACTTGGTGTGAGTTGGTTGAGGGCCTATGCTCCATTGGGGGATAGAAAGGCAGAAGAAGAAGAAGACGACTTAACAATAGACATATGCACAAAATCATACACACAAAAACAAAACCTAAGAAATAAGGTGGATGAAAAGACAGTTACCTTCTCTTACTACTAGCTCTGGATACTTCTCCCGCTGCTGCAGTACTGTACAGTAGAAAGTGAAACCATATTAGCCGACTTGTTTGAAAATGCCTTACAATTGTGTTTAGATTCTTATTATTATTATTATTCTGTATGTTCATTAGCTGTAAAACTTCAGTGGAAAGTTCTGTTCATCAACTTCTTGTTTCAGAACTTGATTTTTCCATGCACATCCATTTTACAGATCACACTTGAATGAGACTAGCTGGTTCCCCGCCTCCCAGGCAGATGCACTCTGACTTCAAAGGGAAAAAACCCACCCATAATTAGATGTCCTGTATCCCTGTGTGGGCTCCGGGGCCCCATGGTGGGAAAAACAAGAATAGACTCACTGCCTCCCAAACAAGCATGTCGCAGGAGTCGACTAATTGGGGACTTCCTTGAAAGTCAGAGTACAGCTGCCCGAGTGGCCAGGAACAACAAACTGCACCCAAAAAAAGTCAGTGACATGGTTTTATTGACTCAGCCACTGGGACAAGCTGACACCATATGAGATTATGATGATGTAACGATGACATAACACTTTTTTTAACGTAAATTTTTTTAAACTCCTAATAAAATATACACAAATATTTCTAAAAACATCTGTGTTTCTTCAAGGTACTGTCACACCTACAATGTCTATGCACTAAGCAGTTACTGCCAAAACCATAGCTGTTACATACAAATACAGGGGTCACTGCCCAAAGAATTCAAAAACCCATAAATGTCTGGAAAACAGATTTCTCTGGCGATATGATAAATACTACACATTTTAACTGTAGCACCTGCTCTGGAACTGCCTTTATTTTGCTATAAGCACTGCCACATCCATCCAGCACTGTCTGGCTATGATATCCAATCAGCATAAGTTCAGTAGCCATGTTTCAGAAATTAATTGTTGATACTAGCTCAATTACGTCATAAATAAAAATGTCCAAACTAACACAAAAACAGTTAATAAAATCATATATTCAAGCAAAGCAGGATTATACATGCCACCAATGCAATTTGCATATTAGGTTTTACTACAAAAAGCCAAATCAAAAACAATAAGCAACAATGAGAGCCGTCTATTTTTTTTTAAGTTACTCCTGTAGGATTAACATCTTTAGGATGAAATAAAACATGTATTAATTACAGAAACCCCTTTCTTTCAACCATATACCCGTACATCAAACTTGAAGAGATGGGCACCACCAAGCAAACCATTTGCTCATTGAAATGTATGATAGTGGGTCAAAGAAGAGGCCCCAGAAGAATCTAGAATGACAACATCAAGAAATGGAGACAGGACTAAGTTATTACATTTATTCATCAAGCGGAAGCCAGAGACCGATGGCTGGTTTTGCGTGTTAGGGCTTCCGTCAATACACCTCTACGACACTAATGGGTCAAGGGCACAACACTAATGGGTCAAGGGTTTTATGTTATGTTGTAGCACAGCTATATTGGTGCACAACATAACAGTTAAAATGTGTATGAGCTGTGTACAATCTAGCCATCTAAATGTGAAATTATCTGTAACAAACAGCTCAATTAAAGCCACGACTTTGCAGCCGAAAACGCTGGGTTGATTTCAACAATGGTGTCAAGAACCAACTGAGAGCAGAGAGCAATGGCAAACTACTGAACACAGAAATTCTGTGTGCAAGTCAAATTAGGGAGAAAACATACCCCCCCCCCCCCCCCCCCCATATATAATGTCAACTAATTATGGGTATTTTCTTTAAAGTGGAGCACCTCTACTCTGCCTGAGAGGCAAGGAACTTAACAGTCTGCATACAAACAAGCCAAATGAATAAAAAAGGATGTGCATGCAACACTAAAATCAATGGTATCCAACTCCAAGATGTGGAGTCGTACACCTTTTTGGGCAGTAATGTACATTAAGTTGTGGCAACTGAAAGAGGTTATTAAAATACAAATACCTTCATAGCACAAGGAAATTTGTGGAGGTGGGGAAAAAAATTAAAGCTAACGCTGAATTTAAGTTTTTAAATTCTAATGTCAAATCACTATTGCCGTGTGGTACGGAAGCACGGAGAACAACTAAAACAATTATTAAATAAACTACAAACATTCAATAACTGGTGCCTGCAAAGAACACAGAGAATTAAATGGTAGGATAGAATCACTAATGCTGAGCTTTGAGAGAGAACTAAACAAGTTCCAGTGGACCAAGACGCGAAGAAAAGAAGCGGGCTTCGGATAGGACACACTTTGAGAAAACCTGAGAACCCACAGGAGCACAGAAACAAGAGGAGACCAAAAAACACACTCACAAGGGAGCTAGAGAGTAAAGTTTAAAAAAGTTTAAAAGATGGGAAGGCCATGGGGTTGAGCTGCATGCAACAGTGAAGGATGGAACAATTTGGCGTGAGTTGGTTTGACAGACTATGCTCCACTGAGGAATAAAAGGTTGAAAAAAAAACACTCAGACGCTAAGAAGAAATTAACTTTTAAAACTTTTTGGAATCACCATCTTAGCTAACAGAGATTTAAAGGGTTTAAACAAAGGATCAACATCATGGCACACGGGTAGTAACCCATAAGTGCTCACCGTTCTTTTTTTAACTCAAGTCTGAGTCCGAAGAAGATCGAGCCGTACCGGCGAGGATCCTGAAATACTTTGGGTAGCTTTTTAACTCCAGCCGTTAGGCTACGCTTTTCGATTTCAAACTGCCAAAGAATTTGTCACGTGCGCAACAATGCACACGGGCGTCTGATCTCACTACCCAGCGACCAGGCGGAATTACTAGAAGTCCAAGTCCATATGAAAAAATGCCAGCCGGAACCTCTAGCACTCGAGGGGGACACCATGCCTCGAGACCGCGCAGCCCCTCTATCTTAGCTAACAATGTCTAATAAACTTTACAGCTGTAATACGTAACGCGGCGTCCGTGGCTAAGGCGTTGCGAGTCCGACTCGTGAGCCAGCATACAGCGATCGAAACCCACTGCAGGCTGCGTGGATTTTTGTCGTGGTATGGGACGTCGCAGGTCGACCCAGCCTAAAATGGGTACCAGGATGGGCTGTCCTGGGAAAGTAAAGACAGCCGGCGTAATGCTGACCACATTACCCACAGAGTGCTGATGGTCTGTAAAAATATGGGACGCTCTGCCCATATGCCCGATGCGCCGAAAGGCGTGAAAGGGGATCTTTACTTTTTTTTTCTGTAATACGTAACAGTAAGGGGAGGCCTCGTGGTGTTGGTAGCTAGATACCGGCCTGAGGATCGGAAGCTGTCATGGGCAGCTATAGGTCTAGCCCTATGTTCCCAATACGCCCAAAGGCGTAGATATGAGACCTTTATGTGCTTACCTAACAGTTTTACTGCTATTGTCCTCATGTCTTCCTACAGATGCACTGCAACTTCACAGGAAACACCGAAAATTAGTCGCCTTTTACGACTTGCCTGTTAAGGAAGCGGTGGTTCTATCCATCTCCCCCTTCCACCCTGCCTCTCTCCCTAATGGGGTCCTGGAGCTCACACATGTAGTTATTTAGTTAGACAGTGTCTACCCATGTGGGTTGTGGGGCCATATTAAAGGGAAAACAAGAACAGACCCACTGCCTGCCCAAAAGCATGTAGTAAGAGTCGACTAATTGGGAGCTTCTTTCGAAGTCGGAGCCTGAGAGGCAAGGAACAGTCTGCATACAAATGAGTCAGATCTGTCAAACGGATGCACACGCAACACTCAGGTTCTGGAACAGGACTGCAGTCCAAAAGTGGATGAATAACCAGAACTTTCAGCAAGAGTTTACAGCCGGTGAACGCAAAGAAGAAGACAGTGTCAATTAATTTGTATGTAAGGCAATTTACACAACTCCTTTGTCCAATCAGTTACATGTGCGTGCTAAACAGGACGGTTTTTAATGTAAAAGTAGAAATAGTTAACATACACATGACAGTGCTGAAAGCTAGGCACTGAGAATTTTTATAGCAATACTGTTGATAAAACAGCCCACTGACCAATTAATTGAAAATGACAGGACAGGCAAAATATAGTAAATAGATGTATTCTATATGAAGAAATGGAGTAAACTGTATCGTAAGTCTACTTAAGAGCTTAAAGCTGAAAAAAGACATATGGCATGGGGCGTATTCATGGTGCACATAAGACACAAAAGAAGCCTAATAGCTATAAAACTCAAATGAAATGCTAAACACTTTCTTCTTCTTTGAATCCCCAGTTGGAGCACAGACACCCAACAAACCTGCACCAAGTAATATTTTTTGGGGGGAGGGGGTGGGGGGTCATCTCTTGCAGCCCTCATTTCTTCTTCACGTTCACCAGCTGTAAACTCTGGCAGAAAGTTTTTGACCGTAGTCCTGTTTCAGAACCTGAGTTGCATGCGCATCAATTTTACACATCTGACTCATTTGTGTGCAGACTGTTGGTTCCTTTCCTCTCAGGCAGATGCACTCTGACTTTAAAGGTTTCCTCATTTTATTCAACTGCCTCTAATGTTGAGTGCTGAGCTGACAGCACAGTGCTCAGGACATTCCCATAAGTGCTTCATCCTCATCTTCAGCAGCCAGCTAAGCAGCAGTTTGATTATATGTCTGTCTTGCTTTTCCTCTAGTGCAGAGTGTTGATCAGATTGATCACTCCTAGCTGTACCATCAGATTGGTCACTCCTAGCTGTACCATCAGATTGGTCACTCCTAGCTGTACCATCAGATTGGTCACTCCTAGCTGTACCATCAGATTGATCACTCCTAGCTGTACCATTCTCCTCATTCGTGCCTTGATTTTTGTTCTTCAAGTTAGCAGGTTAAGATTCAAGAATTAGCTTGGCATTTTACACAAGTGACTGGTTTCTAACGATATTACATATCCACATGATCTCCTGTATAGTGAAATCACCAACCTAGTTTCTACAGACAAAAGGGGAAAAAAACAGGAGGGATAGGGTGTTAATTTACATGTTAAAAATCCTACAGCAGATGAAACTCTGCAAAAGCAGGCCATAAAGTCACTTGTTGTGACAAATTATTTGGAGATAAAAACTAACCAACAGTTAAAAGAACTCCTTTCTGTAGAGAGATTCTGTTTAGAAAGACTTTAAAAAAAAGAACCATTTCCATGCCTTCGGCACACTGGGCATATAGGGCTAGACCTATAATTTTAACAAACTGATCAGAATTTAATGGGCAAAATGGTCAACATCATGTTGACCAGCTTTAATTCCCAAAACATTATATTGTACCGATTTTGGGCTAGGTCAATTTTTTTTTTTTTACTGCTACGATGCAGATTTCTTCTTCTTTATTCACCGGCTTTAAGTTCCTGTGGAAAGTCCTGGTTGTTCGTTCATTTGGTCTTTGGCTTTGTGCCAGGGCCTGAGTTTTGTATGTACATCCATTTGTTTTACTGGCTTATTTGTGTGCAGTCTGTTGTTACTTGTCGCTCGGGCAGATGCACTCTGACTTTGAAAGAAGTCACCAATTAGTCGACTCCTAGGGCATGTTTGGCAGTGGGTCTATTAATGTCGTCCCTACAATAGGGCCCCAGAAAAAACACAGGAAAATTTGGATTTGAACCCTAGGCCTTTGAGTCAGTGGGAGAGCCTTAGGAGTAAACAATACATAAACACATGCCAAAATCCAACACATTTATCGCCGAGCTGCAAATTTACATGTGCTGAAAAGATACAGAGGGAGACCAAGAGAGAAGATGCTGGCCATGGCATGGAAGATAACATTACTGAAAGTACACGCGACAGAAGGTTATGTACAGGCATGACTACCAACGCCACAGGACACGGACTAAAAGAAGTGCTCTCCTGAGAGGGAAATAAGGAAAAAGAAGAATAATCTTATTGCAATATTTGCATTACTGAGGTTAGGCCATCCCTTTCGATCTTTTCTGTCATCTTCACATGGACGCTGCCTGCGGTGCATCCACTATTGTCTTTGGATACATTACATGAAAAGGTTCCAATATCTTCTAAAGTGTGACTCTCTGTTACGGTCTGAAAGTCACGAAAACAATTTCTTTCTATATACCCCCCTCTCCCCCAAACAAAAAAACCACTAACCCGGGTAAATTGAGGACTGAACTATAAAATGATTTTAATAACTTCTAAACCACAGAACCGAACAAATTTTTCCCCCACAAGCCTTTAATCCTGAACTCTTTCAGTCGCAAGAAGCAAGCCATGCATGCGTAACTTTCTTCCATGTGAATTCCCGTAATTATGTAAAAACTTCTTGAAGTTGCTATATCTGGTCACAGAATACTTTAAAAAAAAACTGGCTAAGTGGGTACTTAAACTTCTTCTTCAGCATTCTGAGCACTTGAAGTTCATTGCTGCAGATATCACCCGCCTTCATTCATCTCTCTAGCTGGCCTTGTTTTTCCAGTTAGTGACACCAAGTGTTTGCAGGTCTGTCTGGAAATTATCTCTCCATATTCTTCTTGGTCTTTCTCGTGTTCTACGACCATTCATCTCCATTGTGTATAGTTTTTACTTCTCTGTCATCTGACATTCTTTCAATATGTCCCAACCATTTCAGTCTATTGGCTCTCGTTATACCAGTGATCAGTGGTGATTTAAACAGATTATGAATCTCGTTATTGCTTCTCACTCTCCATTCCCCGCTGTTTGCATCTTTGATGGGTCCATAGATTTGTCGTAAGACTGTTTTCGAAAACCTGTAATAAGGCTTCATCTCTTTTAGTAGACCAGGTAGTGGTCACTATGACACTCAGCTCCGCTGTAGTTTCTATCTTGTTGTATGTTTAATGCATTTCTATTATTTATTAAAATGTAATCTATCTGATTATAAGTTATCCTGTCACATAACTGCCAAGTTATGTTTATGTATATCTATTCTTTTGAAATCTGCTGCTGCTTATCTGTAGTCCTTTCGCTACTTATACTGGGTACTTATATCTTCTTAGAAAATCAAGAGTTTTTATTTTCCAGAGTGGTTATTTCCTCTTTAGGGTATCTATTATGGACAAGATCTGGTACTGAAAAGGTCAAAGCTGTATCAAGTGCTAAAAGATGAATAAAAGAAATATCTAACACGTTTTCATTGCTTGGAAATAGCTAACAAGACACCAAAGTACCGGAATTATATTTCAAACAGCCTCGACAACACAAATGTCTATCACATTTCCACTACTTGGAAATAGCTAACTAGACACCAAAGTACCGGAATTATATTTACAAACAGCCTCGACAACACAAATATCTATCACATTTCCACTACTTGGAAACAGCTAACAAGACACCAAAGCACCCAAATTATATATCCAAAGAAGCCCCGACACCTCAAATAATTAAAAATGTGTTGAAAATTGTCGTGATGTTAGTTACCTGGGTGCAACATCTGCTTCCGGCTTTCTGGGTTTGGGACTAGAATAAATTCACAGCGTGTAAGTATGCACTCTATATCCAAGAGATGATTTTTGTGTAAATGGGCACTTTATACTATAATATGATGATTGCATAGGTAAATGTGCACTATACACCAAAGAAATGATGACTGTGTTAATATGAACTGTATACTCAAGAAATGATGACGTAAATGTGCACTCTATATGTGTTAAGTAAGTTGGTAAACAGGGTTACAAAATAAACGATGATTGTGTGTGTGTGTGTGTGTGCTGGCACACGTTCACAATTATGTGTTACAGACTCAATAAAAACATACAGAATGTCAATATTTGTAACAAATAAATGAAGGTTGTTTGTGTAAACAAGAACTTTACAGTAAAGAAATAACGACTGTTTATGTAAAAAAAAACGAACTACAACTAGTCTGTAACAGAGCAAATTAATACATAAAGAATGTAAATAAGGTTGAGAAGATCGACTGAACTGCACCCAAGAGATTCCATTAAACTGCACTAGGTTTTATCCCTTATGGCATGGTCTCACTCTGCAAACTGGCTAGTTCTCTGCCAAGAATTAAACTCATTAACTGAAGTTTCCCTCGAAGTCGGAGTACATCTGCCCATGAGGCAGGGAATGGCAAAAGCCAATAAAACGGTTGAACACGCAAAACTCAGGTCCAGGTAAAAGCCAAAAGTTCAAGCGGACGATTAACCTCGACCTTTCCGCCGGAATTCACAGCCAGTGAACGAAGAAGAAGAAGAAGATTAACTGAAGTCTGTGAAGCAAACCCCCAGCCTTCAGAGCTCAAGGCAAACGGCTTGAACATTTCACCATAAAGATGTAATATCTGCTTTATGATAAAGAAGTTATGACTGTTTAAATAATGCATATGCAACTATCTATGAATATGCAACTATCTATGAATATGCAATTAACTATGAATATGCAACTATCTTTTGTGTCCAAAGATGTTAACTTATTTGCCTTGCACATGATAAAAATATGTGTTTTGAAATATGTAAAGATACATAAAAAAAGTAATAAACAAACAAAAACAGATTGAAGCATTACACCGAGTGCATTCTCTGGGGCCAAAAACAAATATGTATCAGGTGACCTGTGCCCTGAGTGACCTCAATCACTGAGGCTTATGGGAACATTTCAAGTCAATCTGACTTCGAAAAAGTAATTTACGAGGAAACCCCTGTAATGCTATATTTAGATAATATATTCACACCCTGGCCTCCTGGACACTATGCAGGTGTACAAACAACCAAAGGCAAGCTACACTTTTGGCAAAAACAGAACTGTAGAATGCAGTTATATGCAACCGGAAGCGACAAGATGTAGCCTTCTTTGGGCGATACGGTTGAAAAAAATAAAAGTATAAGCATAAATAATAAAACTAACAATTCCGATATGAGTTAATGTAACAATTGTCTGAGACAGAAGAGTTAGAAGTGTGCACTGTCTCTAAACTAACTAATGGATGTGTGATTGGTAGTAGAGTACTGAAACAGTTAGTCCTGAGATGGAGCGCGGTTCTCAATCGAACAGCACCAAGTTTTTATCTTTTGTGAATGTATTTTTAGCTTTTAGTTTTTGTGGAAGATTTTTTTTACATGGAATGTGGCACTTCAACTCTTTCTGCGTTCGCCTTTAGAAAGTGGTTGACAAACTGTGTTGTGGTTTACAGCTAAGCTGCAATATCTGCCCCATTCAGCTCAATTTCAGCGAAACTTATTTAGTCGCCTTTTATGACATGCTTGTTAGGGGGGTCGGGGCAATGAGTCCACCTCCCCCTTTACAGTGAGATTTGGAACCCAAACGGAGAGGATGAGGTACATGAAAACAGGACATGAATAAATGAAGATTTTGATAGAAGTACACTTTAGATGAAATGTATGTAAGAAAAACTAACCCCCTCCCCCTTTTTTACACACACACACATACACATTTTCATGACAGAGTTAGCAAAATATTGCATTTACGAATGCATACGCTCACCTGCTATCCAGCTTTTTCGGAGACTCCCCTCCTTTATCTTCTTCATCGTCCTTAGGTGGAATTGACCCATTTCGTTCCAGATGAGGAGGTGAAAGAGAAACACTCTTCTTCTTCTCTTTGGCTTTTTCCTTACGATCTCTGGAGCGGCTTCTGCGCTTGCTACGAGAACGGGACTTTCTACTTCTGCAATACAATAACAGGAAGTTTTTTTCTTCTTCTTATAGTCCATGCCATGTGACGTCGGTAGTCTTTGTTTTTCCACAGCCTTCGGTTTTTGTGTGCTTTCAATAAATTATGACACAGGTGACATGGTGCCAAACTGTCCAGCATCGTCTCTCTTGGTCTCTCTCTACTTCTCTTGCCCTCCAACTTTCCCGCTGTTATGATGGACTCTAGTTTTTCACCCTTCTCGTGGGGTAACCAAAGAATGTAAATTGTCTCCTGCTTGGTAATCAGTTCTCTTCCTACGTTAATATCTTTCAAGAGATATTCACTACAATTTTTTTTTTATTTCTAATGTCACATCAATACTGCTGTATAAGCAGAAACATTCAGGACTAACATAATCACTAATAAACTACAAAAACTCATTAAATGATGCCTGTACAGAACAGAGAGCACTATATGATATGATGCCCCTCATGCAGAGCTTAAACAGAGAGAACTAAACATATACCGTTATAACCGGAGGTAAGGCACTGATTCTGACCCTGGACCCACTAAGAAAATCCGCTAACAATAACATCTTCTTCTTCTTGTCGTCCATAATTGCGTTCTGCCTGTTGACAGCATCGCTATGATATCTGCGCCTTACGGCCAACAAATTTGACTTCAGCGAGCATTTGCTAATCGGGTTAACTTATAATAATATAACTACAACAGCCCTGTACTGGAAATAACAGGGTAAAAGAGAAAAGAGGGAGATCTTAAAAATATACAAAGAGAAGTAGAGATTGACGGTGTGGGTTAGTTTTACAACACCCTCTTCCAAACTCTGGTACGTACTGGGCATATAGTTAGTTGATTATCCTTTACAGGACATTGCAGAATCAACCCCAACATCTCCTGGCTGTTGTGTGGTTTTTCTAGGCAAATTTACGTCCAGAAGTTTGCTATTGCTTACTGGACGGTCGGCTTTCTTGATACCACTGTCGAAACCAATGCAAGGTGCATGGCCCGCAGCTGGGATCGAACCCGGCATTACGAAGCTTTCACATCGACTTTCACCACAGAGCCAACGGGCATATATATATTTTATAGATCAATCGCACTCAGTGAGTGATGTAGTCATTATCATGCTAGCCGCCTTTACTTCCCAGGACTTTACCTGGTAACCATTTCAGGCTGGATTGACCTGGGAGCCAAGGTCATTTGTTAGGAAGAAAGTCAAGCTCTGTTCGGATTTGAACCCATTTTCTTTGAATCCGACATAATGAATGCAGTAAACAGATACCAGGCACTGAATTTGATCTACACAGCTGTTTTCCCCATGTGCGTTTAGGGGAGAGAAAAAAAAGGACAATGTCGCAAAAATTGACTAATGAGAGGTCTGAGGAAAAAAGATGTGTTAGGGAAAAGGCACAGGAATCACAGCCCAGCTGTAAACACAATACAATGAACCAAATGTGCTTTTAATGGCATATTGAGAGAGAAAAATGAAAGACATGGTCAGTTTCATTTCATACTACAACAATCTCACACCACACACACACACATTATATATATATATATATATTATATATATATTATATCTTATTAAGATAATATATATATTATATATATATAATATATAATAAATAATACTTATAATATAAAAAATTATAATATAATATATAATAATATATAATAATATATAAAATATTATAATATATAATATAAATAATATATAATATATCATATATATATATATAATATAATATATATAATAATATTATATAATATATATATATACTAATAATATATATATATATAATATATATATATATATTATAATAATATATATAATATAATATGTAATAGATAATATATATATATAAAATATAATCTATATAAGTATAATGTATTAATAGTATATATATAATAGCTAATATATAATATTAAAATATAGATAATAATATAATATAATATATATATATCATAATATATATATATACTAATAATAAATAATATAATAATAATATAATAATATATATATACTAATAATATAATAATAATAAATAATATATTATATTTTTAACCTAGCATGTTCAATAAAAACATATAGATATTTCTTATTTTGAAATTCTAGAAAAACAGGTCAGTTAGGCTTCTTAAAACCTTCAATTGTCTAAACTGACCTTGACTTGCTGTATGATCTTGGAGGAGTTCGCGAGCGGCGTCTAGATAAGAGAAAACATAAAATATTTACCATAATTGTGCTTATTTAATGATACATAAATGACTTATCATCACCTTGTTGTGTCATTTATACATCATAACAGGCTCACAGTGTAAGCTCATTTCCATTCTACCCTGTGCAATCTTTTCAGTATCATGGATGTAATCCAGTCCAGCTGGGAGTCATCGTGGGGTAGCGGCTAGACGCTCGCCTGTGGATCGGGAGGTCATAAGTTCGAGTCCAGGCGGAGCCATACGTTTTTCTTCTTCAAAAATGACCTTGGATCCAAGATCAACCCAGCCTTGAGTGGGTACCAGGTGTAGTCCTGGGAAGTGAAGGTGGCTGGTGTGTTGCTGACCGCATCACCCACTAAGTGCCAAATGGTCTATAGAATATATATGCCCAATACGCCTGAAGGCACAGAAAAGGGGTCCTTAACATCCAGTCCAGCTCCTTTGGCCTTTTTTCATCAACATTTATGCTAAGGTTTTTTTTTTTTGGTTATTAGCGTCCATGTTTCTTTGGTCCAGTTGTTTCTCATTTCAGTACCCGTTTAGTGTTTTTTTGGTGGCTTCTCCTCAGTATGTTTATGTTCAAGTATAAACAGCGAATTAACATCATGGCACACAAGGCAGTAACCCATCAGTGCTCTGTTCTACTTCTAACTCAAGCCTGCGTCCAAAGATCTCACCATAGTGCACAGGCTCTGTAGTACCGGCGAGGATCCTGAGATACTTTAGGTAGATTTTTAACTTCAAGTAGCCATTTAACTACTCTTTTCAATTTCCACCTGCCAAGGCATTTTTTACGTGCACAGCAATACACACAGGCGTCCAATCTTACTACCCAGATACCGTGGGAAATTACTCAAAGTCCACTTTGAAAAATCCCAGCTATCTGGGCCTGAACCTGGGACCTTCAGGACTCGAGACATGTGCCCAGTATAAAAAGGGCTTTTTCCATTTCTCCAAGAGTATAAGCATATAGGGCTAGACCTATATTTTATAGACCAATCGGTACTCAGTGAGTGATGTGGTCAACATCATGCTGGCCAGTTAACTTCGCCAGATTTTACCTCGTACCCATTTAAGGCTGGGTCGACCTGAAAGCCTGGGTCATTTCTACAAAAATAAATCCAACTCCAGCATGACTTATAACCCACATTCTTCCGATCTGCAGACGAGCATCTAACCGCTACACCGCGGCGGCTCCCCTGTGACCAATACATCACCATCTTATTTGCTGTTAAACTGTTGATTTAAGCAGCTATCCAGACACAAAATATATAAATTACAATATGTGTTGAAGTTCTGAGACATGCACCAAAACAGGATATGTTTTACTGTGAAGGTAAGTAATTCTACTTCTTGTTTAGATTAACTGTTTCATTACATTACTATATATATCTTTTTTCTTTTGTTGTCTCACTGATACCAGGTTGCAGCCCAGTGTCCAGTTTTCTACATTAGTCTTGCACCATCCTGGTGGCTTGAGTGATGGATTTGTTCATCTTTATGCAGTTTTCAGACAAACCATTTATCCATCACTTTCTTGATCTTTCCCTTGGAGGCGGACACCAACCAGGTCATGTTGGGTCTAGCAAGCCAGTGGTGGTGTAATCAACCGCTACCACACAAGAAAGAATACTGAATTATAGGACAGACTTTTGCAGATATCAGACGACACATATTATATTTAAACACACAATAAAGGAAAACTGTTTATAGACCAGATGGCACTCGATGGGTTATTAGGTCAACACTATCATCAATCAATCATCAATTACATGCCATCTGTACAATGACGGTCGACTGCAATGGATCTCCAAGATGCTCTCTGTCTCTCATCCTGGTTGTGCAGTGTTTTAGGCTGCTGTTCACCTATCTCTTGACGTTGCCCTCCCCCTCCCACTTGTATTGTCTACCTATTGCCCCAGACCCTTCCCTCCAGAATGGTTTTCAAAAGTAAAATCAATTAAAACATACTGCCCACTTTCATTCCCAAGATACTTCCAGTACCCATTTTCAAATGAGTCAGCTGAGTTAATTTAAAAAAATGACTGTTGACTGTGAACCCAAGACCTTCTGGAGGACAAGCAAGTATTCACTCAAATATACACATTATAGAAACATTCCCACAAGAAGCTTACCGTGGTGTTTTTGAACGAGTGCGGGATCGTCGACGTCTCACAGGCGAGCGAGTTCTAGACCTCCGTCTGTCTCTTGATCTGGATCTCCGAGCCCTGTTAAAATGTAAGTTAAAAAAAAAGTTTTATAATGCACGTAAAATTAACATATTGACAATGAACTAAATCAATTAACCATTTGGTGATAGACACAAATGTAGCCTTTTCATAATTCACAGCAAAATAACTTTGATAATGCACATAACTGGCATTCCCAAACAAATAAATCAATAAAAACTAATTTAACTACAACAGTGAACACTACAAATGAATAAAACCCACTTCAACCAATTTTCCAATATTCAGCATAAATATTTCAAAGATTAAAAAAAATAAAAGCTAAACATTAGCCCTAAATATTTAGGAAATGAATTGTTTTCCCCAAAAAATAAATTTCATAGAAAATTATATGGATGGTGGAAGAAAACAATTAAAAAAAACACACACTAATTTGCTCGTTTCTGCTATAGTTATCTTAACTGCTGAAAGTGACATTACCTACTGAAACATACAATTGACAAAACATGTTTATACTATTATTATTTTGTTTTCCACCAAAGACTTAAGTCTGAATGATAATACACTAAATACAACAATTTATATATGATATAACTAACACGAACAATTTAATTTAAAGGCAAGGAAAACACTGAGATAGGGTAAAGATGTTAGAACTGAGAGATGATAGAACAGAAGTATACATCAATTCAGAGAGGGATCCATTAGGAACAGACATCACTCAGGAAATTCCCCATCTCATTCTCTGGCTGTAAAATCGAGATTTTCCATCCAGATGGCATCAGTGGCAACACGATTAAAAATACACTTATCTTTTCCACTGCATACTAAGTGGCATCAGATCCTCCATTCATTCCCAACAGAATCAATTTTCAAAGGTGAGAATAATCTGTTCTACTTCACTATCCATTCGATTCCTGAAAGTCGTTACCATGTCCTCCTTATCATTCATAAATTAGCTCACCACTTAGAGCAGCAGTAGAAGCCGGTATATCAGTACGTTCATTGTCCAGTACACCTAATTATCTGAGCAGAAAATCAATTGTATGCGCCTGCCTGACCTCAGTGAGAGAGTTGGGGGGGGGGGGGGGGGGGGGTGTGTTTAGGACAATGAAAGGAAACAAGACCATTAAAAGAGAGCGAGGAGAGTGAGAGCGTAAAGGGAAAGAAAGAGGAGAAAGATGAAGATCAGCAATTAAACAGTTCAATAAAGGTTCACTGCCCCCCATTAAGTTCCCACAAAGTATGTTTACATTATCCATAATATCAGTCTTTTCATGCATATAATGTTTTTACCCGACATGCCTGAACTCTTACAGTATCAGCTAATAACAAATTAAACTCTTTCTATCGTGAGACGTTATAATTTAAAGTAGAAATATCTGCATCTGAATGAGTTAAAATACTAACACTCTGGGACAGATGGAACCAAACTGTTACCTAAAATAAAATTATATAATTTAAAAAAAATATTTTTGTCTACACACGCAAAAAAGGGGGAGGGGGGGTAGAAAAGTATATTTACTGCCTTTTTGACTAACCAATGAACGTATGGTGAGATATGTAGAGAAGAAAGGGTGGTTAACCCCACTGACTACCGTGATTGCAGGTGATGCAATCAGCTGACATTAACACCTGGCTACCATGATCGCACCCCCTGCGATCGTACTTTGGACGCTTGGCGCCAGGTTAATATTGTGACTTTTGCAAATGAAGTTGAAACCCATAGGCTAGGGCTATTTAGCAAAATCTGTGAAGCTATGGTATTTTTAGTACACATTAAAATGCATGGTATCTGGGGAAAGTGCAGGGGTTAATGGGCTTGGTAGTCAATGGGTTAAGAAGTCAAGTTATTTTTAAAATGTCAATCATACAAACATCTTCCACACTGATCATGCCTATCTGTAAACCTTAGCAGGTCATTTCCATAGTGTACCCGGTAATTGTCAGCGTCTGTGGCTTAGGTGTTGTGAACACGCTTCATAATGCCGGGGTGCCAGGTTCGATCCCAGCTGCAGACAATCTTGTGTTGGTTTCGAAGTCATACTGAGAGCTGACCATTCAGAAAGCAATGACAAACTACTGAAGTATAATTTGCCTAGAAAAACCACAACAGCCAAAAAAAATGCTGGGGTTGGTTCTGCAACGTCCTGTAAAGGATACACAACTAACTTTTTTAACCCTGTATCGGGCAGGACCAAACTATGAGACCTTCTTTGATTTTCTCAGGAGTTTTTGGTGCCTTTGAGTAAGGCTGGGTAGACCTCACAATTATAAGCCGTTGGAATGATGGATAAGCAGGTTTACTGTTTTTAGTTGTGGCCAGTTTTCTTCTGACATAAGTTAGCTGTTGCATTTCCCTCCATATGCAGACTGCAAGGATACAGTTCTGTCACCCAGCTGAGTGCATGGCGTGATACAGTGAGCTATGAATTTAATTTGGAATGCCTTTCTACTGTAACTGACGTTGTCGTGAACTGACTCAGAAAACAGAGAGTGGCCTGTTGTCAGAGAACTTCTGCCTAACCATAAAACCCCCCAACATTTTACAAGTAGTGGTCAATAAACTATTTTCTTCTTCAGGATGGTATGCTGTGTTGTGGTTTGCAGATAGGCTGAGACACCTGCACCTTCTGGTCCAACACATTTAATTTCAGTAAACACCTCATATCTCACCTTTTTTTTTTAGGGAGGGGCCTCCCTTCCTTCCCACTGGGGCACTAAACTATTGTATTTGCAATGATAACGACCAACAGCAGTAAACCCAAAATTTACAGCCTTTCAGAATGGGAATTAAGATCATGCCTATTAAAGATAATAAGCAAAACTGCCAAGCATCTAAACAGAAAACAAGCCAAACTAATTATAAAAAGTGAGGCAGCAAACAGTCACACAGGGGGAAGCGACATCTAAACAATTTTATGATAATTCATGTTAACTCATGTCTTTGCAGTCGTCAAGAGTTTGTTAATACACAGTCCATTAAAGTAAAAGAACCCTATACGCACCACTGCTGCTTAAGGCATATGATGGCCAGACACATTTTTTGACGTATTGACACTCCGTGGGCGATGTGGTCAACATCACGCCAACCACCTTTACTTCCCATAACGTTACCTGATACCCATTTAAGACTTGGTCAACCTAGGAGCCACGGTCGACGTTTAACAAATCTGATTCTATGCGGATTAAAACCTAAGACCTCCTTGCCGACAGGCGAGCATCTATCAATTGTGCTACCACAGTTCCCAGTTGATAAGTATAAAACTTCCAACAAATTATGATGATAAAATTAGTTTAAATGCATTAAAATGGACAATGATATATATATATATATACCGGACATCCTAACCTATTTAGTCAAGTTGAAATTAAATTAGCAGTTATTTGCTGAACATATACATAAAGATCCTATAATTGACAGCAAGGAACATAGTGTAGTCAAGACTAAGATGTGCTTTTAAAATCTGACATCATATATACATATACACACACACGCACAAAGACATATACTTGAAACCCTGACCTAATTATTCATGTTGTGGTGAGAAAAAAGGTTATTTGCTTAACATATATTAGAAGCTTCCACCATCTTTGTTAGTAAAGTGGGCGTAAAATTGTACAGCATGCTGGTTCTTTCGTAATATCCTACTCCCAGATGACGTCACAGGACAGTCCAACATTTTAGAGGGTGGTAAGACTAGGGTTTCCCAGCTTTCTGATGATTTTAATGACCCGAAAACATCTAGAACTGGCCTTAACCCCAACCCACCTACGTCCCACGAGAGAGTGCAGCCTAGGTCCCACGACTGCATGCAGCCTATTTACCACCCCCTGAAATATTAGACTGTCCCGTGACCTGTGGATTTTCCCTGTTTGTGGGTAGGATATTAAGAAAGCACCGACATGCCATGTCCTGAAGCAGAAACAAAAGAGAGGCATACATCTTAAACGCTGTGAACATAACTATTTGTTTCTTCGTCGTTTGCCAGTGGCGTAATTAACATCATTGTGCCTGTTTACACATCTTAGAGTGGGATATCAGATTACTATTTGAAAATAGTAACTAAAAATAGCATTTAGGGGATATTCCTTATGATCCTAATGGCTTTTCCAAAGCCAAGATGTTAAATTTTCCTGTAAGCCTCAGTGATAGAAGTTATGGCATGAGTCAGAATTTTTTTTCAGGGATTAGGAAATGCATTTTATTTAATGTTTCACTTTGTTCGTCTTTATTAATTTTATTAATATCACTTTTACTTTGTCTTTATACATTTAAAAAAAACGTGTAGATAAATAAATTTAAAGTCACTTCGTTAATGACCTATATAAAATGTTTTTACATGCAAAATTAATCCCTAAAACAAATATGTATCAGGTGACACATGCAGTGACCTCCATCACTGCAGCTCACAGGGAAATTTTAAGTCATCTTGGCTTTAAATATGCTATTGGATTCAATAATTAACCTCTCTAAATGCTATTTTTAGTTCATATATTCTTATCTCGGCCTCCTAAAAGTTCCCATATTCACATCTGCATCTCCTAAACACTATGTTGAATGTTGAATTAATAATCGAGATCACCGCACTCAGGACACTCCCATCCACGCCATCATCCCCATCTTCAGCAGCAGGCAAAGAGTTCCAATTTTGATGGTATGAGTAACTGTCTGATTGTATATCCGTCTCACCCTTCCCTTGAGTGTTGAGCATCGGCCAAATCCCCTGGTAGCTCCCCGCAGCGTGCAGTTCTCCTCTGACTGTAATGATCTATTTCTCTGCACTGTTCACTGGCTCCAAAGGACCCTCACAACATCTAGCTTGTCATAAACCAATTCACCACCAAGTGATGCAAAACCGCCCAGTCTATCTATCTGCTCATTTCCTAACACACCGGCATAACTATAGAAAATATCCAAAGGACACTAACTACCCGGGATCTCTGAAATGATGCATGCCACTCTGCATGGAGCATGCCTGTCTCCACCTCACCTTTCTCAACATGCTCTGTGAGTCAATTACAATAACGGCATGTGTGTACAGCAGATTCTCAAGCCAGCAGTAACTGTCTCCACCTCCATTCTCAAACTAGACATTGTGATGTCCTATGCCAGACTTTGTTGCACTAAGCAACGTCCATTCGCTGTTTGCTATGAGCCCCCATGCACTTCATCTGCCCCTCAACACAGAGCCATCAGTAAAGATAATCACACCACTTGGGCGGGAATTATCGTTAATCATTTGTTGAACTTCTGATTCTACAGCAGAAGCTGGCCAGTCCCTGCACTCACGACCTAACGTGATTAAATCCCTACACAAGTCTGAAACTTGCTCGGACACTTTGACCTACTCCTCTCCTCGCCCAAATTTATCAAGCCTGCACACATGTCTAACTGTCAGCCCTACCCAGGGCTTCCTAAACACTATGCAAGCGCGCAAAGAAACAACATTTAAATACGTTTTTTTTTAAAACAGGTCATTTAAGATATGGTGATATATCTGCATTTACTAGTCTGTCACAACTGGAAGTGATTAGATTTAGCCTTCTTAGGATGATGGATTAAACTTTGGCAAGGTAACTGCAATTTAACAAATCATCCCAAAGCAACAAGAGTTTAAAACTGTTATATTATAAGGCTAATGTCAAACAAAAATTATATTAATAAACTCATTATACCCCCACCACAATTCTAAAAATGAATAATTATTTTATAATTGCCAAAACAAAATGAAATAAATGCAAACAATAAATGCAACTGGACAGAAATACATCAGTGTGTGTATATATATATATATACACTACCTACACACAAGAAAATACAACACAAGCATGTGAAATGTAAATATATGCAGGACATGTGCACAAGACAAAGTATACTTACACAGAAGCAGCAGGGGGAACAACTCGTCCCCTGCATTGAATTATAAGATTTCTCATAGAACATACTCTTTCAGTTACAAGTAATCTAACAGTAGTCATTCAAAACATTGAACCTGTATATTTTACTAAACTAAAGATACCATGTAAGTTTCATCACATATGTAGGGTTAACTAATTTTTGTTCATTTAACCGACATTGTGTTATGACTTATCCTAGTCGCATGACCAACAAAACAACCCTTTGCGCTTGAACTTGTCCTCATCTTGCAAACCTCTATGTAAATGAACTTTTTTTTTTTAAATGTGACTTTCCTACATAAAAAATTGTTTTTCTTTTGATAATTTGGTTTCAAAAGGATAATACAAGGATTATATCTGATCCTAAGTCTACTGAGAATTAGTTATAATATATTTTCACTCTTAGGTAAGTGATTTTCTAGGTCTATGGAGGCCAAATTCATTAGCCAAACCACCACCACTTTGATGGAAGAATATGTTCCCGCTTCTAGGGTTTAAAGAATTTGAGTTGACCACCTCATTCCTGACTCAGTTTCCAGAGCTGGCAGATGGCTTAACGCCTTGCTTGTCTATCTGCTATAGCTTCTTGTGGAAAGTAGCCAATTCACCCAGGAACTTCAATACAGCATGGGTGAGTATGTGTAATTTACTTTAATAACGTTTCTTTGCCCTGCTGCTGACAAGGAGGAGTGTGCAGGCATGCGACTAGTTTCTTTTGTTACCTGTTTCTTTTTTTCTTAAAATTCTTCTCATCATCAATCATATGAAACCTAAGTTGTTGCTCTTATATGGGACACAATTTTTCCATTATTTTAAAGGGCCCCCCCCCCCCCTGTTGTTGGAGCCCTAATGTAACCTTAGGTGTCTGGGACTTGCGCCGGGTTATTTTCATTTGAATGGTTCACTCTTTGTCACCGGGTGTTTATAGCTTGTTGTGCGATCCTGATGTGGTTAAACTTGATTCATTTATCATCAGTTGGTTGTATAAAACACTAATGCAGCAAACCTTCTGTAAATGAATCCAACCAATTTTCTCATATACAAATTTAGTTATTGAAACTACTTTCCAAATTTGTAAATGTATTTATTTAACCTAATTTCATAATCTATAGGTGCTGTAACTAAAAATAGTGCCCTAATCTACAAATGAAGTTAATGAAACTAAATTACATAGAAAAACAAAGAGAAAAACCACACAGCTATTAAGGGACCTTAATTTTGTCATAAATTTGACATTCACAACCTGTGATTAAGTGAGTGAAATTGTCCAAATACACGTAAGGCACCTTAGGGTTCAACCAATCAATTGACAGATCTTTGGTATCTGGGGCATTGATTGGATTTAGGCATACAGGCTTTCCGTCAACTAATTAAAATGCGCCATCAGATAACTGCGCTTTCTTTTTAAATAATATAGTTTCTGGGTTTTGTTACTAAAACTAGCCTCCTAATCCATAAATCATTTTACTGAAACTACTTTCCCAATCCACAAATGTATTTACTTAAAACTAATTTTGAAATCTAAAAATGTAGCTACTGAAACTCATTTCCCAAACTATAAATGGAGTTACTAAAAGCAGTTTTCTAATCTGTGAGTTTAGATACTTCTTCTTCAGCATCTCCCTTAAAAGTGCTGGAGGCATGATGTGCTGTGGTTCACAGCTAGGCTGCAGTATCTGCACTTCTCAGGCCAACACATCAGATTTCAACAAAACTCTCACAAGTTGATTTTAAAACAAACTTAAGGAGTGGCAGGTCCATTCCTCCCCCCCCCCCTCCCCCAATAAATAGGTCCTTGAACTCACAAGAAGGTACGTGCTATGGGACTATGTTTTAACTCAAGTAGAGGGGAAAAGCTGATAATTTTTCTTCTTCTTCGTGCTCCCTAACTGTAAATTCCGGCAGAAAGTTCTGGTTGTTCATCCACTTCTGGACTGCAGTCCTGTTCCAGAACCTGAGTGTTGCGTGTGCATTCAATTTACAGATCTGACGCATTTGTATGCAGACTGCTGGTTCCTTGCCTCTCAGGCAGATTCACTCCGACTTCGAAGGCAGCTCCAAATTAGTCGACTCTTACGACATGCTTTTGGGTAGGCAGTGGGGTCTATTCTTGCTTTCCCTATAACAGGGCCCCGGAACCCACACAGAGAAAACTAACATCTTAAGACACATTAGTTGAACAAAATTAACAGTGTAATATTTCGCTTACATTTTCAAACGTTTCCTGTAAAAAACCAAAAATCCTTTCAAATATTTGGTTAACTCCACAAAAAAAGTCTTTGTGTCTGACTGACTTAACAGAAAAGTGTTTCTTTGAGTAACTCAACAGAAATGTATTATTTGTGTCTAATTATCTCACTAAAACAAACTTTTTTTTAAAAATAAAAATAATCAGTGTACATTTATTTCTCTGTTCATTTAGTTTTCCTCTTGAAAATGGCTAAATTTTCAAGAGGAAAACTAAATGAACAGAGAAATAAATGTACACTGATTATTTTTATTTTAAAAAAAAAAGTATTTTTTTTAAATGACCTTTCTTTTATGTCAACTGTTTATTTTGACTAACAATAAACAAATGCTGCAAACCAAAAACCCAAAAAAAAATCCTTTAAAATACTTGATTGTGTCTTCAAAATGACTGAAAAGTAAATTAATAAACAAATATGGCAATGTATAAACAGCATTAAAAGTCTATTATTTAAAGTCTGAGCTAGTAAGAAAGTCAAGGTCACAATTCTGAGGGAATACATCTTCCCTGTAGCAACAAACAGATGTCAGTCATGGGCTAGCTCGCAGTCATTACGGAAGAAAATAAGTGTTTTTTAAAAACTAAATGCTACAGAAGAATCTCGGAATACCACAGACAAAGAAGAAAAGAAATACTGACATCCTAAAAGATTTGAGCATCAAGAAAAAGTCAATAGCATCTTGTCTCAGAAACTGAACTACTTTAGCCGCATCAAACCTGGCGGTGGATCGGAAGGAACAGTAGAAGGCATGGTGCGTGGAAAGAAGGGCAGCAGCCGACCAGCATGAATGGGGAAAGGATGTAAGTGACACCTTGGGTGCATGATGAGGGATACCTAGTTTCTTTCAGGCAGGCAGTGATGACAGCTAGGTTCCAAAGAACCCACTGCTTGCTGATGGTTATGCATCTTATTTATTGTTTTATTTATTTATTTATTTTTATTATTATTTTGTCATTTTACAACATATACACTTTTAAACAAAAAATATGTATTGCTTATTTTCTATATTAACAAAACACTTATTTATAAAACAGGGTATTATTTCAGTTCCAATTACTGGAAAAAAACAGCAAAAAAAATTTTTTTTTAATATTTGATTAATTCAGAAGTGCCTGTGCAACTATCAACAGGAAGGAACAAACAAAATAAATTTGAGGCGTCTGCATTTACAATTTTCTTCTTTTACAACATACTTATTAATTTATTTTTTTTTAAGCAAATATGTTCTTTTCTCAAAAATCAATCAAATGTTTTGACTGCCCTTTCTAATAAAACACACAGCATACCATAAAACAAGTTTGAAATAATAAATTAGGCGTATACTAAGATGAAAGCTTCAGACTATATAAAATCTTTTTTTTTTAATATTTATTTTGCTTGCGTATGTGAATAGCTAGGAACTGTATTAAACATCAGTGATAATGTCTTGATTATATAGAATCATCTTACTTGATAAAAACAAAATTATTGCAGTCTCCACAAAGGAGATTTCATACAGGAGATATGTGCATCCACTTCTGTCCTTTGCAATACTGTGTGGTGAGGTCTCAATATATTCCCAGTTGTGACTCTCGTACATTGTCTAAAAGCCATTAGAATGACTTTACAATTTGAATATTTTTATTTTAAAATATTCTGGCCTCATTAAGAGATATAACCCTCTTTTTAAAACCACACTGGAGGGACGGGTGGAGGGCAAGACAGTAAAAGAGATAAAAACAATGATACAAGTCCAGGACAGCATCTAGAGATGGATAAAATTCTAGAGAAGGACAAAATCTAGAGATGGACAAAATCTAGAGATGGGTAAACAGCAGTCCGAGAGAGTGTACAACCAAGACAAGAGATAGTATTGGAGAAGACCATCCATTGCAGCCAACCTTCATCGTGCAGACAGCAAAAAGTTTAGGATTTTTTAATGTATTCTTAAATGATGTTTAAACTTTCTTCTGTCATGATTTACACGAGATCAAAAACAACGACTCACCTAGAACGGGACCTCCTCCTTCTTATGGGAGTTCTAGATCTCCTTGGAGTTCGATGGCGGGATCTGGACCTCCGTGGCCTGGACCGAGATCGGCGATGCCGCCCCTTGGATCTTGACCGCGACCGCCTGACTCGGGATGGAGACCTGCTACGACGTTTTGACTTTGATCGGGATCTTTTTCGGCCCGGGGAGCGGGAAGATTCTTTCTCTGCGATACAAATGTGATTGTCACAACTGTTAGAATACAATGCAGTTATGAAACACACATTTACAATCTACACTACTCTAAGGTTTTTATTTAAGCTTGACTAAATGCATTTACTGAATACAATTAACACTGTTACTTTCTGGCGCATAGAAAGATACCTCTGTCAACCAAAGTAAATCTCATAAGAAACATTTTTTGACCGACATTGTGCTACCAGTGCCAAACATGGGCCCTTACTAAAGGTATTGAGCGGAAGATCATAACAACAAAGGTGAGATGCCGATGTGACAAGAAGAGATAAAATTAGGAATTAAGAAATCAGAAGACTATTACTGAAACCAGTCATACAATTTATTAAAAAATAAAAAATGAGATGGTTTGGCCACCTGACGAGAATGCCCTGGTACCACCTGCCACAGAGAGCCACGCTGAAGAAATATAATGAACACAGAGCAGGGGAAAGACCATACAAGAGATAGAGCAATACCATCAGGAGCAACCTGACAGAAATCAACACCAACTTGCACAATGCATTGGAAAAAGTGCACAAAAGAACATTACATCTCCCCCCTAACACCTTGCTGAGGTAAATGGTGGAAAAGAAGAAGAAAAAGAACTGAATACCCAAAAGTCTGCGCACACACAAAAAAGTCCAGATCAATAAGATGATCATATTCTAACTAAAAACATGTCCGGAGTGCAATGATCATACCCTAAGAACATGTCAGGACTGCAATGATCATATCCTAACTAACTCTACTCACTAGATTCACCAGCTGCAGCTGAAATCAGCTTGGAGGCCTCCTTGACTTTCTTCATGGCTTCATCAATCTCTCGCTGGGATGCTTCATTGACTTTTCCTGTAGGTTTGACGATGCTGGTCTTGGAGTGCTGGACACTGAAACATTCATCATTCAATTTAACGACCAACACCTCAAACATATCCTACAGCAAGACAATTCAACTAAGTTAACCCAAGGGTCTAAACCTTGAAAATGGGGATATTCACATGCCACAGACCTTAGCCCCAGCATAGACAGATCAATTAATACAACACAGCTGGCAATGATCCGGGAGCCACTTGCTAGGCCTGTGTGGGCCAAATCTGGCCCACAGGCTGCAAGTTGAACAGCCCTGTCCTACAGTATATTAACTCTGTGGGTACCAAGGTACCCTTTATGCGCTCATTTATAACTAATTCAACCGTTCTCTCGTACACACACAAATTCAGTAACTAAGAGTAACGCCCCTTTTCATGCCAGTATGGCCATCAGGTGTGTGATGTTACAGGCCAATTGACACTCAAAGAGTGATGAAGTCAAGGTCAGGTCAGCTGTCTTTGCTTACTTTGTCCTTTCCTATTACCTGGAAGGGAAGGTCAACAAGGATTCAAACTCAAAGCGAAAATAAGGGAACTGGGGACACAGGGACATCCAACAGAAAATCTAAGGTGAACACTGATAACAGAAGCCTAAAGTTTCACGGATTCCATCCGTGATATCGAAGTGATTGCACTGGATAAAACCGAATTATGTCAGGAGTAGAGTCGGCACAGAACCACGAATAAACTTCACAGTTAGACAAAAACCAAATGGTTTGGCCATGTACAAGATTGGCGTCAGAGAGGGCACCACAGAGAGCAATGTTATACAGATACAGCATTAACAGTCTAGAGGTGGACCATGCAGAATATGGACTGCAGAAACATATGAGACACAGAAAAGTACTTTATATGAGGTAAACAGAAGGGCCCATTCCGAGATCTCTTCCTGACCTGAAGCTGAGAGGCATTCCAGCAGTAGAAAAAAGAAGAAGGAAGAAAAAAAAGAACGGAATGGACCAATTGTCTCTGAGCTGTATGAGACATAACATCACACTAGGATAATGAATAATCTATATTAATTAAAATCCTAATTTTCCGGTGTCGTTAGCTCTAAACTCGGAAACTACTGAACCGATTGCTTTCAAATTTTCACACAATGTTGCCTCTGACTCAAAGTGTTATTTTTTTCATAAAATCGCACAAACCACGAACGACGTAGCTCCAGCAATGGTCAAATCATTATTTGATTTGTTGCCCGCCCGGATTTATTTTTAAATAATTGGCCACCTTTGACTGTGCAACACCGACCATCACATTATTATTATGTACTTTTATTTCTACTTAAATGCTTGGGTATTCAGTAGTGTAGTTTGTAAGCATTTCGCTTTTGTTACTCAGGTGATGGGAGTTTGATTCCCCACTGGGTGATATAATTTTTTTTTCCCCCTAACTGGGTGGCTGCCACGTTTTGTTGTGGTTTATAGCTAGGCTGCAGTATTTACGCTCTTTGTTCCGTTAAGATTTTGGGGTTTACAGCTAGCCTGCGATAGCGGGAACGTGATGCTCAATGTTCATGTCATGGGTAATATTCGTTCGCCCTTGAGAGGGTGGTTGGCACGTTGTGTTGTGGTTTACAGCTAGGCTGCGATATCTGACCTAAAGTCTTCAGTCTTCGGTAGTAGAGTTGTAGGTATTCTGCCCTTCACTGTATAACGGGTGTTCGATTCCCCGATGGGTACTAATTTTTCTTTTTACCCCAAAGGGGCGATTGGCACGTTGTTGTTGTTTAAAGCTAAGTTGCGACATCTGCGCCTTACGCCTAAGACATCTGATTTAAGTACAGTCCACATTAGCCCCCCCCCCCCCCCCACGACGCTTCACTCGATCAAAAACTATTTGTTAATGACAGACACTGTTAACTAAGAAGGCTTACGGTCCAGTTTGGTTTGGGTCGACACGGATGCCAAGGTTAGTTACCGTTTTGTGTTGTGGTTGTTGTTGTGACGGTGGTGATGGTAGTGGTAGCAGTAGTACTGGTACTCGATGGGTTATGTGGTAGCTGTTACACTAGCCACATTTACTTCTCATTACACATTAATTCTATCCATCTGTCTCTGGGTGAACACGGATGCAAAGCTCAGTTAAGTTACAATATTTCGTCAGATGATGACTTTCCCATGTTTCGGCAAGGATGATATTATTAGGGGGGGGGGGGGGGGGGTGTTATGGCAGACACTGTTAACTGAGAGAGCTTAAAACATTATTTTAAAGTTATTTCCTAACTATTTCTTTTTCAATAATTTCGCCAAGTGATGCTTTTTTATTTTATTTCTTTGGAGAGGGAAATATTGTGGGGGAGGGGGAGGGTTATGCCAGACACTGTTAGCTAAGAGAGCCTAAAACATAATTTTCAAGTTCTCATTTCTTAACTATTTCTATTTTAATACTTTCGCCAGGGATGATTTTTCAAACCTTCGAAGAGGAAGATATGACTGGGTGGAGGGGAGAGGGTTATGATAGACGCTGTTAGTTGAGAGCTACTTTCTTTCTTTTCCATTTCACCATTCGGGGCCACAGCAACGCGTGGCAGGGCACAGCTAGTTAATTAATAAACCTCACTTCATTATTTAACAAAGATTGAATTTACCTTATTGTCCTTCCCTGAAAGACCACATTGTTGTAAGTCAAAGCCTGGGCCACTGACCGCTGGTCAGTAAACTCTATGTAAGCAGCCCGTGCTCCAGCGCGCTCATCTCCAGCCAATCGAATATACTTGATCTCTCCCACCTGAGAGAAGAAACTCAGCAACATTTCTGCCGAAATCTGCGACAGAAAGAAATATGTGTTATATTTGTGTCACCACAAACTGTATCCACATAATGTGGCATGAAAAACCACAGACCTCATTAACATAATTTATCTCTAACAAGGTGGATGAGGTCAACTATACACCATGCATACTGTGAAGTGGACAAGAAATTACAAAACAGACCATGAAATAAGAAACAAATGTCCACAGCATCAAGGACTGAGATCTGTGGAGAGACATGAACATCACGAAAACCCCACCTCTGCTTGAGTGAGTGGATTAGACACAAAAATTGCATCTCCCCCAAAAATAGGTCACTTTCAGCATTTGTTTTAATTTATTCATGTAAAAAAAATTGGAAGGGGGGGGGGGGGGGGGGGGCAGAACATACTATTCATGGCCTAAACATTACATGCATCAGGTGATCGGTGACCTCAATCACTGAGGCAAACATATATTAAACGTTGACTTGGCTTTAAAAAAACTTTGCTGTCAACAGGAACCCCCCCCCCCCCCCCCCATGATATTTTTAGTTACTATATTCATATCCTGACCTCCTAAACATTTGCGCAGGTGCAAGCTTAGCCAATTGCATTATCTACGCACAATTTAAACAAATCACTCTATATAGGTAAGAAAAGTGGCATTTATGGGGAATCAAACTCAACCGGAAGTGCTGGTTCTGCTGCTTCTCAGGACAACAAAATTAAAGCCATTTTCAGAGCTGCTTCACAATCACAAACATCATATACAGTTGTAACAGGTAGTCACAATGGGAAATAGTGCAATACCGAAAAATGAGGTGTCATGTGCTCACATTTTCTAGTCTATGTGACTCGCTACAGGGACTCACGTGGATATACTGTCCAGGGAATGCAGCAGTGCAAAAGAATGACAGAGCAGATTTTCTGGCCACATGTGTTATAGCTACAGGGACACTCAACAAAAAAGACATTCTGAAGACCCTTTATGTATGAATGCTAAAAAAGGACACACGGTTAGATTAAACAACATGTGTAAGATTGTGTCAATGTGTAATTAGGTGTGGATCCCACAGGGAGGGATGTATGAGAAGAAGCGAATGATGTGGATAATCAGTGTACTATAGGAACAGTCAGCATCTACCCCTTAAGACATCTGTTGCAGTAGACGGAGCATCTATAGGTGTGCCACCACGTTGATTATTAAATCGGTAAATTCCCAGTGTGGGTCCTAGGACCCCAGTATGGTAAGAACAGAAAAGACCCACTGATCCCTAGCAAGCATGTCACAAAAGGCAGGTCAAAAAGTGCAAATATCATAGTCTAGCTGAAAACCACAACCCAATGTGCCAACCCGCCTCTTAAGAGTGAACACACACAAAAATAGATAAGGAAACCTTTTTAAACAAAATTAGAATTTTACGACAACCTTTCTTAACCACATACCTTGGGATCAAGATCACTAACATACACTGTTCGCCGGATCTCTTCAATTTTGCTGGCATCTGTAGTCATTGCCAGGGATGGATACTGGGGCAACCCCAAGGAAGTCAGCCGGGGGTCATACGTAGTGATCACCTGGTTAGCTCCAGTACCCGTCATCTGCAATAGATCAACAAAACCACTAGTTATAATTCTTATTTGGTCATAAATGTGTTTTACTAACTTATTTATTTTCTTCTTCTTCTTCCTCATTCACGGCTGTGAGCTCTGGAAGTGCTAGCTGTTTGTCTAATTATTGCCAGGCATATTTCGCTGTATCTCATCAGGTGTGTTACTACAGAGTTACATCAACATAAAATAAAGCACAAAACTGAATAAATTTGTATCCACATTATTTAAATTCATTACGGGAAAACACTGTTTTGAATATCTTAAGCGTCACCTCCCACGACCAACAGTGAAGCGACTGGATGGATTATTTAAACTGAAATGTAAAGAGAGAGAGAGAGGGAGACAGAGAGAGAGAGGGAGGGAGAGAGAGGGAGGGAGAGAAAGAACAAACACACTTTGTTTTCAAAGGGTTACAAATTTGGCGCGCAGACCCGTCTGACATTCTGCCCTTTTAAACACTCAGCTTTCAGAGTACCAATGCCTGTTATCAATAATGCATGTTATGTTTATAATTTCTTTTAAATATACAGAGAGTGAGAGAGAGAGGGGGGGGGGGGGGGGGGGGGGGAAAGAGAGAGAGGGGGGTGGGAGAGAGAGAGAGAGAGAGAGAGAGAGAGAGAGAGAGAACAGTAAGACAAGATTCACAGCTGCTCCTTGTATGGCACAGAAAGAAGTCAGTACATGAACTGGCTGGTCAGAAATGGCAAGACAAGCTGAATCACGACCACCAACACAGAAAGCCCCTGATGATAAGGATACACCTAGGCAACTCACCTGACTGACCACATTAGCCGGCCATGTGGGTTGTCCAGGCAACATTCCAGCCACAGCTTGTGGGGTCAGCTGAAGAGCTGTAGTCTCATCTGGAATTTTCCCTGAAAGAATCGTGCACATATTTTATGAACAAAAACTGAAATATGCAATTAGATATCTTAATTCTTTGAATCCCAAGGAACGCATCATACGTTCATGGCTTCCTACCTAGAAGCCCAATGAACGCATGATGTGCCGATTTAATGACTTTATTTACTACCCCCAAGCCTGTGATGCTAAACCCCCTGGGACTCAAAGAGTTAAAAGGCTATTTAGATTATAGTCCATTCCATAAGTGCTGCCCAACTTAAAAAATCTGTAACACTGTCACCATTCAGTGTAAGTTGTTGAAATTTGGCATGTAACCTCTTAATAATCATAGTTTTGTAAAAAAAAATTTTATGTAAGCAAACATTTCGTTTTTATTTTGCCTTATCGCATCATATGAAAAAAAAAAAACCAGACACCCATTCAAAGCGAACGATCCTCACGCGTAAAGAAACTTGGGTAAACTGGATAAGGGAAACATTTCAAAACATAAAACTGTGCGTTTTATAGACGTTTCACTCTCAGGTGGTTGTCTACAGAATTTGTCTCCCATGAGTTAGAGATTTTCATTAAGGGGATAGGCTTTCAAAATAATCAAAATGCACCGCTGCTGCACGCATGAACTGATTTCCAAACAATCTCTACAGGTGTGTCAACTACTGCACATACTGTTGTTCAGGGGTAAAGAAATTATCAGTCAAACAAATATTAAAGAAACTTGCTGCTTTGAGAAAACAGCAGCATCTGTAAATTGTAGAATCATTAGGATATAAAAAATCTAAGGCTGTATTAACAAATTTGTGTTGATCCGAACAGGAGTTTACGAAATATGTGGTACAGTGCCATGGCATGAGTTTTGAAATGCACTATAACTCGTTATCCAGCCCATTGCTGGTGCCTTGTCGTGGCGGGATGGTTTGAGTACCCTAATGACTCTCCCTTGTCGTGGCGGGATGGTTTGAGTACTCTAATGACTCTCCCTTGTCGTGGCGGGATGGTTTGAGTACCCTAATGACTCTCAGAGCTATGACGACATGGTTGTTTCCCTGGCAGGTTTAACCATGCCGAACAGATCTTGAGAAGAAGAGTAAAACCAAACTAGCACCCTGGTCCTCCAGGCTGGGGGTTTGGCAAAGGTTAAACCCATTAACGTAAAAAGTACTTTGTTACGGAAACATGAACAAGTTAAATCATTGAACTGGTGGAAAGAAGTGAAGCTTGCCAGATATTTGGTTTAATGACGGCTGGGGATCAAAGCTGAGAGAAAGTCAAACACCCGGACAGTAGAGCAGCAAATGAAGGAATGTAAACTGACATGGGATACCATGGGCAGAAAAGCAGAAGACCGGCAGCAATGGAGATCACTTGTGAATGCCTTATGTGTCAACAGCGACATGAAGAGGATATAGAGATAGATAGATAACTCATTATATCTTAAACATTTGTTGCCTGAAGTCAGGCATGTTTTGGTATCAGAGGGTTCCAATAATAACATCATAGGGCAAAAGGAGTTATACAGTATTTTAAAAACTTTCTGTAAATAAGCTTTTATTTAAAATACAACACATAATTAAAACACCACAAAGATCAAACTATCATCTAAGAGTTTACAGGGCACTACAGATTAAAAAATCTTTATACCAAATTCATGTACAATTTTACATCATGAATTTAAAAAAAGCATGAGGTGCCAAAGAAAGTAACTTTTATATTCAATCAAATGTCCCAATCAATATCCTAATCAAATCTATACATATATTGGCTTACACTTTTGAAAAATGATTTGTTAATTGACAATGGAATGCAAGATGAGTATTATATTTTGTTAGTTACATATAGATAGATATACATACAAAAGTTACCTTTAAAAAAAGCTTATAAAAATGGGACAGAATAGGTTTAATATACCAGTTAGATAAAGAATAAGGAAATAAGAAACACATATTATGTAAAAAGCAACCAAAGAAGAAGAAATATGCAAGTATCCACAAACAATCACATACCGTCCATAACAGGGACAACCATCAAAGCCCGGTCAATAAACACGGTGCCACTAAGATGCAAAGCCACCCCTGTTGTAACGGAGTCATCAAACTCAATATAGGCTACCCTGGCTACAGCTCCTTCTGTATTTCTGTAAGAGACAACAAAATTATCGTACTGTTAAGTATTTCATATCAGTAGATATAAGTGGGTTATGTAATGATTAACTTCTCGAAGTTCATCTGCCTGAGCGGCAAGGAACAACCAACTGCACACAAATAAGCCAGTAGAACAGATTGCACACACAAAACTTAGGCCCTGGCATTTGGACGAGCAACCAGGACTTTCCACCCGAGCTTACAGCTGGTAAACAAAAGCAGAAGAAGAAAGTATAGAAATATATTTTTTTTTTACAGTAGATATACAAACTGCTCATGAAAACTTATAAAATGTCTTTGGCTCATAAGGTTTTTTAAATATTCATTTAAAATTAAACTGAAAAATATGTTAGTATAACAAAATATTACAAAGTTTCAAAACTGCTTAATGATGCCCCCCCTTCTCCCCCCCCCCCCCCCCCCCCCCCCCCCACGTCTGTGGCTTAGGCATTGCGAGTCCGACCCGTAATTCCAACGTACTGTGATCGAAACCCACTGCTGACTGTGTGGATTTTTATCATGGTATGGGACGTCACAGGTCGACCCAGCCTAAAATGGGTACTAGGATGGCTGTCCTGGGAAAGTAAAGACGGCCAGCGTAATGCTGACCATATTACCCAACTAGTGCTGATGGTCTGTACAAATATTGGCGCTCTTCTCATATGCCCGATACGCTTAAAAGGCGTGAGAAGGGATCTTTACTTTAATGCCTCCCTTGAAACTTCTTTGTGCACCTACCACCCCAGGTTGAAAATCACTGGTCTCAATGGCCAACTACAACCTTCTGTGTTCACCCTCATAAAGTATGTTGTGATTTACAACTGGGCTGTAATAGCTGCACATAACATATTTGATTTCAGTAAATCCTCAATTACTCGTCTCTCGGAATAGACCCACTGTTCCCCTAACACCCACGTCTTCAGTCTTAAGACATGCATGTGAGGTTGGTCTATTATTTCTATCTTCCAGATTTGGGTCCTGGAGCACACATTGGGATATATTACACTGATTGGCACTTACAGATGCATAAGGAATTTACAGAGATTCAGGACTATTTGATTTCTGTATGGGGTATATACATATATGTGTGAAGTCTAGATAGAACCTTGTCTGGTAACTTGTTCAGTCCCAGAAGTTTTTGCAGCAGATGCCCAACAGGAGAAATAGGAAATCCATTAGCAGATACCGCCACTGTGGTGTGAAGTGTCAGGCCTTTGCAGAAGCTAGGAAAGTTTTCTTTAACTTTTTTTTTAACTCTTAGACCGGTAAAACAGGGCACCTGACAGAAACTTTTTTTTTTTGGGTTTGGTTAATTTTTTTTTTTAATCTGATGTAACAAACGTGTAATTTTCAGCTAATGCGACTTCTGCTACTGCTCAGAGGTTATAAAATCTGTGCAGTAATGTAGGGGGTACAAGGTTGGGCCATTCTACTACTTGAAGTGTCCTGGTTACCATCCAGAATAAGCATGAGAGGCACACAAGGCAAATGAGAAGCACTGTCAACCAGCATAGGATTGGTACTAATAACAGGAGGGTGTTGATGTATATGCTGAAGGGAGAATTCCAGCACTAATGGAGAGCATGAGGAAAACCCAACTGAGCCAACTCTTAACACTTATGGACTGATGGTTGACTTGATCATATTTTACACTCTTGCTCCAACACGAAGATGGGCACAGGATATAAGTGACTCCTTGAGTATGAAAGTGCATGAGGCGGGAGAACTGGCAAGAGATCGAGTTTCTTTCATGTAGACTGTGATGAGAGCGACATTCTGCAAAGGACCTGTTACACGACGATGACTCCTGTAGTACCAGCTGCATTACTTGCACAAAGAAAACTAAAGTACCTGTGGATAGTTTTTAATGTTATCCTCTGTTACCAGTTATCTGCATTTTATAAATAACAAAACAACAAATTTGTAAAGATTTAGATGGAACTGACTGGACAGTGATGAATATTCACTTCAAGCTGAGCTCAGAAGTTCAGTTATCAAAAGTTCAAATTACAGTAACACCAACAGGTTGGAAATAGCTATCCTCCCAACAACTGCCACATATTATGGCGGCCAAAAACACACCCTGACAGGGTCTCAATCACATGTAAATTGCGGAATTCCTCCGGTGAACACATCGCGGCAAAACTAGGATTAGTGTCCGTTGACAATTTCAAGAAACGCAACAATACACCCGATAATAACGACATGGTGGGGAGACCACGCGCTCCCACACAGGTTAGCGATAGTGTTCTTCCAAATAAACTCACCGCCGAGCATATCTCCGGTGCCGCATGTAGCGGCGCGGATGGGGGGGGGGGGGGGGCTAAACTAGATGGCTGGGACTCATGAGCAGCAGCTACCGCATCTCCTGCAACTTCCTCCAATTTATTTTCCCTTTTATTCATTACTCATTTTTTTTAGAGTTTACGTTTTTGAATGTTTACAACACACGACCGAATGAGGCCCTGTCAGGGTGTGTTTTTGGCCGCTATTTGGAGGATAGCTGAAATATCGGCTCTCCTCCGAACATCTACCCCGGCATTATGGCGGCCAAACAAATGTCCTTACGGGGCTCAGTCCCATTAAAAATATGCGAACTTCCGGTGACGAACGAATAGCGGCAAAACTAGGATTGGCTCCGTATAATGAAACAAATGCTCTAACAGGGTCTCAGGGATATGTTGAATGTGGATCTGTTTCTGTGACTATGCCTCACCGCCGACCGTATCCCCCATGCCGCTAGGAACGGTGCGGATGGGGGCTAAACTAGATGGCTGGGACTCACGAGCAGCAGCTACCGCATCTCCTGCAACTTTCTCCAATTAATTTGCTCATGGGTCCCAGGCACCTAGTTTAGCCCCCCCCCCCCCCCCCCCCCCCCCCCCATCCGCGCCGTGCATATCAGCGCGGGGGATACTGTCGGCGGTGAGTGTAACCACGTTTTGCGCATGCCGAAAAGTTTGGGGACAACGACGACGTTAATCTGCGTTGGCGCACGTGGTCTCCCCCCCCCCCCCCCCCCACTTTTATCATCAGTAATGTTGCGTGTCTCGAAATTGTCAATTGTCGCCAGTATCATCTGCAGAAACGCTCCAAAGTGTCAACGGTCGCTATTAATATTATCGTCTGCAGTGTTTCGTCTCTTGAAATTGTCGGGTAATCCTAGTTTTGCCACAATTCGTTTGTCGCCGGAAGTTCGCATATTTTTAATTAATAGCCCCGTAAAGATATTTGTTTGGCCGCCATAATGCTGGGGTAGAAGTTCGGAGGAGAGCCGAAATATCTTTACACCAGATTTGTAATACTTCTCCTTCCTCGCGTTCACCGGTGGTAAACTCAAGGCGGAAAGTCCGGATCGTCTGCCCACCTCTTGACTTTATCTTTTTCAGTCTTGTTCCAGAATCGAATCACTGTCAGAACCTGAGTTTTGCGTGCACATCCGTGTTTACAGATCTGACAATTTTTCGCTTTCTAAATATACTGAATATACTGCCTTTTATACTCAGTATTATACTATATTATCACATGACATGATACACTACAGAATTAAACAGATGCCGTATAAACAGTATATATTAATAATAATAATATTCATATAACTATAACCACTCACTCTGGCGGATACACCCGCATATCTTTCACGCGTCCAAGATAAGTGAACAGCGTCCTAAGCTGTTCGTTCAAACAGCTCGGCGCAACATTTGTCACTTGAATAACTCGCGTGTCTATTCTTTCAGACATCTTCATATGTGTCTTCATTGACAGCAAAAATGATGTGAAACTTGACACCCGTATGTAAAGTATCAGCAGCTAGAAGATATTCGCTGCATTCACAAATAGTATTCCTATTCAGCAATTCTTAGCGTTGGTTTCTTTACCAGATCGAGTATGGAAAACGTCGGAAACGGAAATTGAGCCATTGGCGGCTGGGCGGTGTCAATTGTTTCACTTTCACCTAGTTGTTCGCGCAGACTGCATCTTTTACTTCTTCAGCTGTATATTCTAGAAGGAAGTTCTAGTTGGTTTACCTCTTCTGAGTCTGGTTCCAGAATTTTGGAATATTACACGGTGACTCTCTAACACAAAGGATTCTATGCCCTACATCTATTTGAGTCAATGGCTCTACATCGTAACACTAAGTCCACAGTAGATAAAACACTGATAAGACCGGCTGTTTTATATGGCTCTGAAATCTGCAGCACAACTAAAAGAGATGAGGGTTTATTAAAGATTTTTGAAAACATAATCATGTAACAAATATTCGGATCCATTAAAGATACAGACAGTGGGGAATGGAGGCTGAGAAGCAACAAAGAAATTCGTAAGTTTAAATCACCGTTGATTTCTGACATCTTGAGAGCTACTAGACCAGAATGGTATTCTCTTGCTGTGGAGAATGTCAGATGACAGAGAGGCAAAACTATATACAAAGGGAAGTTTTATGATCGCAGACCTGGAGAACACCAAGAAGACGATGGAGAGGTAATATCCAGACAGACCTACAAACACTTAAAGTCGCCACATGGAAAGAGAAGGCAAATCAAACAGATGAATGGACAATGAACTTCAAAGGCTCAGAATGCTGAAGGAGAAGAAGAAAAGAAGAAGAAGAAGGAAAAGAAAAAAAATGACTCTCAAATCTCTTACACGGGACGACTCTCATAACTTAGTCCGAAGCGTCAAGAACTGATTTATAATAATCACTTACATTTCACTGGAATTCCGACAGCTTCTTCGTGTTCACCAGCTATAAACTTCAACGGATTAGTTCTGATTGTTAGTCCACTTCTAGGCATTGGTTTTGGATCAGAACTTAGGCGTACATTCATTTTGTAGATCTGACTCATTTGTATGCAGGATGCTGGCTCTTGACCTTGCCCCTCAGATAAATGCACTCCGACTTCGATTGATACACCCCTTACAAAAAGAATGAGAACTGGACATCTGAGATTTTCCCAGTTGGCTTAACATCCATTAATTGTGTAACTGGGAATTTTCTTATGTGACTATTCCCAGATTCCAGATACCGGTTCAACCTCCAATTAATTGATTGATTGGCACCTTTCCGTTTTTCCAAACGATAGTGTTATATTGCGCTATGAGGAGGCAAAGGACTCACAGCCAATGGCAATAGCGAGTGTGACTAGGAAGACCCGCCCGTGTCAAGGAAAGTCTTCCACAATGATAGCATGGGATTTCAGGACCGTTATTGTCAACATTTGTGTTTAATCCGTTTCTTCTCAGTCACTCAGCTTTAACCTTTTCTGCAAACATTTCTTCCTTCACTTTAATTTCCTTCGTGATATGCCCTCTCCACACAACATGGTCCATAGCATTTTGTTTCATTAAGTCCACCTCAATACCTGTATCATTCGTGGCCCTACTTACACACATCTTTAACCTCCAATTAGGTTATAATTAAGGCACTGGTAGCGGTTACACAAGCTGCTGTAACCTGTAGTTCTGACCAAGTATGGGACAAGAGAAGACACAAACTAGCCTTTGTTCTAATTTTTACTTTGAATATTTGAACGGGATGCGGTTAATTAAATCACTACCGCTCATACTATGGAGTTGCTTCATACAAAATTGGTGGCGGAACACTCATCACCAGAAGATGCTTTTATATATAAGATGAACTATCTCAGAAGCGAAGTGTGCTTGTTTTTACAGCAAGATCTTTTCTCCAGGCTATGCCAGCGTGGTGGGGAAGGAACAGGCAGACAGATTGGCTTGATCTGCACCGCTGGGTGGTGAACTGATACACAACAAGGCAGATGTGGTCAGAGCGCTTTGAGAACATGTAACGAAGTCAGAAGAGAAATTAGATTATATATGGGCTAAATAGAATGATTCACATGGTTGTGACCAGAGGGTTCGGCCCGCACACGACGCTCAGAGGAAAGGCAGGACGGACATACAACCAGACTACGACCGGCACCATTAGTATTGGAACTCTGCGCTGGCTGCTGAGGATGGGGACGGAACGATTATGGGAATGACCCGAGTGCTGTGATGTAAGTTCTTGACTCAATTCAACTCACAGGAAGAACTGACAAAACTAGATCATACGGATCAAAATCCGACCATCAAAATTTGTATTGAACTGAAAAAGACCGAATGTCCACACCCAAAGACCCCACTCGCCCGAGTGTTGGGACAAAACTGATAACGATATGCCTGATGCAGGATGTAAAATTCTGTCGGGCTAACGGCTCGTCAAAGAAATTTAACGTGCGAAGAAAAAAGAATGTACCTATCTGTGTGGTCACAAAAGTCCAAAACCTACGGGCTGCTCCCCGCTGACTTCCAAAGGGCGCAGCCCCTGTCGAGCGGGAGGCCTGATACGGTTGTGAGGTTAAGCAGGCATGTGCAGGACGTGACGATTCCTTGGGTGAGCCCAGAACCAGAGCGCCATGTGCCGGCTCTGCATGCATGGAAGCCTCCTTGGATGGCGGGAAATGCCCATGATCTGCCCCTGCCTTCCCTTGAGGGCTAACTGTTCCACAGGGGGCTGCCCCAAAGGGGTACTCCGGGGGCAATACCTGCGGCGAAGGAGACAAAGTGAACACCACACAAATCAGGCAACGTCTCGACCCACACAAAACAATGGCCACAGTCACCCTAGAAATAGGCCTGACGTCTTCCTTCGAAGTCGGAGTACAGCTGCCCATGAGGCAGGGAAATGAAAAACGGTTGTACACGCAAAAATCAGGTCCAGGTGAAAGCCAAAAGTCCAAGCGGACGATTAACCGAGACCTTCCACTGGAATTCACAGCCGGTGATCGATTAAAAAAAAAAAAAAAAACAGGAAGAACTTCTTCTTCTTCTTCTTTCGTTCGCATAAAATAAATTGTCTATATCTGCAAAGCCGTCTCTTGTATGAATTTCACTGTCTTTTGTAATTCACTAAGCGGCCCGTAAAGTTTGACTTCCACAAGTTTCTCTTTTGGCCAAATGTTTTGCCTGAAAGCGTTGAATATGGGACAGTCTTGAAGGATGTGATCTGTTGTTTCAGGTGCCAGTCCACAAGTACACATGGCCGATTGGCCAATCTTAAATTTGTTGTACATGTGGGAGCGAAGTCTATTGTGCCCTGTTCTAAGGCGAAGGATAATAACTTGCTCTGGTCTGTCCATAATATGGTAATCATCTTGTGCCAGTTTCGGTGGCATTCTGATTGATTTGATCATTCTCTTCTTCTGTTGATAAGAGACTGGTGTGTCAGGTTGTTCTTCAGTTGCACCTTCCTTAGCTAGTTTATCAGCTTTTTCGTTTCCGGGAACTCCACAGTGGGAAGGTATCCACTGCATTACTAATTTACAGCGGTTGCCTAGTTCGGATAATAGTGTCCGTATGCTTGGTAATTTTCCAGACTGGAGTGACTGAAGTACTGCATTTGCATCTGTCAGGAATACCACTGGTTGTGAAAAATACCCTGTATTTAGTAGTTTCTCTACCGCTATCTTGATGGTTTGAACTTCTGCATCATAGTTGTGACAGTGCTTTCCCGTTGGTAATTTGGCTGTATCCCTGGTATTATTAGGATACTCAATGTACACTCCCGCACCTCCGTTTCTGACTGCGCTTTCTGCTGACCCATCTGTGTAAACACGGACCCAAAGGTCCTGCGGGTATTAATCATCAAGTAAACTGAGGGTGGCTGTTTTGCGCTGCACACTGTTTTGTTCTTCCTTGTCAAATACTCCTTTCACTTCAGTCTTGATGTGTATTGGAAACTTATACTCCTCTCTCCAGGGTGTCCGTTCTGGGACAGCATTTAAGGATCTATCAGTTGCAGGTAAATCAGTGGTTTGTCTGCCGAGCCGTTTGGCCTGGTGGTTAAAACTACTTCTCTTTAGTCGTCCCAAAGCTAAATTTTTGAATCTTTCATTCATAGGGTGACTGGGCATACTAAGAAACTTTTCTGCTTGTAAAAGCATCTTGGTGTCTCTGCGTTCACTTAGTGCTTGGGTCATCCCCATTTTCTCCATCACAGCTATAGGTGTTGATTTCATACTGCCTGTGGTAACTCTGAGTGCTTGATTTTGCACTTTGTCTAATTCTTGCAATGTGGTTTTTGATGCCGAACTCCTTGCTGTTGATCCGCATTCAAGATGTGGTCGAACACTTTGTTGGTAAACTTTTCTAAGTATTTTCCCGCTAGCACCCCATGTGGTTCCACTTAGTTTTCTCAGAATGGCTACCCTCCTTCTGGCTTTGGTTGCTGCCTTGTTGATGTGTTTTCTCCATGTTAATCTAAGGAAGAACTAAAGAAAAAGCCATCAGAGAAGACATGAAACCTTTGCTACTCCCACTAGCGGCGTGACAATGGGAGTCATGGCCGTGACAAAGGCTCTAGAATGGCTAAAAACTCGAGGAATTCACCAATGTATGCTTTCTCGACGACACAGTGAAAATGCTACCGAAGATCAAGACATGGCATATACGGAAACAGTGGCTCCATCTGATAGAGCATTCGCAAAATCACCTTCATTTTTGTCCCAGGTCATGCTGGTGTGAAAGGCAATGAGAGAGCAGACACCCTGGTTGACAGTTAGACTATCAGAAATGGGCTCTCTGTGGTCAGGAGAGACACCAACAATGCTAGACAAGAGACTAAACACTGTGAGGTTTTCAGTTTCACGGAAAAGGATTTTTCACTTATTAGACTACATACCCTGGGTGTACCAGTTAGAGCAGCGAGACTAGACTGGAAAACCATGCGGGAGTTACCCGTCGTTACATCAACCAAAACAGGATGGGAGTTGTTAGCCTACAAAAACTTGGAGGCACTCTCAGGAGGAGAACGGAGCACTTATGATCATGTCAGATGTGCGATAAAGATAATCTTTAAATAACAATAATTCAGCCGACGTTTTTTAAACGTTGGATACAAATTCTGCGTTCACTCTTAAAATTACGACTGGTGCATTGTTTTGTCAATTTCCAAGTCTTTCTCTTGTGGGTAGGCAAATTTTCGTTAATTTTAAGCACCACTTTGCCTAAAAGGTAAAGTCGAGAGATGTGAACCAGCGTCATAGCACACGATTATAAGCCATAGGTACCCTGCCACCAGTACGGACAGCTGATAAGAAACTGTCCGCCTGTGTCGCCATCTGCACGCAACTCCGTAGCTACAGCGACGTTCCCCCATTTACTTCAGAGTGTTAACTCTGGTACCCACTTCCTAGAGGCTGGTTGAACCCCGGGAACCGCCTGGTCTCAAATGCCGGCCGTGGGCTGCAGCGAGCGGAATTTGAAAACGACTTCCATCCTGACTGTTCCCGGGGGCCCTTATATAACCTAATGGTTGAACTGGGTTTCCAGGATCTCTCTACGGGTGATCCTCATCCGCATGGTGGCACTTTGTGTCACCGGGAGTTTATCGCTCTGTATGATGTCCTGGTCAGGTAAAACTTACCACATTTTTTGTAGTCTACAACAATGCTTTAATATCCGCGCCTTTCGGCCTAACATCCGATTTTCAGCAAAGTCTTAATTAGTCGCCTTTTACGACACGTTTGTTTTGGGGTCGTGCGTCTATCCCCCTCCCCCTAAAAATGGGGCCATGGAACACACAAGGGAAGTTGCGTACCAGTTACGACATGAAATGCGGTTTATTTTCTGTGCGGCAAATGTGGCACAGCACCGGTCTTGACACTCAAGGGAGGTAACTCTTCATTAAGATTGACGAGTGGCATGGGATTGTTTACAAGGATTTCAGTTTTATGCCAATAGTTTCTTTCATGGTCATATACAACAATGCAGGTTTCAAATGCCAATAATGTCAAAATCTACAATCTTAGTGCTGGTAAATCATTACCAGAGGTAAGAACAGCTTGTGCCATTGTCATTTAAACGCTACCCAAATAGATGATCAGATCATGTTAAACAAAATTCCAGATGGGACAGGGGCAGATTTACAGAATTAGAATATATACTACATAGTGATTGATAGATAGAGATGCCATGATAGTAATGATCAGATACTGATACTGTTGAATTATTATTTTGTATTATTAATTAAAAAAAATATCTATTAAAGTCTTTGAAATATCCAAAATAAAATGATTATGAGTAAATACACTAAGAAACGAGTGTACATTAGTTAATTAATGTAAAGTAGTGTAAGGCACTTTGTTGGCACCTTTCTCCGTCTTTCCAGTACTGGTGATTGATTACTGGTTTGTTAAAAAAAAAAAAAGAAAACAATAAAATCAAAAATGACCATTATCTTTATATTTATTGATTCATGGGACATGGGAATCAAAGCTCCTCATGCGAGTATGAGCAAGAACCGCCCACCTAAAGAAAAGTCTTCCACAGTTTAGTTTTAGTTAGAGCATGAGACACCTTGGGAGTGTCTGACTGGTCAAAGCTGAGAGTCATCCTCGGCCTCAACACCATTTCCTGAGCAGTGACATAAATTTCTTTTTTTTCTTCTCTGCTGTAAGCTCTGGCAGAAAGTCCTGGTTGTTCATCCGTTTGGACTTGTTTTGTGTGTACATCTGTTTTACGGCTTATTTGTTAGCAGTTGGTTGTTCCTTGCGACTCAAGCAGGTGCACTCCAACTTTGCAGGAAGTCCCTAGTTAGTCGACTCCTACGACATGCTTGCTGGGAAGGCAGTGGGTCTGTTCTTGTTTTCCCCACAATGGGGCCCCAGAACCCACACGGGGATGACAGAAATGTGATATCTAGGGAACTATCTGGAACCACAGTATCAGGTTCACTGTCTTCATGTTAAAGGTCAGAAAATGCAGTGGTACAGACATGTAACTAGATTTACAAGCCTCTCCAGAATGACACTACAGGGCTCAGCAGAGGAGAAAAAGCAAAGAAAGATAAAGAATTTGGCTTACTGGATGAACAGAGATAGAATTTATCTCCTGACCGACAAAGGTGGAGGGAACTAATTAGACAGTCAACAGTAAGTAGTTGGTGATCCAACCACATGCAGTGTTAGGTCTGTAATGATGATAAACAGTTGCGTGAAGATTAACCCCACTAGGATCGTATATTGAGTGATTAACTCCGGGTGATTCAAAGAGTCACTGTTCAGAAGAGAATCCCCCAGGTACAAATCCCAGAAACCCCATTTAACCAGAAAGTTATATTGGGGCCCCCGACAGTTACGAAGTAGTCTGAAGCCTGGACAGTGTAAGGTAAATGTTAAAATTTAGTTGCCTATCCTTTACAGGACACTGCAGAACCAATCCCAGCATTTTTTGGCTGTTGTGGTTTTTCTAGGCAAATGTAACATTCAATAGTTTGGTAGGGTAGATGAAGACCATAGAAAAGGCTAACTTGAGGGTCCCTGTGGTCTCACGTGGAGCAGACTGTGATCAAATGCAAGCGGGGCCTGGTGGCGCTGAAAACGATGGTGGCGACACACATGGAACAGATTATTGGTCTTTTTGTTCAACCATTTAGTCCTTTCTGTAATTGATTACGGACTAGGAATATTAACCCTATATACTTCACAGTGAACAAAGCTTCTTCTTCTTCGCGTTCACCAGCTGTAAACTCTGGCGGAAAGTTCTGGTTGCCCGTCTACTACTGAACTGCAGTCCTGCTCCAGAACCTGAGTGTTGCGTGTGCATCAGTTTTACAGATCTCATTCTCTTGAGTACAGACTGTTGGTTCCTTGCCTCTCTGGCAGATGCACTCCGTCTTCAAAGGAAGCTCCCCACTTATTCGACTCTTACAACATGCTTTTGGGGAGGCAGTGGGTCTATTCTTGTTTTCCCCACAATGGGGCCCCGGAACCCACACGGGGGTGAACAAAGCTTGAAAGGATTCAAAACGAAGGAATGAGTTCTTGGGTTGCACACGGGACACCCCAGTTAGAACAATGAGGTATTTTCTTGGGCTGACATCGGTAAAGTCTAGACTGTCACTGGAACAAGCCAAGGCTTATATATGAGTTACCAATGACGAAAGGCATCCGCTGCAAGGTAATCTGAATGATTTAAGAAAAGACCGGTTGAAAAGAGGAAAGTCATGGATGACACTAGCTGAAGATACCATCGAGATGGCCGCCTCAGTCAATTAAATACACAATTGGCAGAAATGGATCGACACGAACACCTACAACAACAGTTTCCACCAGGTCATTATCACGTTAGGAAGAGAATGTACAGAGTGGTGTAACAGTATGGCAAAATTAGAGGTACAACAACTGATAGAGGGAAAGGCTGGACTAGATAATGCAGTAGTGTACACAGATGGTTCTGATCATCGGAGTTTAAGATCTGGCTGAGGATTTTCAGCTAGAATGAAGGGAAAAATTGTGGCAGAACAAAACTGAGCTTTTTATCTACAACTTCAAGCATGAGAATGGAAGTGGAGGCAATCACTGTAGCTCTAAAGTGGATAGCAGAAAACAAAGTTACCAGAGGAATTATTGTATCTGATTCTCAGGTGGCATTGCAGAAGGTTAAAAATGGACTAATGTGACATGAGTGGATACCATGCATCAGTACACCAACATTGCAGGGAATCACGTGGATATTCTGTCCGGGATATGCAGGAGTGCGAGGGAATAAAAGAGCGGATCTTCTGGCTACAAAAGCGGAAGCTATGGGAACACTTGTACTGGACAAGGGAGATATTCTGAAGACCATATGTGAACTTTTGACAGAAGACACGAGATTAGATGAAAAAACATGAGCAATAATGTTTGAACGTGGAATTAAGTGTGGATCTAGCAAGGAGGGGAGGAAGAGATTGGCGTGTGTATAGTGTGCTACGGGAACAGTTAGCATCTACACCTTACGTCATTTGCTGCGGAATACCGAGCATCTATGGGTATTTCCGGTGTACTGTGATGTCGATTCTTAAATCAGTAAATCTCTGGGGTTCAAGCCATTTGCTTCACTCTCTGAAGGTCCAGGGTTTGTGTCACAGTTGTGTCATTCAGTTCATGAGTGCAGTTTTACATAAATCCCTGGGTATTGTCACTAGAGCTATGGAGTTCATGCTTTTTGTGATGCTCTCGACTGGCAGGTAGCTAGCTGTTCTGCAGAAAGACCAAATGCAGTAAAGTGGATCCTCTCAACTTTAACCTTTTTTTCAAGCATTAAAAAAAAAAGCCATTTGCATTCTAGCCATGTTAGATTTTTGGGACTTTCACTTATTCATCTTGAAGATTAGACTGCATTTTGTATGAATGTGTTTCATTATATTTTAAATCTTATTAGTAGAGATTGCAAAAATATCTTTAATACTTAAAAAAAAAATTGATTGAAGGGAAATGAAACAGCCCGAACTGCAGTAAAATTGCATTGAATTTTTAAAAATGATTTAGGGAAGAATTGATCAGTTTTACAAGAACAAAATCCTAAATAACCAAAGTAAACATTTTTTGGCTAGAAAGCCTTCATCAGCATACAAATATTAAAGGATGCTGACACAACTACATACACAACTAAGGATGCTGACACAACTACATACACAACTACAGAAACATTGCATAATTTGGATGAATGAAATGTAGGATGACTAACATTCATGTTAATATTTTATTAAATTTGGGCAATTTTGTACTTTCCTTTTTGTAGTGGCTCACTGACAGACAGAGACGTAAATTACAGAACAAAGATGTCGGTATGTATTGCTTGATTGTATTTTTTTTTTGGTTCCTGTTATTTTTGCCTCTCAGTATGAATCAAACAAACAAGCTGTGGAGACGCATGAGCACCTGCGCCAGTTGACAGGGCACATGATGATGACAAGTGGGTAACCAAGGAGTCAGAAGATCTACCTCATCATCATCACATGCTCTGCTGACTGGCGTAGGCATTCATGCTCCACAGATCTCAGTCTCTTGTCCTCTGGATCAGTTTCACCAATTCCCCGTTTGGGTTCTGGGGCCCCATTGTTGTAAAAAAAAAAATGAAAGGACTCTGTTACAGGCATATAGGGCTAGACCTATATTTTTTATAGACCAATCAGCACAAGATAGGTGATGTGGTCAGCATCACGCCAGCCGTCTTCACTTCCCGGGACTGCAGCCGGTACCCACTTAAGGCTGGGTCGACCTGGGAGCCAAGGTCATTTTTGAGCCCCATTGTTGGGAAAAAAAGAATAGACCCACTGCCTCCCCAACAAGTATGTCGTAGGAGTCAACTAATTGTGGACTTCCTTCCAGGTTGGAGTGCATCTGCCCAAAGGAAAGGAACAACCAGCTGCACACAAATAAGCCAGTAAAATGAATGTACATGCAAAACTCAAGCCCTGGAACAAAGCATGTCAAAATTTGGAACAACCAGGACTTTCCGCTGGAGCTCACAGCCGGTGAACAAAGAAGAAGTTTCACCGATGGTCATCACTCCCCCTTGCCACCGTCGCAATCCGTCCATCATCATCTCTCTCGGCCTGCCTCTCCCTCTTCTGCTGTTGATCTTTCCAGTCGTCGCAATATTCTCCAAAGCCTGAACCTAACACATTAAATAGATCATATATCTCCATGTGGGTTCTGAGGTCCCATTGTGGGGGAAACAAGAATAGACCCACTGCCTCGTCAAGAAGCATGTTGTAAGAGTCGACTAACTGGGAGGGTTTCTTTCGAAGTTAAAGTGCATCTGTCTGAGAGGCAAGGCTGCAATAATCTGCATACAATTAAGTCACTTCTGTTAAATGAAAGAGTCGACTAACTGGGAGGGTTTCTTTCGAAGTCAAAGTGCATCTGTCTGAGAGGCAAGGCTGCAATAATCTGCATACAATTAAGTCACTTCTGTTAAATGTAAGAGTCGACTAACTGGGAGGGTTTCTTTCGAAGTCAAAGTGCATCTGTCTGAGAGGCAAGGCTGCAATAATCTGCATACAATTAAGTCACTTCTGTTAAATGAAAGAGTCGACTAACTGGGAGGGTTTCTTTCGAAGTCAAAGTGCATCTGTCTGAGAGGCAAGGCTGCAAAAATCTGCATACAATTAAGTCACTTCTGTTAAATGGATGTGCACTCAGGTTCTGGAACAAGAACTCAAGTTCAGATGCGGACAAACAACCAGAACATTCTGCCAGAGTTTACAGCCAGTGAACGCGAAGAAGAAGTAATAGGTCATGTATCATGTTTATCTCAGTCAGGTCATCTTTCTGAAAGTAAAAAGTAAAGTAAAAGATCCTTGAGACTGGCGAAGAGGGCATATGATGCTAGACTCATTTTTTTTATTGACCAATCAGTACTCGATAGGCGATGCCGCTAGCATCACACGAGCCACCTTTACTTCCCATGAAATGTTCTGGTGTCCTTGTGATGCACCTGACAGGATATGGCTAAATATGCCAGGCTGGTAATTCTGCATTACTTAAATTCCTTATTTAAATTCACAGTGAGAAAACATCATTTGGATTTTTGAGAAACTTCATATCAGGCGTTGACTTTTTCAGTGGGGGTGGGAGGGGGTGTATTAGAGGCCCAAGGAGTAGTACAGAGAAACGTAAGAAACATATAATAAGGAATGTATAATAGTCACATCTTGCATTCATTGGGCTAACACTCTAGAATACCCTTTTGGTTACCCACTCATCTTCACAAAAGCAGAAGGCTGGATCTTTGAAGAGAAGGTGAGAAAGCACATTTGAGGCATTGAGCACTATTGTGTGTAAACATGAATTCAAGAAGAGTTGCTTCTAGAACTGTCTTCATATCCCTGGAAAGGGGCCAACAAAATAACAATTCTATACTTTTTTCTCTATCAGACATTCGTCGACGGCTAGAACTGATACAGGATTTTGATATGCCAACTGTCAGTAACTGTGTCAAAATCTCCCCAGATGAACAGTTTATCTGTGCAACAGGTAGGCAAAATCAGATCTGAGCACTTTCTGTCATACTTTAATTATTAACACCCTTTTTCCTAGATCCTTGCCTGCAGATCCAGAGGTTGTGGGTTCAACTCAGAATGGAACGAGACTTTTTTTCATAAATGACCTTGGGTACCAGGTGAAGACCTGGGAAGTAAAGGCAGCCAGCACTAGGACGATTATGTATAAGGAGATACTCCTTATTTGACCTCAGGCCTCAGCAGGCTGTGTGCTGGTTTTACGGGACCTTCATGCAAGACTCCTACCACACGTCCTTATTGTACGCTATGGATAATTGTCTTTATCAGCCTAAACTGGGCTGCTAGGGAATCTTAAGAGTTGGTGGTCCCTAGAGATGCAGTGCGCAGAAATCATCTGGCACCCATTAGCCTGCTAAAGATCCTGTTTTATGACACAAAAGGTTGAAACATCCGCTACCAATGACCACAGTCATCGGAGTGTAAAGACCATACACGGAAGCCATGCCGGATGCATGTTTTCCATAAAAACCTTAAAAAAAATTACCATGGGTCATCCACGGGAAAGTACCATTGTCAAAGAGAGTCTAATTTACAGGGGATGTGAGACACCCATTTGTACAAGGAATCAGTCTCATGACTGCAGAGTGCTGCCGGAGATCCCTTAAGACTGTAGCCTGTAATGAGTAGATGGCTGAATATACGGATGTGAAGTTAAGCAGTCATGTGCAGTATGTGATGACTCCTTGGGTGAGCTCAGAACCAGAGCGCCATGTATCGGCTCTGCTTTTATGAAATCCTCCTTGAATGGCAGGGAAAAGTCTGATTTGTGGTCCTGAAGACGCAAATATCGCAGCTATGCTGCAAACAGACACAACACTTTTGCGTTAACTCAGATGAACGATGAAGAAGCTTGCAGTGTTTAGGCCTGGAAGTTATATTTAAAAAATTAGCATTGTGGGGGTGGGGGGTGGTCATATAAAATTATGGCTTTTTAAAGCCATTCGGCTGTCATAATTTACCCTGACTTAATAGTCGCCTTTCCCTCGAAGTCAGAGTACAGCTGCCCATGAGGCAGGGAACAGCAAAACGGTTGTACACGCAAAACTCGGGTCCAGGTAAAAGCCAAAAGTCCAAGCGGACGATTAACCGGTGAACAAAGAAGAAGAAGAATAGTCGCCTATTGACAAGGTCTTAGGTTCGAGTATAAGTGGCTGTATTTTTTTGGGTTTAGGCCCAAAGAGTGAAACCAATTTAATTCTCTGCTCCATTTATATTTATTGATTTTCATATGCATCAAATAAAAATAATGTAAAGAAAAAATTTACAGAAAATTTTTACAGAAATATGTATTAGTGACCTAAAAAAAATGTGTATCTGTATCCACTTCATATCCCTGTTGACACATAAGGCACTCACAGGTGATTTCCTGTGTTAAAGGATTATTTTACGGGTATTCCCAAAATCATAGGTTTCTGGAGTGAAAAGGTTAACAAGACATCAGAAGCTAAAGTGACTTTCTGGCTACTATAAACAGGATGAAGTCTATAATGTTCTACATTTGTTCTTTGTTGTATTGTATCAGGCACTTACAAACCACGATTCAAAAGTTATGATGTGCATGAGCTGTGTCTAAAGTTCGAGCGAGGCCTGGATTCTGAAGTCATAAACTTCCAATTCTTATCAGAGGATTACAGCAAGGTTTGTTTTTTGCTTTCTTCTTCTTCTCTTCCACCTTGTACCTCAGCGAAGTGTTGGGGGGAGATGTAACATTCGTTGATTAGCTCTGTCAAGAGCACTATTAAGACTGCTCTCATCAACTGTTATTAAAACTTGTTTCTCAATAATGATGGCTGGTAGAGTAGGATATTGGAGTTGAATTTGTAACAGTGGCTGCAGTGACTAATAATCATGATTTATTTGGCTGCATGAAGGGACATTTGTGGTGTGTAGGTAATGAGTATGCTATAATCTAACTTCTGCTGGGAGAGACTGAGCACTTATTAGGTTGTTCCTAGTGTAGTAATGTTAATTCTTCATTATATAGCTAAACAAAGGTTATTTTAACAGAAATAGTAGTTTTTGTGGTTCTTAGAATGGCTTAGAGTAAGTATGTGGCAAGTAATATGAGTAATATAAACATCAGCTTTAGTTGGGTGTGATGTGACAGAGGAAACTGAATAATCATGACCGCTTAAGTCAACTCAGACACCGACATAATTATAGTTTTAAATGTAAATATTAAATAGTAATTGGTACAGCAATTTTTATTTTTACTAAAATGTTATTTTGTGCCACATGCGGACATTTTAACAACAAAAAATATATTGAAACAACAGAAATTCAAAGTCTACAACAAAAGAAATATTGAAACAACAGAAATTCAATGTCTACAGCAACAAAAAATGTCAATAGAAGATCAGTTTCGGAAGTGACGATATTAGGAAACTGGGGACCAGTGCTTAACTTCATCAAGAGACAATAGATAAAATGGTTCAGACATGTGTCAATGCTGTCACTAGATAGTGCACTACAGAGAGCCCTGTCAGACATAGTAGAAGCAGATCTAGAGGTCGACCACGCAAGTGATGGAAAAATAGAATATTTGAGGCTACAAATACCAGCATCTATCTAGTACCTTCCTAGCCTTGCACTGGAGGCCTCTTCAAAACCTGACGCTGAAATGCAGAACATACAAGAGAAGATGTTGAAATTTTCTAATCATGACCCTCCACTGTCTGTGATTTAACTTAAAGTTTAATTGCACTCCCTAAACACAGGTTTGCTTTCTTCAAGACGATCGGTATGTGGAGTTTCATACTCAGTTTGGTCGGCTTCTGCGAATGAGAATACCCAAATATGGTAGAGACTTGGCCTATTATCCGCCATCATGTGATATGTATTTTGTAGGTTCAAGGTGAGGTTTTTCTTTGTTCTGTGTCATTGTTTGTTCTATTCATTGAATGTTTTGTTCAAACAGTAACTTTCACACGGTCAGTACCAGGAGTTGCTTGCTAAACTCTCATGAGGAGGACCTGGGTTCAAAGCCTCAGTAAATTTGGGGATTTTTTCCTGTGGATGCAAAAATTAAATTCTTACCTGCACATTCATGGTGATAACACTATCCGTGTTTCCCTAAATCCTCAGTCTCAAAGACCTGCCTGCCTGTAATTTAAAAAAAAAGTAAATACAGGAAGTAATTGGCATTTCTTTCAGGGGCAGTACTAATGTTTCTGTTGTCTAGAAATGTACACTCACTGTATAGCTGTGTCTCGATGGCTAAATGGTTAAGCCTTTTGACTCACTCTCTGAGGGTTGTGGGTTGTTTAACTGGCTGCATCAGTGGGTTCATAAGTGTCGTTTTTAAATATGTGGCAGTTTCTGGAACTGTTTAGTTCATGCTTGTACAACAGTCTTGGCAGTTGGCTACATACTTGTATAGCGGAGCTATGCGGTCTACTCCAACTGCTGCATGTGAAATCCATACAAATGTGGAACCTCTCGGGTTGCGGAGAGAAAAAGCCACTTTAGAAATTTATGAAAGATGTATTAGAGAGAATCGTAACCATCCTAATAGACACCTTATAGAAAGTTGGGAATACAAACAAAGAATAAAGCACAAATCCGTTTTACATGAGGCACAGGACAGATACCACCTCCCAGAAAGACATCAGGGCACTCAGAATGTTACAAGAAACTTACCATCACATGCTCGCTTTAAAGCTTCAGAGGTCAGGTTGAAATTGGTATACAAAGAAACTAAACAGTCCGATCCAATCACCCTCATGAACTCATCACTAAAGACCATTGATTCCTGCCCCGAAGAATGGATACATGTTTCTACTGATGGATCTGCATTCAAAGCCACCATTAAAGCAGGTTACGGAATCTACATAGGTAACCCTGATGGATCTATTGAAGAGATATTTGATGATTGCGGGAAATTCTGCTCAAATTATGAAGTTGAAATAATCGCACTGGAAACAGCAGTATACCACCTAAAGACTGTAATGGATGTTTACCCTTCAAAGGCCCAAAATATTGTCATCTTCACTGATTCAGTGTCTGCTCTTCAAACTCTGGAGGGCAGTGAAAGCTGCAGAACTGACATAGCTAATATAATTCTAAATGCTGATCACCTCATACAACATCAGAATAGTGATTCAGTGGATTCCAGGCAACTCCGGCACACCAGGTAATGACAGAGCTGACAGACTGGCAAAGAATGTAGCAACACAAGAACAACCACCTACAGCGACAACCCTACAGACAGCAAAAACACTTATAAAAGCTATAAACAAAGAGACTTGGCTGAACAGATGGGCCATGGGAGACACTGGAAGAAAGGTTTATAGACAAATGTCTGGCCCTGATCCTAATGACAGCATTAACCATTTAACAAGAAGGGATCAGGCCACCATCTTCAGACTTAGAACACAACATACTCCACTCAATGGACACCTAAACAGAATACAGCCACAACACTCCCCAGAGTGCCAGTTATGTAACTACCCTTACAAAACTGTTGACCATCTTCTCTTTGAGTGCCCAAAACTCAACGAGACTAGAAGAATGCTACTCCCTCCGAGACCAGACAGGTGGTACACCTTGTACGGAGGAAAAGAACAGCTTGTGAAAACATGCAAATTCCACTACATGGCATTGGGCCAAAGGGCGAAATCTCATGCGCCGCTGGATCGATAACAATAACAACAACATGCTTGTACAACAGTCTTGGCAGATGGCTACATACTTGTACAACAGTCTTGGCAGATGGCTACATACTTGTACAACAGTCTTGGCAGAAGGCTACATACTTGTACAACAGTCTTGGCAGAAGGCTACATACTTGTACAACAGTCTTGGCAGATGGCTACATACTTGTACAACAGTCTTGGCGGATGGCTACATACTTGTACAACAGTCTTGGCGGATGGCTACATACTTGTACAACAGTCTTGGCAGATGTCTAGCCATTCTTTGGAAAGAGACCAAGTAATATGGGATAGAACCTAGTGCACTGAAATAAATCCTCTCAGATATTAACCTTTCTATTTGCTTACTCTTCCCGTGTGGGTTCCAAGGTCCCATTTTAGGGAAACAAGAATAGACCCACTGCTTCCCTAACAAGTATGTTGTCAGCTTGTGGACCTTAATCGTGTTCCAGAACTTGGAATTTTGTGTGAGCATCCATTTTACAGATCTGGCTTATTTGTGAGCAGACTGTTGATTCCTTGCCTCTCAGGCAGATGCCTTCTCACTTTGAAGGAAAACACCCCTAATTAGTCAACTGTTACGACATGCTTGTTGGTGGTAGTGGGTCTGTTCGCCCCATTCCCCCTAAAAAAGGCCTGTGAATCATACCTAGGAGCATACCAGTCATTTCACAACCCTGGCTCCCTCTGCAAATAGGTTTTTCATAATCTATACATAAATATTGTTTGAAAGTGTGTTATGATATTAAATTTGAGCTATTCATTTGCCTTACAGTTCTGAGATTTACAGAATCAATTTAGAGAAAGGGAGATTCATGAAGCCATTACAGACTAATGCAACGTAAGTTTACAGTTATTTTCTCTGCTCATCAAATCATGTTTAGTTTGGTTTTGTTTTAATGAGAGATTTGTGAATAAAACAATTTCTCTCATTTTAGTTTGCATGTTAAGTATAGGTTAATTACTTTAAAATACTTTGGGGGGGGGGGGGGGGGCAAGTACAGCGGTCACATTAAAAAAAAGTCGGGCCAGAATCTGGTTGTGGACAATTTTTTGTAAAGTGAGAAACCTCAGATTCTGCTTTGACAGTTTGGATGTTCTTATTTTTCAAGTTTGGGTTATAAAATGAAGTTCTGGGTGCATGCTGCATTTTATAAGCTACTCAACAGGTTGAGATCATAAACAGCTGCCTGGGTAAAGTTTAAACAGTTTTAAATAAAGCCTACCCACAATGAATATTCATTGTATATGTTTTTTCTGGGAATACGCACATTGGTCAGTTAAGTCGTTCTCTGTGGGTTTAAATTTTTTAAATTTAAAGCCCTGCCCTGGCTTTTGCCGGGTGCCCTAAATATATCCGGGAGATAGAAATAGCCTAGCCATAGATATGACCTAACGGCTGAAAGGGGTTTCTGGGACCTCTCCATGGGTGATCCTCATCCGCGTGGTGGCACTTTGTGTCACCTGGTGTTTATCGCTTGTGTGATGTCCTGATGGGGTACAACTACCTACCACACATTGGTTCCTCTCCCAAATGAACTTGGATGTAAAATTGTCCCAAGCTCAAAGTTTCACACTGTGTGCCCAACTGTGTAGCCAAGCAGTGAAACTATGTCTACATATGAGGACAGTTAGTCAGGAAACTATGCACTTAACAGTATCTGAGCAGTGAAAATATGTCCATATATAAACAAAATATGTCAGCAAACCATGGTACTCAGTTGAGTATTTGAGCAGTGAAACAGTGTCCACATATGAGGAAAATATGTCATGAAACCATGCAATTAACAGTAGCTGGGCAGAGAAATGATGTCCGCACATGAGGAAAATGTGTCAAGAAACTATGCACTTAACTAAGCTGGGCAATGAAACTGTGTCTAAATGACAGCTGTGTGCTACAACTGTCTTACTACCAGTTTGCAGCTTGAAATATTGATACCTAATGATTCAAAGTTCCTCTGAAAGTACTGGAGAGTTTTGGGAAATGCCATTCTGGTCTAAAGACTCAGTGAAGGGAAAATCCCAACTGCACCTCCACGCGGTAGAGGATGGTAAACACACTGCGGTGTGGCCAACGCAGCTATGGGGACCGAGTATCCGCCGGGATAAGTGGACACCTCTGGGGTGCCTCTGCTGTTAGCAGGAGCATCATAGAGCAGGGCACTTACTTGCCCTAGCAATCGAAAAGGTTGCTGAAGGCTAAAGACATGGTCTAAAGCCATGTGGATGTGGAAAGCAACGGGAAACTACCACATTACTATCCCAAGAAACTCATCATGAAAGCCAAAAATTGCATTCTCTCACCATACCTATTCAGTATATACGCAGAAAATATAATGAGAAATGAAGAGTCACTGTTTGGATTCGAACTGAAGAGGAGCAAAACCCTAAACCTCCATGTTTCTCCAGTGTTAGCCATTGAATGATTTACATCTTTTTTTTTTTTTAATTTTTAAAATTTTTAACACATTTATTGTATTTTATTCTCAACAGTGAAATAAATTGTTGTGAGTTCAATCCAGTGAATTACTTATTTGGATGTGGGTCAAAGCTAGGTCATCTTGAATGTTGGGATCCAAGGTCGAGGCAGAGAGCTGGTGTCCTCGACATTGCCACAAGCAATTTTATTCAGGACTATGAGTAAGTTTATGTAGTTGTCTGCCCCTTTCCTAACAACTTTCTCATGCTAGATAATTAGGAGAACAGTTTGCTGCCATGACTGCTGCATCTTTGCCACCTCTGTTTTACGCAGTTATGGGATCTGTACTCAGATCTGTGCCTTCTTGGCTTATCTGTCTTGCTAGATAATTATGGTTGAATTAAGAATCGCCATAACAGCACTCGGGACACCCACATAAGCGCTCCGTCCCCATCTTCAGCAGCAAGCAAAGAGTTAAAATTCCGATGGTACCAGTAACTGTCTGTATATCCATCTCGCCTTTCTCTTGAGTGTCGAGCATCAGCCAGATCCCCTTGTAACTCCTCACAGTGCCATTCTCCTCAGACCCTAATGATCTGTCTCAGCACTGTTCACTCACTTCCAAAGGGCCCTCACAACATTATCCAGCTTGCTGTGCTACATACATACATACATACATACATACATACATACATACATACATACATACATACATACATACAAAACACACATTCATAAATACTCATACATAAACACAGATTCATAAATAAACATTTTTCTTCTTTTTTCAGCCTTTTACCCCCCCCCCCCCCCCCAGTGGAGCTTAGACCCTCAACCAACTCACGCCGTCATTCTGTCCTTCACTTTTGCATGCAGCTTCATGCCCTTCCAGTCTTTTGAACTTCACCCTCTAGCTCCCTTTTTCATGTGTTTTTTGGTCTGTCTTTATTTCTATGCCCTTGTGAGTTCCAGTGTAATGACATTCTAGTTATATTGTTCTCAGGTTTCCCAACATGTGTTTTATCCAATGCCAGTGTCATTTTCTTAACCTCATGGTGCACTGGAACTATATACATACATACGTACAAAAAAAAAAATTATAGATCACATACATAGACCCTCTGTTAATCTACATTGTACATTTTAAAAATTAAATATGTACAGACATATAACAGGGGTAAGCAACAAGGATGAACAGAGTAAAGCATAAAAGGGAAAACATGTACTGAGGCCTAACAACAATATGTGTCAGGGGACTCATGCTGTGACCTCTATCACTGGGGTTTACAGGAAAATTTGACATCAACTTGGCCTTTAAAAAAAGGCACTTGGGTCAAGTCAAGAACCTAGCAATAGTGACTACTAATTTCAGTAACTATTGTAAAATGTGTCAAAGGGTATTGGCAGTAAAGCCATCATCCCAACGCTCCAGTTTAAATTAAAAAAACAATCTAACCATTTCATAAAATTCATAATTATGTACTCATTTCTGATTGTCAGCATTCAAGGTGTTCCAGAAATCACAGCAATGAAGTTCAGGAATGACGGGCTGAGTGTGGCTCTGGGAACTAGCACAGGCCATGTAAGTTGTAGAGGGAAAGAGAATAGATTCAACAGTGAGACAGTTATTTTAGATATTGCCTGAGCATTGAGCTGATCTCATCATTCGGCAGGTCCCTTGCAGAACATCGCTGTCGTCACAGTATGCCTGTCAGAAACTCAATCTCTCACCAGCTGTCCCACCTTGTGAACTATCCTGCCCAAGATGTCATATCCTGTGCTCATCTTCATGCTGGTCGGCCCTTGCCCTCTTTCCTGGTACCATGCCTTCTGGTACAATTCTTTTCAATTTGCCGTCGTGCTTGATTTGGTCAAAAATGTTTAGTTTCTGAGACAAGATACCATGATAGGCACTTGCCTAAGCATGGGGTTGATCTAGAGACAACATTTCTTCTGTGAATAGAAACATCATATCCTGTTGTGGCATTTATAACATCTTTTCACTGTGGGTTCCATGGCCCTAGTGTGTTAAAAGTCCACTTATTAGGGGGTTTTTCTTTTAAATTAGAGTACATTTGCCTGAAGGGCAGGGAACAAAGGGTCTGCATACAAAGAAGCCAGATCTATTAAACGGATGTGCATGTAAAATTTAGATTCTGAAACAAGACTAAAGTGTCGAGGTGCACAAACACCTCGAACTATCCGCCGGAGTTTACAGCCAGTGAGCTCAAAGAAGATTTCCTGTTACTCATTTGGCTGCGTCTGGTGCCTGCAGTCAGATTCATTGCCCCCCCCCCCCCCCCTCTTCAAATAACAGCCTCACTGGTGATTTAAAACACATTAGCAGTAGGCTGACAGACCAGCATTTTATTTACTACATTATTACTGCTTTCATTTTTTAATAAGAATTACAGTAAAACTTAATTAACCGTCACCATCAGGACCAGAAATGTGGAGGATAAATGAATAGACAGATAACAGAAATCTCATAATATACGTACAGTAACGTGATTTCACCGCAGGCTTGGGATGAAAATAAAAATAAAATACTTTAAAAGTAAATAATGCATACATATTGTATTTAGCTCTACTCTGAATAACGGTCCTAAATTGTTGAGGCTAAGAAAATTACCTAACAGGGTCCCAATGTTTGTGACTGTGCCGCCAGTGAAACTCTGCTAAATACCCAGTAAACAATGCAGGGCTAGTCCTGCCTTGGTAACATCATTAGTGTCACGGTTTGACAGTTGTGACAGATTCTGGTGGTGGTGTCACAATTGCAATACTCCTTGCCCTAAGCCTAAACCTAGGACTGACTGAAGAAGTTAAACCTAGGACTGAGGGAAGAAGTTAAACTTAGGGCAGAAGTTAAACCTAGGACCCAGGGGAGAAGTGAAACAGGGGACCCAGGAGTGAAGTTAAATCTAGGACCCAGAGGAGAAGTTAACCCTAGCACCCAGAGGAGAAGTTAACCCTACCACCCAGAGGAGAAGTTAACCCCAGGACCCAGAGGAGAAGTTAACCCTAGCACCCAGAGGAGAAGTTAACCCTAGCACCCAGAGGAGAAGTTAACCCTAGGACACAGTGGAGAAGTTAACCCTAGCATCCAGAGGAGAAGTTAACCCTAGCACCCAGAGGAGAAGTTAATCCTAGCACCCAGAGGAGAAGTTAACCCTAGGACACAGTGGAGAAGTTAACCCTAGCACCCAGAGGAGAAGTTAACCCTAGCACCCAGAGGAGAAGTTAACCCTAGCACCCAGAGGAGAAGTTAACCCTAGCACCCAGAGGAGAAGTTAACCCTAGCACCCAGAGGAGAAATTAACCCTAGCACCCAGAGGAGAAGTTAACCCTAGCACCCAGAGGAGAAGTTAACCCTAGCATCCAGTATCGGAGCTGATGGTCTGCCTGCCACAGTTGCCGGAAATAAATCATAATTTTACATATCATTGATGCCCTGTTAGCGTATGTTGACAACCTTGATGATTTGGGATCATTTTTGGGAGGAGTGCTTCCCGCGGTATATTCGTGCATGAAAGAAGTCTGCAATTTACATATTATTGAGGCCCTGTTTTAGGGTATTTTCTTAGCCTTGATAATTTAGGACCGTTAATCGGAGAATAGCCTTGTATTTAAATTTGCAAAATGTGCAGTGTTAACCTCAGTCTCGACCCCTTCGGTGTTCGAACTACCCTTTCACATGGGTCATCTAAGACCATCGGAAAACAAATATTCACTGAAGTTATAAAGTAGCAACGAAAATAATGTTATTGTTGAAAGGAAGAGGGGAGGGGCGGGGGTGTCACCGCAACATTCAATCAATCAATCAGGTACCGTCTCCACAATGAAGGTTGTCTGCAATGGATCTCCAACAAGCCTTGTCTCTTGCCCTTGATGTACACTCACTCATACTGCTGTTTGTCCATATCTTGATGTTATCCTCCCACTTGTAACGCTGTCTGCCTCTTGCTCGCCTACCTTGAACCTTTGCCTCTAGGATGATCTTTACAATACTGTTATGTCTTTTAATGTGGCCAAAATATTTCACGTGCCTCTTTTTTATTTCACATAGGAACTATTTAAGGGTTGTGGCATGAGAAAGTTTGAAAATGACTGTGTTACGTTTACCAATTCCAACTCAGTTGTTATTGGCAACTATGTACCTCTTTTAACTACAGTGAAAAATGGAATGGTATGGACATGTAGTAAGGTCTAACGGCCTCTCAAAAACAGTACTGCAGGGCACAATAGAGGGAAAGAGGATAAGAGACAGACCGAGAAAGGTCTGTCTACAGAACCTGTCTGACTCAGGCATGCAACCATGAAGTCCATCGCAACTGACCGCCAAAGGCAGAGAGAGCTGATCAGTCAACAGAAACTGGTGACCCAAAAACATGTAATGTTACAGGATGATGATGAACTCAGTTGTCACTGCAGCTTGTGTCCCAGCCTGTATTTTTCATTTCCAGAAGACTAAAAAAAAAATTTCAGGTACAAGACTTTAGAATAGTCAGAGTTGAAGATAACTACATAGAGTTGAAAAAGTTCAACTTCTGTCCATTGTTCTTGACCAGGTACTGCTGTATGATTTACGTGCCATGAAGCCATACCACGTCAAAGACCACAATTATGAGCTGCCCATCAAATCTATAGAGTACCAAGATTCCCAAGACCTGGTCCTCTCAATGGATTCCAAAATTTTGAAAATGTGGAACAGAAATACGGTTGGTATTAAAACTCTTCTTCTTGAAATCTATGCCGCATAATGTTGGTGGTCATGTTATCCATTTATTGTTGTGTATTTCAGTTCACGTCAAGAAAGGCCCAGACCAAAATGTCAATTTGTATTGTTTTGTTCACGTTTTTCTGCTTCTTCATTTCAGTAAGCTTTTTTTAGTCACATTTCACTGGATTAATTTCATGTTATCCATGTACGCTGCCTCATGTACGGTCGGCCATTTCTGACACATCCCCATGTGGGTTCTGAGGCCCCATTGTGGGAGAAATGGGAGAAAATCGACCCACTGCCCGCCTGACAAATATGTCGCAAATGCTGACTAATTAGGGGTGATTTTCTTCGAAGTGGAAGTGCCTCTACTTGAGAGGCAAAGTACCAGCAGACTGCATATACGAAAGTCAGATCTGTGAAACGGATGTGCATGCAAAACTCGGGTTCTGAAACAAGACTAAAGTCCAGAGGGGAACAAACAACCAGAACTTTCTGCTGGAGTTTACAGCCAGTGAATGTGAAAAAGAAGAAGTTTGGGACACAGATGATCTTCCATGCCATGATGTCAAACTGTCTAGCATCATTCTCTTTTGGTTTCCCTCTGCATCTTGGTCATGCTGTACTCCAGTTTATGCCTTATGATGTCATGAGCGTTGATTGCTTCCTTCTGAGTTACCAGTTGTCTTTATGAGTTCTTTTCTTTTGAGACATCTTCATTTCACTTTTTATCTGTCCAGGGTGTTTTCATCATTTGTCTATAAAACCACATCTATGTCACCTCCATATAATTTGTCACTAAATGGTTAACTGTTTGAGAACTCACTCATTTATTGCTAATACTTGTAAGGGAAGCAAAAACCATAACCTGTAGTACATGTCCTTCAAGATGTCCTAAGTAGGCTGTAATGTAGAATAAAGGTAGGGGGAACTGAGAGATATTAAAAAAGAAATGCAAAAGGCAAGAGTTTTCATAGCACTAGCACATAGTTCTATGTTGTAAATTAATCATAAAACCGAAGTGATGTGTTTAGTCTTTTGTGTTTTTCTCATCTCCTTTTATCTTTGAGTCTTGTTTTACATTATGACTTTCTACTTCCTGCAGGGGAAACCACTCACAGCCATAGAACCCGGTGTTGTTCTCAACCAGCTTTGTGTGTTCCCAAACACAGGTCTGATTTTCCTTGCAAATGAGGCTCCAAAAGTCTTAACCTATTTTATACCGGTAAGTGTGCAGTTAAAGTGTAATTTTCTCTTTAAAAGATGAGGGGTTAGCAATTAAAAGACTAGTAATTCCATGTTTTTGTGGGAGAACATTGCTTCTGTTCAGTATTTTCATGTTGTCGCGAAGAGAGACTAATTTAAAGGGTGACTTTTTAAGGGTTTGCTAAAATCATATGTCTAAAAATCTAAAGGGCTCAGATATCTTAGCGCAGCTATAAACCACAATACAACGTGTGGACCACCCTTTCACCCCACAACTGCTGAAAAAAATAAATCATGAACCCATGGAGCTTCCAAAACAAAATCCTGAAGGAAAAAAACTGATACATGTAACTAATAAAAAAGTTTAAACATTTATATATCAAAATTAAAAAAAAAAGTTATGTATTATATAAAGGTATATAAAGGCAGTAATCAATAAACAAGAACAGATGAAAGCATTAAATAGAATGCATTCCTAGTGGTCTAAACAATAAAATATGAATTAGGTGTCTCTTGCTTTGACCCCATGACCTTTATCAGGGAGGCTTACAGGAAAATTGTAAGTAGACCTGGCTTTACAAAAGATATTGCATTTACAAGGAAACTCCTCTAAATGCTATATTTAGTTAATAAATTTACATCTGGGCTTTTCAACACTACACAGGCGCACATAGAAACAATGCCATTCAACCACGCCTTTCAAGAATAGTTCCCTGCAGAATTTTCGATTTATCATCAATAATGGGGCTGTATCACAACCGTATGCATGGTGATTTAGTATTTGTAAAACTGTACGGACATTTACAGCATTCATATCTGGGTAGTGAGCTCATTTATGAAAAATCACAGCCGTAGTGAAGGCTCCCCAGGAACAAGTGGTCAGTGCAACAGAACAGAGTATCCATGCCTTGAAAGACTTATTCTCCTTGTGTGGTTTCCCGGAGCTCCTTTGTGTGGGAAACAAGAATAGACCCACTGCCGCCATACATGTCGTAAGAGTTGACTAATTAGGGGCTTCCTTTAAAGTCAGAGTGCATCTGCTTGAGAGGCAAGGAACCAATAGTCTGCATACAAATAAGCCATTATATAAAACGGATGTGCACACAAACCTCAAGTTCTGGATAGAGACCAAAGTGCAGGAGTAGACAAACCAGAACTTTCTGCCAGAGTTTACAGCCAGTGAATGCTAAGAAGAAGATGTTCATCTTGTACAAAAGTTCCTCACGCCCTTGTTATTCCTTACTGGAACACAAACCCTCAGCCAACTTATGCCAAGATATCGCTGCCTTCACCTCTCCCAGTCCAGGAATGGATGAACAGACAGGTCTTTCCGCCGGGGTTTGCCACTGGTGACCATGAGTAATACAAGAAGAAGAAAGACTAATTCTGTGAGGGGAGGGGTTGGTAGAGGTTCTGGAAGATATTCAGCACTGAGGGGTAAACATAGGCGGACTTTTAATCGAGTTGCAACTGGTACTATTTTTTAATCATATTGCCTCTTTATTGGCTACTGAGGAAGGAGGCGGAGCAAGTGTGGGAATGTCCCGAGTGCAGTGATGTCAGTTCTTGATTCATTTATTTATTGGTTTATATTTAAGTCTCTTGGACCTGCCCCTCGCTGGTGTACCAGTCTTGACAGCATGACTGAGGAGCTGGAGGAGAAGACAGAAAATACAGGTGAGATCTCTCTTAAGATCATCACTCTTTTGGAAATTCTAAAACTCTTGTTGAATACATCTTACCTTGAGAAATGTCTGTAAGTCAGGAAGTTGGTAACAGCAATCAATACCCATCACCCAAATGTTACATATAAAATGTATTGCATACATTATATGCTTAATATATGTTACACACTCATCATCATCATGTGCCCAACCAACTAGCGTAGCCGCTTATGAGTCTTCACAGATCACGATCCCTTGTTGACTAAAACAGCTGTCTTGATGATATCAAGTTTCCTCCATGCTATTGTTTCAGTCCATCCAGCGTCATCTCTCTTGGTCTGCCTCTACCCCTCTTTTCACTGATCTTTCCAGTTGTCACGATGTTCTCCAATGTCTCTCTTCTCATTATGTGGCCAAAGAACAGTGATTGTCTCTTTCTTATTGTTGTATATAGAGATCTACTTTCATTAGCTTCTTTAAGCAATCGTTGTTACACATTACATGAATAAATTACCTCACTCGTTATAATATCTGTAATACACCTCACATGTTATAAATATAATATACCCCATAATAACGCCCCACAATAAACCCCGTACAAGCAGCTCTGATTATCTTTATGTGAAAATAGCCAAGTAAAACAGATTATCACAAAGGCTAGTAACATTGAAGTCACAGAAGCTTTATTTTATTGAGTTTGCATCTGAATCAGTAAATATTGATTTATAAGTTATTTTCTTTCGCAACATTTTCATTACACTTTTTAATTTATCGAAGCTGTTTTAATTTGTCTATAGAATCACATCTGTGTCACCTCCACCTGCTAGTGCTCTGGGTAATTTTTAAAAAGGGGGAAATTAGAGGGAAGGTGGAAAAAGGGAATTATGTTCAAAGCAACAACAAAAACAAGTGAAGAAGAAAATAAAAAATTTGTTCCTGATGTTTTTTGTTATAAATTACAAATTACCTTTAGGAGCCCCAGTGTGGGTTCTGGGGCCCTATTATAGTTAAAATAAGACTAGACTCACTGCCTACCCAAAAGCATGTTGTAAGATTTGACTAACTGGAAGCTTCCTTTGAAGTCGGAGTGCATCTGCCTGAGAGGCAAGGAACCAACTGCCTGCACACAAAGGTGTCAGATCTGACAAATAGATGCACACACATCACTCAGGTTCTGAAACAGGACTGCAGTCCAGAAGTGGATGAACAACCAGAACTTTCCACCAGAGTTTACAGCTGGGGAACACAAAGAAAAAGACTTTTAGCAAGTTGAAACTAATATTCGTTGGCAACTTTCCGTCTCACCAGACGGTGGTGTTATATTGTGCTAGGGTGCAAGACTCACCAGCATTGAAGAAATCCTTCCACAATTAGAGCATGGAATTTCAGGACCTTCGTTGCCATTACATGTATTTAGTTTGCCTCTAGTCAGACATTTAGTTCTCAACTGTTCTGCAATCATTCTCGGTGCTTTCCTAATATCCTACCCCAAACAGGGGAAATCCACAGGTCACAAGACTAATATTTCAGGGGGTGGTAGATAGGCTGCATGCAGTCGTGGGACCAAGGCTGCACTTCTTGTGGGATGTGGGTGGGTTGGGATTAGGGCCGGTTATAGATGTTTTAGGGTCGTTAAAAGCATTAGACAGCAGGGAAACCCAATCTTACCACCCTCTAAAATGTTTGACTGTCCTGTGATTTCATCTGGGGTAGGATATTATGAAAGAACATAATTTTCTTTTGATTCTAATTGAAACTAAGACTGTTACTACGTTTCTAGTTTACGATGGCTACAAGTTTGTCACTCGAACTGAGCTGGAGGAGCTGGGTCTGGGTCATCTGATCGGCACTAACTTGTTGCGATCGGTCATGCATGGATACTTCATGGACATAAGACTTTATCTGAAGGTAAGAGACAAAACATTACCAGTGAATAACTAAGAACAGTGATAGGCACAGTACGAGTAAGTGATTTGCTAAAACATACAGAAAATCAAATGGTTTGGTCATCTGGTCAGAATATAGCAAAATCAACCAGCAGCTTGAGTGTACTACATGAGAATAGCAGGCGACAAGGCAAGAGGTCGATCAAGAAAGAGATGGGTGGAGAAAGTAAAAAGAGACACTTCAGAAATGCAGTATAACATTAACACAAGATATGCAACTAGTGAAAGACAGAAAATTCCATCTAACTCCTCCCTGCAATGTCTTATGGCGTAAGCAGTAGGGCAAAATAACAAGAAAGAATATTTTGTTTGCTAAGCAATAAGAAGTTCATTTTCTTCCAATTCTTTAGTATCCTGGCTGTTTGTCAAAATAAGATGAAGGTACAATTCTTCTTCTTCTGTCGTCTCACTGTTACCGGATTCCAACCCAGTGTCTTGGTTTTCTGTATTTGTCTTGCGCTTCTAGGGTGGCTTGAGTGATGTATTTGTTTATCTTTTTGCAGGTTTCATCTACATCATTTATTCTTTTCTTTCTTTGTCTTCCTCTCGCCTGCCTCCTCCCAGATGTTCTACTGTAAAAATCTCATATGCAGTCTGGTCTGGCTGCATTCTCACTAGATGGCCCAACCATTTCATTCTTTTTCTGTCAATATAATCCAGACATGAATTTCATTGATTTCTGCAGTGTCTGGTGCAATTGACATCTTTTTATTAGTGAATGTGTGTTGTTTTTCACAAAAGGCTATTATTGCCTTTGTGATTCTTTTTCAGATCTCTACAACAGATCTTGTTTCAGATGTTATGACTGTACTTCTTCATTATTTAAAGTTTAATTAATCACGTTATGACAGTTTATAGCAGAAATGTGATATCTTGTGACTTTTGGCCAGCATATCAGACTTCAAACATTTATTGGCCGGATTAGCCTGGGTCAGCCACATTTTATTTATCACTTTTCGTCTTATATAACACCTTTCTTTTGTCTTGTCTTATATACCACCTTTCTTTTGCCTTGCCTCATTTAACACATACACCCCCCCCCCCCCCCCCCCAACTTTTTTCTATTGTCTTATCTGAGATCCTTTTAGATTGTCTTGTCTTATATAACCTGTTTTTTTTCTTCATCTTTTGTCTTGTCTTATATAACCTGTTTTTTTTCTTCATCTTGCGAGTTGGAGTGTGTCTGCCTGAAAGGTAAGGAATAAACAGTCTGCACACATAAGCCAAATGAGTATTTTCTGCCGGAGTTTACACTGCTGATTGTGAAGAAGAAGAAGAATATTACTGTTTACACAAAAGGAAATATCTGTTCTTAATATATTCAATAAAAATTACAGATGCATGATTTTCTAAATAAAAAATTATTTTTTAATTACCACAGGCCAAATCAGTTGCTGATCCATTTGCATATGAGCAATACAGGAAGTCTAAGATCAGAGAGAAGATTCAAGAAGAGAGAGTCAACCGTGTCAGGCTAAAGGTAATACTTCTCTTGCTAACTGTGTGAAAAGTGTTCAGGCCATTTATTTCATTTCAAAGTGTGCTGCCGTGATTGTTAGAGAAATATGTTTCCTGTTGCTGCATGAATGTTGAATTAAGAATCAACATCATAGCACTCCGGACACTCCTATAAGTGCTCTGTCCCCATCATCAGCAACAAGTGAAGAGGTCCAATTCCGATGTTGCAAGTAACTCTCTGACTGTACATCTGACTCACCTTTCCTGTGAGAGTCGGCCAGATCTCCGGGTAACTCCCTGCAGCGCAATTCTCCTCAGACTGTAATGATCTGTTTGTACATCTGTCTCGCCCTTCCCGTGAGCGCTGGCCAGATCCCCTGTTAACTCCCTGCAGCGCAATTCTCCTCAGACTGTAATGATCTGTTTGTACATCTGTCTCGCCCTTCCCGTGAGCGCTGGCCAGATCCCCTGGTAACTCCCTGCAGCGCCATTCTCCACAGACTGTAATGATCTGTTTGTGCCTCCGCACTGTTCACTCGCTCCTTAGGGGCCCACACAACATCCAGCTTGTCATATAACAATTCACCACCAAGTGGTACAGAACCAGCCAGTCTCTCTGTCTGCACTTTTCCCAATTTTTTTCCAGCATGACCTGAAGAAAATATCCAAAAAATGCTAACTACCAGGGACCTATAAAGCGATGCTTGCCACTCTGCATGGAGCATGCCTGTCTCCACTGTTGATGCAATAATCTTGGAGCTTCAGTTGCATAACAGTAGATTTCTTAAGGTTCAGATTCCATATAGGGCATCTGAAGCAAGTCAGTACATTTAACCCATTCGCCACAATGACCCAATTCCAAATACATATATTTCTGTAAATTTTGGGTTTTCCATATCACACAGATCACACACAAAAATCTTAACAATTCCATTTGTGGACCAAAACTTTATTTAATTGCATACAAAATAATGGTAGATATCAATAAACACAATTTGGGTTACATCTCTCTGAGCTTTAAAACAGTGCTTAGAGTGACCCATTCTTGATCCCACAACCTGACTGCCAATTACCACTTTGAGCTTATGGGAAATTCTGATGTGCTAATTTCTATAGATAAAGCTATTTTACTCAAGGAAACCCCAATTAAATGCTTTTTTTTAAGCAGCTCTGGTCATTACTGGCCATTTTGAAAAGTTGCTTAGGAAAAACAGAAGTAGTGCTGTTAGCGAGACTTCTCGTTAAAAAGCCAGGAAACAGACATTTACAGGGTCTTGGCACAGACCAGAAGTGCCTGGTTTTGTACTCTTTGGAGCGAGAGGATTAAGTACTTTGGCACCCTTATGAAAAAGCAACTAAAATTATTGATTGCTACTCATAGAAAGAAGTAGGTAGACAGGTGGGCACCCTTAACACCATAAAAATTGAAATTTATGTTTACCATACTGGGAATCAAACCTGTCACCTACAAATGACTAGAGTGCCTCGCTGCAAAAACAAATATACTTCTGAGCATAACCAGTTTGACATCCCTCAGAAAGGTGTCATTGTTAGCCAGGTCTGTCATACAGCTTGAACACAGAACTATGGAATACAGATAAAATTTGTTTCAGACCATTTAAATAGCATCATGGGTTAGTGAAAGTCATATTAACAAGCAACGGTTGAATAAAAAACACAAACACAATAGACCATAATGCTTTGTCAAGTATAAATAAAGTTAGTTGCATGTCATTTACAGGACATTGCAGAACCAATGCCAGCAGTTGTTGGCTGCTTGTGATTTTACTAAGAAATTGTATGCCCAGTAGTTTGCCATTGCTTACTGAATGGTCAGCTTTCAATACCACTGTCATACCCAATGCAAGGCAGTCGAAGAGCGTTTGCAACACACAAGCCGCAGATGCAGCGTCACATGTACAGCAAACATTTGAGGAAGAGATATATGTAATTGGATGGTTGGTTGCATTGTTCTTACATGACATACCAGGGAAAAAGGTCACAGACACCCGAGACATTAGAAACAATGCAATAAACAAATGTGTACTGGTACCGTAAAAACAGTGGATGGAAGATGCATTAAAGAAGTCAAATTTAGAATTATGTTTACTGAGTTTGGCTTTGTGTTTCCTTCCTTTGGCACTTGACAGAGGGAAATAAGGATTGAAGATCTTTTTTTTTGTAATATGTTGCTGGATTTTGTTGTTGGTGGTGTAATGTTTTAGAATTTCATTCATACTATCATGTTTGTACTTCTGACAGAAACTTCCCAAAGTCAACCGAGAGCTTGCAGAAAAACTCATGGAAGAAGATGATGCACAGAAAGCTAACCCAAGGAAGCGTGAGGTAATGTTTCATCTTCATCTTGTTTTATTGGTAGCTACGGTAGTCTTTTTTAAACAAGCTTTCATTTTAAAATACATGAAACACTTTACTGTTGACTTCTGTTTTGAAATGTTTTTTTTTAAAGGCAGAGGGAGGAAAACTAAATTGACTCTTTTATTTTGATTCTGAAATAAAGGCAGCAGGCAGCTGAGGGGATATTGAGCGTATCACCCAAGTATTGCGGATTGGTCTATAAAATATAGGTCTAGCCCTTGTATGCTCAATATGCCTTAAGGTGTAGAAAAGGGTCTTTAACGTTTTGATTCCTCCCTGTTTAGAAGTAAAATAAAGATAAGTGATATTTTTTGTTAAACACCTTCTGAGAAACGGAATTAAAGTCGACTGGCATAATACTTGATCACTTGACCTACTGAGATCTGAAAGATTTGTAAAATTGTGTACTCTCGTCGCCATATGCCTTTTACTCTTCAGGGCATGTAGAAGGATCATTTAAATGTTTTCTTGTACACCCATAGCAACTACAAAGGTTGTGGCCCTTACATTGGGGTTTTAAAAAAGGGAAGTGGTGTCATCCAAGTAAAGCTACCAAATATGGATTGAATTAAAAAAAAGGAGTTGCCGTGGCGTAGCGGCTAGATGCTTGCGTGCGGATCGGATGGTTGTGGGTTTGCTTCCTGGCGGAGCCCGACTTTTTTTCAAAAATGTCCTTGACTCCCAGTTTGACCCAGCCTTGAGTGGGTCAGGGTGTAGTCCCGGGAAGTGAAGGCGGTCAGCGTGATGCTGACCACATCCCCTATCTGGTGCTGATTAGTCTATAAAAATATAGGTATAGCCCTATATGCCCAAAAGCGTGGAAAAGAGACTTTTTTTTACTTTTTTAAACAAGACCCAAAAAAATGGGCAAGGGTACTGGGTGTTTCCACTGTTTTTTCCCCAGCTTGAATTGCTTTAAATCATCCCCAGCTCATAAATAGGATGTCACATGTTTTTGGGAAGAAACGTGACTAGAGCTTGTCACCTTATACTGTACAAATTGCAGTTGAAAGCTGTATGTTTGGAAAGGCAATATGTAAAACAGCCTGCGGGCCCAATTTAATGACTCTTTAAAAATAAACTTTGTTTCTTCGTTTTTTTTTTATTCCTTAATAAACATTACATTTTATTTATAAACACACCTGCTAGTTTCTGGCAAAATTGTTTGTCCCATTACTTGCCACTATCACATGTTGCCACATTTTTTTTTCTTCAATTAGTCGGGTGCCATCTTGACAGTGAAGGTTGGTTGCAGTGCATTTTTACCATGCTGTGTCTTTCACCTTGGATGTAGACTCTTCGAGATTGCTATTCTTCCATCTGTGTGGATCTCCAACATGCTCTTGTCTTTCACCTTGGATGTACACTCTTCCAGATTGCTGTTCATCCATCTATGTGGATCTCCAACATGCTCTTGTCTTTCACCTTGGATGAAGACTCTGTCAGATTGCTGTTTGTCTTTCTATTTAGATCTCCAACATGCTGTGTCTCTTGCTCTCGATTCACACTCTCTCATATTACTGTTTGTCCATCTGTATGGATCTCCAACATGCTGTGTCTTTCGCCTTGGATGTAATTGCTGTTCATTCATCTGTGTGGATCTCCAAAATGCTCTGTTTTTTGCTCTCGATGTACACTCTCTCAGATTGCTGTTCGTTCATCTGTGTGGATCTTCAACATGCTGTGTCTTTCACCTTGAATGTACACTCTCTCAGATTGCAGTTCATTTGTCTGTGTGGATCTCCAACATGCTGTATCTTTTGCTCTTTATGTACACTCTCTCAGATTGCTGTGCGTCCATCTATGTGGAACTCCAACATGGTCTGTTTTTTGCTTTCAAAATACACTCTCTGAGACTGCAGTTCATCTATTGCTGCATGTTATTCTCCCACTTTTATCACTGTCTGCTTCTTTCTGGCTTGCACCTTTTCCCTCCAGTATGGCTTTTATTTTACTGTTATGTCTTTTAACGTGGCTTTAAATATTTAATTTGTCTTTTTTTTTTAAATTGTGTCAGGGACTCTTTTGATCACTAGTCTTCTCAGAACCTCTGCATTTGATTGTTTTTCAAAACTGTTCACATTTTTAATATTGTCTTTCCCCAGAACAAAGCGGTCAACAGTATTCTCAAGGATGACCGTTTCTCAGCGATGTTCTCCAACCCAGACTTCCAGATTGACCAGCAGTCTGAGGAATTCAGGCTGATCAACCCAGTTATGTCCAAGCTGGACAAAGCCAGGAAGAAGAGGGATGAAAAATATAGTTTGATGAATCAGTTTAGTGAAGTTGAGGTATGGTCTTTTAGCCGTTCTTGCTTGATCTAACATTACATTTTCTTGTATTATTTTGTATTAATTTAATATATTTTAATTTCTTGCACTGCTATGTCTTATATAGCACCTTTTTTCTGTTTTTTCGTCTTAAGAAATTTTGTTACAAATAGTCTTTTATAACACATTTTTTTCTATTGCTTTTATATTTTTTTTTCTATTGCTTTTATACATTTTTTTCTATTGCTTTTATACATTTTTTTCTATTGCTTTTATAAATTTTTTTCTATTGCTTTTATACATTTTTTTGCTATTGCTTTTATACATTTTTTTCTGTTGCTTTTATACATTTTTTTCTATTGCATTTATACATTTTTTTATATTGCTTTTATACATTTTTTTCCATTGTCTGGTTTTAAAAAAAAATATTTTTTAGCACATTTTTTCTTTTGTCTTCTCCTGTATAACATATTTTTTTAATGATCTCATTTTATATGCCTTGTTAATATTCTATTGTATTGTTTAACAGCTTTAGCTTAATTCTTTTTTCATAGTCTGTTGTCTTTTATAACACCTTTATTTTCTCTTGCCTTACATAACTCATTTTCTATTTTTGTGTCTTATGTAGCCATTGTTTTTTGTGTCTTTCTGTTGCCACATGCAACTGCCTTTTCTTATTATCTTGTCCTTTTATAAAACCTTTTCATGTTTTGTCTTGTCCTTTAAAAAAACCTTTTCATGTTTTGTCTTGTCCTTTATAAAACCTTTTTATGTTTTGTCCTTTCCTTTATAAAACCTTTTCATGTTTTGTCTTGTCCTTTATAAAACCTTTTCATGTTTTGTCTTGTCCTTTATAAAACCTTTTCATGTTTTGTCTTGTCCTTTATAAAACCTTTTCATATTTTGTCTTTTCCTTTATAAAACATTTTCATGTTTTGTCTTGTCCTTTATAAAACCTTTTCATGTTTTGTCTTATCCTTTATAAAACCTTTTCATGTTTTTTCTTGGCTGATATTATAACCTGATTAAGCACAGCACAAACATACTGTCTGGAAATAAGTTTTTATGTTGTCTAGTATGTTCTGTCTGTATCTCTTTCTTCTGCATCTGTGAGTGCCAATCAGTGGATTACAATTTGACATTCTGTATAAATGACCTCAAGGGTTTCTCCAATGTACTAGCGGTTTTGATTAATTACCCTTCACTCTATCTCCATAATAAGAGCTATATGTCACTGCGTACTCCCTGTACATGTTCCGGGGTCCTGTATTGGGGAGTGAGAGAGAGAAAAAAAAGGGTGCTCTATTAACATCCTACCCCAAGCAGGGAAATTTCACAGGTCACAGGACAGTCTTATATTTCAGGCGGTGGTAGAAAGGCTGCAAGCAGACGTGGGACCTAGGCTGCATGGAGTCTTGGGACCTAGGCTGCATACAGTTGTGGGACTTAGGCTGCATGTAGTCGTAGGACCTAGCCTGCACTCTCTCGTGGGACGTAGGTGGGTTGGGGTTAGGGCCAGTTCTAGATGTTTTGGCGTCGTTAAAGGAACCGGAGGCCAGGAAACCTAGTCTTACCACCCTCTAAAATGTTGGACTGTCCTGTGACATCATCTGGGGTCAGATATTAATAAAACTAAAAACAAAAATAGACCCACTGTTCTCCCCCCCCCCCCCCCCCCCACCCCCGCCACCCTCCCCCCCCCCCCCCCCCCCCCCCCCCCCTCTCATCCCCAACAAGCATGCTGTAAAAGTTGATTAATTAGGGGTGTTCCCTTCGAAGTGTTGGTGCATCTTCCTGAGAGGAGAGGAACTAACCGGAAATGTTAACCTGGGCAACAAATGCCTGCAGAAGTCTGTTGTTGGCCGAAAAGTGCAAATATCGCAGCCACACAGAAGAAGTTCACATTTACACTTGCCGAGTCTGGCTGTTTAATACCATTGCACTCTACTGCAGGCAGAAACTAAACCATAAGGGATAAAATCTGGTACAAGAAGAGGGTTTCTCCCAGCTATAAACCTTTCTTCTTCTTCACATTCACCAGCTGTAAACTCTTGCGAAAAGTTCTGGTTGTCCATTCACTTTAGGACTGCAGTCCTGTTCCAGAACCTGAGTGTTGCGTGTGCATCTGTTTTACAGATCTGACTCATTTGTGTGCAGACTGCTGGTTCCTTTCCTCTCAGGCAGATGCACTCTGACTTCGAAGAAAGCTCCCAATTAGTTGACTCTTACAACATGCTTTTGGGTAGGCAGTGTGTCTATTCTCCCCCCCCCCCCCATAATAGGGCCCTGGAACCCATAAAGGGATATAAACCTTTAACCTTATCTTCGTATTTTCAGGGAGCAGACGAACGTGAAGGAAAGCCAAGCGATGAAGATGACAGCAGCTCTGAAGATGAGCACACCTGGTCAAAGGAGGTGCGATTAGAGCATCAGAAAGTGACCAGAGAGAGGAAAGCTCAAGAGAAGGCCCAGGAAAGAGAAGAAAGACGACAAGCCAGACTTTTTGAAATCAAGGATGGTGAAGAAATCGGAGTTAAAACTGACAAGAACAAGAAGAAAGATGTTAAGTGAGTTTACCAATTTATATTTTTCTGGTTTTTGCTAAAACTTTTTAATGAGTTGAGTCAAGAATTGACATCACAGCACTCTGGGAATTTTCATGCATGCTCCATCCTCATCTTCAGCAGCCAGCGCAAAGTTCCAATACTGATGGTACCGGTCAGAATCTGGTTAAATGTCCGTCTTGCATTTCCTCTGAGTGTAGTCAGCCGGCCAGACCCTCTGGTTACACCCAGGTGCTTCATTCTCTCCAAGCCATAATATTCTTCTTTCTCTAATGATTCCGTTGCTTGTTCTCAAAGGGCCTTGACCACATCTGCCTTGTCATGTATCAATTCACCACCCAGTGGTGCAGTTCCAGCCAATCGGTCTGCCTGTCCGTTACCCACCACGCACAATTTTTAAATATAAAGCAGAAAAGTGCAGTCAGAACGCTGGGCTCTCATTTGGGGGACCTAGATGTAAATCCTTATTTGCTGGTAGACATTTCGTTCTGTCGGGTACCCAAAAAAAAAAATATGTAAAAAACCCCAAACCTGCAGATTTCATAACAACTGCACTAGCCATGTGGCCTTAAATCATCCTCATCAAGTGCCTTGCCGATTGGTGTGGGCGATCATGCCTCTCCACAGTTTGTGTATCCCAAACTGTGAAGCAGTTTGTTTGTATCCCTGCGAGGGTTACAAGGCCCTATTGTGGGGAAGACAAGAGTAGACTCACTATCTCTCCAAAAAGCATGTAGTAAGAAATGAATAATTGGGAGCTTCCTCGGAGTGCATCTGCCTGAGAGGCATTGAATCAAAAATCTGCATACAGTTAAGTCAGATCTGCTAAACAGATGTGTGTGCAACACTCAGGTTTTAGAACGAGACTAAAGTCCAGAGGTGAACAAACGACCAGAACTTTCCACTGGAGTTTACAGCAGGTGAACGAGAAGTAGAAGAAGAAACTTGTATGTTGACACACCTCCAGGAAATTACAAAAGGCTGTCAAGAACCTTCTCATATTGTCTTCCTCTGTCCCTCTTTCCACAAATCTTTCTGGCGGTTACAATATGTTCTAGTTTCCCTCTTCTCATAACATGACCAGATAAATAATGTCTCCTTCTGATAAAATTTATTCCAAAATACCCAGGCCTAACTTAATTCACTCTGTCCAACACAACCCTAAAAAAGTGGTAGTTAAACCAGTTTAGCAATTCTTTTTACATTTCAAAATCTCCTCATTATTTGGGTTATTTTAAAATCAAGTTCTGTCTCAGTGGCCCTGCAGGAAAAAAAAATTAGTAATGCTGTAAGCTACTGTACATGTCATAAGAGGCAGTTGAGGAAGATGGGTAGGGCAGGCTACCTCAGTTATACTTAAAATAATTGACATTAAATAAATGATATTTTTTTTTTTATTTGGCTCTGAAAATACAATGTGTTCAGTAGCTCTGATAACACTGGATAACAAAATCTGATAAAAGTCTTGGCACTGAGAAAGTGTTTCTTACAGTTTTCAAGGTGCTGAGCATGAATATGATGATAAAAAGTGAAATCTGAAGAATGAAATATTAATGTGCAACAGAGTAATATGTATTATACAATCTTAACTCCCCCTCCTCTTCTCTTCTCTTCTCCTCCCCCCCCCCCCCCATATCACAAAACACCAACAAATGATTTATTTGATTTTTTTAAAAAAAGCCAGTAAATAAAAGCCAGTAAATAAATGTTTATGTCATGTTGGTGTTCAACACCTCACAGTTAATAAAGATTGGTGGTTTTCATGTCAGTGCTGGGATCTTGTTGTCCATGTAGTCAAAGCAGGTTCTTCTTCTTTTACCACTTTGGGTGTTGAGGGAGATACAAGGTTCTGCTCCTTATTCCCCCCCCCCCCCCCAGCCATAGACACATTGTGCCGTTAAAGAGTTTTTCTAATGTTATCTTTCCATATTGTTCTTGGTCTACCTCTTGATCTGCACCCCTCGTCTCTTTTAATTATGGCCCTGTATGGTATGGCCTCACAAAGCACTCTTGTCTAGAAACAGGCAAAACATTTTATAACCTGGATTTGTATATTAATTAGAATTATTTCTATGCCAACTTTTCTTTCTCTGCTGGTGACTCCTGCAGCATGTCTTAGACATTTCGTTTCCCTAGTTACTAAATTTCTTTTTTTGCTGTTGTTAGTTGTGACCAAGCTTAGTACTAGTAGCGTACGGTCAGAATAAATATGTTTTGTGTGAGATGTTTCTTTAAGCTAACTGATATTGTCCTATATTGTGTATTGGGGGGGGGGGGGGGGGGGGGTTACCCGTACAAGTTTTGCTTTGTATTGAATTGATTCTTCTTCTGTCTTTTTTTTTCAGTGTTGATTATTGTATTTAATCATATATAATCAAAGCTTTTTTTTTTTTTTTTTGCTTTAGTTGATACTCTACTAACTTGACAAAAACAAAACTCACAATTTTGTCGGTTAAAAAAAAACTTATATCATTTTTGTTAACAGGAAGCCTCTGGCTGAAAGACTGCAGTCTTTGGAAATTACTACTGTGCCTACTGCTGGTTCATTGGGCAACAGAGAATTTACTTTCTCCTTGAAAAAGGTAAGTCAAGATTACACTTTCTGGCGTCTGCCTCAAATGCTGGAGTTTCTGGGTTCGGGCCACAGTGAAGGCTAGGATTTTTCACGTGGACTTTTAGTATATTCCCCTGATCTCTAGATAGTAAGATCGGACGCCTATGTGTGTTGTAAATCGGCAGTTGTAAATCGGAAAGGCTAGCCCTGCAGCACTGCCCGGGTAAAATTTTGAGTTTAGGATCCTCGCCGGTGCTACAGAGTTCCTGCACTGCGCTGAGATTCTTCTGTCTCTGGCTTGAGTTAGCAGCAGAACGGAGCACTTATGGGTTACTGCCCTTGTGCCGTGATGTTGATCCGTTGTTTAAACCTCAAACCTAAACCATTTCCTTGAATAGAAAAAAAAAGTATGAGACTATCATCTCCTGTTTGAAAATTAAATAGCAAAAAATGTAACTGAGTTTACAATCTCCTTGGGAAAAAAAACCAATAGCAAAAAATGTAACTGAGTTTACAATCTCCTTGGGGGAAAAAAAACCAATAGCAAAAATTATTAACAGCATTTACATCTCCTTGGAGGTTACAAATTGAAAAAGAAATTAATAACAGTTGACTATCTTGAGAAAAAACAAATTTAGTTTTTCTCAACAAAGAGCTGATTTGCTATTCGAAAAGGCATATTATGTTAAGAAGTTATCCTTCTTCTTGTGAAAATTATCTTCTTTTTCTCCTTCTTCCATTTCCCTCACAATACAGAGTGTTTTAAATGTCTGTTTTTCTGTGTCCTGCAGGAAAAGAAAATCAGCAGTAAAACGCTAGAGCAGAATCGCCAGCATCAGTCTGAGAGACGGAAGGTCAAACGAGCTGGTGGGTCACTGCTGGAAAAACCAAAAAGCAAATTCTGGCAGGGAAAGAAAGTCAAGTGACCCTGATCTGTCTGTGGGTTGGGAATGCAAAGATGTTTTAACTGTACTGTAAAAGATTACATAATGTGAATTTTGACGTTTGTTAAGTTCAATTTTTATGTTCATTGTACATTTTATTTGTCTCTTCTGTCTTTCATATCCTAATAAACATCAGGACGTTAATTTACTAATGCTGAAATTGGTTTGGGTTTTGTTTAGTTTTTTTTTAAATCACATGCTTGCCTGTCAACCCTAAGGTCTAGGGTTCAGCTACACATTTTTCTTCAAAATTGACCTTGCCTGTCAGGGTGGCCAGCCCAAAATGAGCACCAGACTTCTTATTCACTGGCTGTTAGCTCCAACGATTAGTTCTGGAGATTGGTATTACCCTGTGCAATGTGGTCTGCTAGGAGTATGTTTTGATAAGCTACATTGCTTTCTGACGAACAGTAAGTTGTTACGACACAACAGAGACGAATATTCAGTTACATGCTTTTATTCGCTGAATCACAACATATCGTAGGCACACATTCTCCCGTCCTCGTGTTCGTTCTGATTGGCTGATTCTGACAGCCTTGTCAAACTTCTCACACACTAATTCGATCCATCAGCGTCTTTCGAATCGTCCATCCATCCTTTAACAAAACCTTGTACTCGGTATTAAGACATGTAGGAAACATTCATATCTCCTCTCGAAACATAACAAGTTCTCACAATTCCTTCATTCTCCTCATGCGTCCATTCATACGACCTCTCGAAACTAGGTCCGAACTTCAACTGTCTTACTCCCGTCTCTCGGTTCACGTTTTCCGTTCCCATCTCACGCTTTTCTTGTATACCTTATTTCGCTCATCATGGGATTCACGAGACCCACTTATCTTGCTTTTCTCTTGTATCACTAGTCCTCCGACCTTGTCCTCCCCATCGGGAACTCTCTGGGATATCCCCGGGAATTCACATTATACCCTGGTACCTGTTTTTTTCTGCCCATCCATTCAACAGACTGACTTTTAGTATTTTATGCACTGTTGGTTACTTGCCTCTCAGTCAAAGGCACTCTGACTTTGAAGGAAACATTTCTTATTAGTCGCCTTGTACAACATGCTTGTCGGGGGAGGCAGTGAGTTTGTCGCTGTGTAATGTGCACTCTGTTGCAATAGTACTGGGAATTTTTTTTTACCCTACCCATGTAGTTAGTTATCTTTCTTCATTTACTACTATTTTTGTGTGTGTGTGATTGTAAATCACATAGGTCATAAGCTGAGGAGAAGGTGTATTTTACACAGGAACGTAATAAATTGTTTTAAAATTTAATTATCTGCATTAAAAAAAACAACTTTGTTTTGAAGTAAAGGGAAGTAACCAGTGTGCATGGTATGTATTCTCTAAGACCTAAAACAAAAATGTATAGACTCATACCATGACCCTGTGTCCTCTATCACTGAGGCAGTATGATATGATTTAAGGCAAACACCAAAAGAGGAGAAGGAGGTAGACCAAAAACAAGATGCAGAGATAACGTCAGAGAAACTCTACACAACAGTATGATGTGTCTATGGTCAAGATGTAAGAAAAGCAAGAAGCAGAACCTTATATCTCCATCAACACCCAAAGCAGTACAAGAAAAAGTGAAGAAAAAAACTCAGACAATCCTGACATCTTCCATAGCATGTTGCTACGGTAACTGGACAAGAAAAATACTATTGACCAGACTATTGTCTTGACATCAACCTGGCTGCCACGAGATACGAAGATTAGTAATATTCTTTATTTGTGTAGTATTGTCTTGTCTATGTATGTGCTGAATAAGGCTCCATAGCCGCAAAGTTTGCCTTTTGTTTGTGTTTGTTATATTGTGAAGCTCGCTGATATACTTTTCGTTCTGTTTTTTTCTCTTTCCCTGACAAGAAAAAGAGAGCGGCTATCTTCTGAATAGCGGTCCCAATTATCGAGGCAGAAAATATATGCTAACAGGGCCTCAGTCACATGTCAATTGCACTCCCGGCGACTTAAATTGTGCACTTCCGGCAACTTCCGCCACCGCCGAGAGTATCCCCCACACCGCTCACGCGGCATAGATTGGGGTTAAACTAAATGGCTGGTACTCACGAGCAGCAGCTGCCGTATTTCCTGCAGCTGCCTTCATTTTATTTGCTCGTGAGTCCTAGCCATGTAGTTTAGCCTCAATCCACGCCGCTCGAGCGGTGTGGGTGATACTCTCGGCGGTGGCGGTGTAGTCCCCGGAAATTCGCAATTCGGCGGTGGCGGTATAGTCCTTGGAAGTGCGCAATTGACACGTGACTGAGGCCCTGTTAGGGTATATTTTCTGCCTCGATAATTTGGGACCGTTATTCGGAAGAGAACTTCTAAAGGGTCTAAGCTCCAGTGAAGGCGAATAATGAAATTTTAAACAAGATAAACACACTGCATATGAACTAGGATTGGGTGCATTGCCTTGGAGTATGGTTACATTCATAGCCCATGTCTTGATAAAAGAAAGCTTTGGATAGCTTTGCTAGTAGAATTAGCTGGGGGGGGGGGGAGACACCAAATAGCAGCTGGGGTTGAATCCGGCATTACAGATCGCATTAGCAAAACCTAAGCCACAGACTTTTATGCACTATATGACATATTGTATCCTTTTTTGTTTGTGTTTACACACTAAATTCTCCTTTTCAGGCTAGGGAACTGCACAAGGGTAGTGGTTAATTACAGGCAGCAAAGACAAAAAAAAAAAAGTAAATATATGAATGCAAGTTAAAAAAAAAAAAGTTGAGAACCCTTTTTTTTGGTCTTCAGGTTTTTTGGGCAAATAGGGCTAGACCTATAATTTATAGACCAATCGACACTTGGTGGACGTTGTGGTCAGCATTATGCCGGCCACCTTTACTTCCCAGTACTGTAACTAGTACCCACCCAAGGGTGGGTCGACCTGGGAGCGAAGGTCATTCTTGAAAAAAAAAAAGTCTGGCTCTGTCAGGATCCGACACTGGCGAGCGTCTAGCCGCTACACAACGGCACATCCCAGGAGAATGTAACTATATAAATTAATTCTTGGTTATGATAGTGAAATGAAATATTATATACATACTAATAGCTTGTTTGTGTCTATATTAACAGTTTGTTTGTGTCTATATTCACAGCTTGTTTGTGTCTATGTTCCCCCTGTATTGTGAAAACTATGTAAAGGCAAAGAAAATATACACAGAAGTCTTCTTCTTCTTAAAAGTCCATGCCATGTGGCATAAGTAGTCATGTCTATCCACAACCTTCTGTCTCATGTACTTTTAATCAACTTTGACACAGATGATCCTCCTTGTCAAACTGCCCAGCATCTTTTCTCTTAGTCTCCCTCTGCCGCTCCTGAATGACCCAAAGAATGTAAATTGTCTCTTTCTGATGTAGGCAATCAGTTCTCTTCATGAGCCAGTTTCTTTCAAGAAATCCTCATTATTCTTTTTATCTGTCCAGGGTATTCTCATCATTCATCTACAAAACCACATGTCCACAGCTTCAATTTTTTACTAATCTACCAACTGTTCATGATTTACACAGAGGTCACCATTGTATTTAGTTTCAGATTGTTGCTTGCCTGCCAGTCTTAGGTTTGAACCAGCAGTGGGTGAATTTAAAAAGCTAATAAAGGGGTGGGGGGGGGGGGGCACTGGCCCCAGGTCTATTCAGCCTAAAATGGGTAATGTCCTGAAAATCCATCAGAGTGCATCATCAGAAACCAGCTGTCTGCACAGAAATAAGTCAGTTCTGTAAAATGGAGGTGCACGCGAAGAAACCCCTAATTATTCATCCTGTATGCTGTAGATATCAGGGGGCAGTGAGTCTGTGTCTTTTCCAACAAAAATTAGCTCTGGAATCCACACGGGGATCTGAGAGTGCCGAAATGTTACATCAGAGAATACTGGAATTTTAACAAATTACGAAGGGTCTATACGCAACCAAGATGTTTTTGAGATTAATTTTACAAAATAACGAGGACTGGCAGAGTCATCATCATCATCATCTGCTGTCATTGTTCACCATTTCATAAGACCACCAGAATCATGGAACAGGTCAGTGTTCTTGTCTCACCTATTCCACATGTCTAAGCCATCCAGATATTTTATCTCTTTGCCTTCCTCTTGTTCTCTTTACATCAGTCTTGCCAGTTGTTCTCATCCCTTAATGAAGGTTATGAGCTGTGGACTCATGACTATACTTGGCATCTTGAAGAAGGTAATCACCATCAGCGACTGGGTCACTTTTTGACTGACTTCATCGCCAGCTGGGACACTATTTAGGTGTTTGTCTGATTGCATCAACACTGCAAGTGTTCTTCTCAGAGCTTCTTGGTACACTGTGGTCTTCGAGCACACCTGTACAGGATAGGCATAAAAGAATCTGCTGCCTGTGATTGTGGAGCAGAAAGACAGACCCCTGAGCACATACTGCAGTACTGCCCTTACCTCTCCCAGCAAAGACTGTGGATCTGGTCCAAGGGATCCACATTGCGAGAGAAGCTATAGGAGACCGGTGGTGACCTTAAACGCACAATCCTATTTTTGACCCAGACTGGACTCAATGTGTAGCATGACTGATGTTGAACGCAGAAGAAGAAGAAAAGAGCTTCTTGGTGGCGAGCAAGCAGTGCTATGCCATTTTTTTATGGCGCACATAACCTAGTCACAAAGTTTTATGTTTGAACAACAGATTAACATCATGGTACACAGGTAGTAACCCATAAGTAACTCAAGTCTGAGTCAGAAGAAGCTCAGCACAGTGCACAGGCTCTGTAGCACTGACGAGGATCTTGAAATACTTTAAGTAGATTTTAAACTCCAAATTTTGCCCGGGCAGCGCCATTAGGTTACTCTTTTTGATTTCCAACTGCCAAGGAATTTTTTACATGGGCAACAATGCACACGGGCGTCCAATCTTACTACCCAAAGACCAGGGAGAATTACAAGAAGTCCAAGTCCACGTAAAAAAAAATCACAGCCCTTACTAGGGGTTGAACCAGGAATCTC